ACTTATGTTGACCAAAAAAAAATCTTTAGGTGTGTACAGATGGCAACACAGTTTCAATTATTATCATTAAATAATTTCAGTAACAAATCTTAAATAATAACTAGATTATTAAATATCCTTTAATATACCATCGTAAGATATGTAAATAGTATTAACTTTTAAATATTGACTAATTAATGTTATCGTGATATAAGTTGCGAATTTTTTTTTATACAAATTGACTGTCAACAAATATCTGATTGTACTAAAAATATTATTAATTTATAATTAAAGTAAAGACCGTGTTCAAGAAGTGAAAAATTATTACGTGGGGTTGACATTAAATAGTGAAAATATTGCTGTGAAAATTGAGAAAATCAACATGTTTAAACATGTAGTAAAAAAACTTTGATGAGCTAGGGAACGAAAACTGCTGCAAAATTTAAAACAATTCTTATATTCGTGCTCTGTGTAATCTGTAAGTATGAGTCTAACCTTATCCAAATTCGTTTGCCATGATGTGTTTAAGAGTTTTCCCATAGCTTAGCCATCAACTGTCGTGGCTATATCTAACAATCTTACTACAAACTTAATCTCTATGTTATATAAACATAACTAATGAAAAGCATGCTAGCCAAAAATATACCTGAATTTATAAACACCCTAACGGTTTTAAATACTAAAAGAATAACTGAAATCCTTTAAAATCTGGAAGAAGGTATGACATTGCTTTGTACGAAAAATAACGTCAAATAAAAAGAATATTTTTGTTATAAATCTTAAAAAGATTAAAGAAAAACTTGTCTACAAATTAGTAAAGCTGAATCACTTCGACGAATATAAAATTTATATACCTACAACTAAGTTTAACTTCTTTCAATTTAAAAGTTAGTTCAACCGTATTTAGTACGAACAGCACCAAACGTCAATTCTAACTGATTTTCACGTTTTATTTTGTAATTTGTATGACTAATAAGTTATCTCTGCGACTTCTAGCAAACGTAGCAAATCGTCGTATTAACAGTTAAAAAAAAATTAAAACGTATGCAAGTACGTATATTTCTTTTTTATTTTAATTACATTTATCCAAAGACCAAGATATTAAAAAGGTGACGAAATATAAAACATACATATGTACATACCTAAATTAACTGATGTTCGCTAATAGAAAATACCTCTTCCACTTTAGTTATTGAACAAAGCTAGTAAGGAGGTGATCACGTGTTGATAAAATAAAGAGAGATCTATATCCATGATGGACATCTGTATTCAAACATTCATTAAAGTGCTTGCACCGAATAATAGTAGGTACATTCTGCATAACTTGTGCTTTATAACTATTAATTATTCTATTATACCAAACTGTAACCAAAATCTACATAATTATAATATATCTACATATAGAATACATCTCATTTACTGAATACAGTAATAATATTGTATCTTAACACTATTTCGTTTGATAAATGTACATTTTATATAATATTAGTCATTACAAGAAAATATTAAAGGCATTAACTATATCGATCAAATAAGGCACTCGCAGTATTGATAGCCCATATATGTACATACATATAAAAACATAACTGTGAAGTTCTTACAACAAATTAAACTAGCTTGTAATGACACCACATGACACGACCAAAGTTAGACAAATTATAAATAAGAATTAGACGTAATGAACTGTTTGTCATATTCTAAATGATAGATAACATGACAGTGAATATTGAATATAACAACCGTTAAAAAAACTGTTACATAGTTTTATTATTATCAGAAGAGGTTATTGAATGTTATTATTAAATGTTATTATTATATATAAAAAAGTGATCGAAATACTTATATATTTATTAGATATAAGACCAATGATATCCTTATTAGAATCCTTATTAAGTAACGGAAAACTGTACTTAAAAATAAATTTGGCAAACATATTATTAAAAGAGGTTGTGTTTTCATCGATATTTTTATTTTCATAATGTGTCTAGTTCAAATATTACAATTACAACTTGCTTTAATGGGACTTCAATTCAATGTAAGGTTAAAATATGAGAGACGGGAAACGTGTCGTATGCAAGTATGGGGCAATCTTGTAGTAAGCATAATAATATATTACATTCTCAAAGCATATATTAATTAACATAATATTAACACGCATGTGTTGAGAATATATTGTAATAAGTAGAAGAACCGATAAATATTTATTAAATGTTTTATATCAGTGGATGTTAAACACTTTATTTATATAAAATGAAATCGAAATATGCGATAAAGATACCAATTACCATCATGAACTTTATTATGGGACACGTTAAATAAAGATGCTCCAATAACTTCAAAGAAGGGTTAATTCTTATTTATCATATACTAGCTTTAGCCCGCAGCTTCGCCCGTGTGGAGTTCAGTTATATCGCGTTTCCAAGAGAACCTTTCAAAAGTCTGCGATAAAAACTATCCTATGTTCTTTCTCAAGGTCAACTCTATGTCTGTACCAAATTTTATTAAAATCAGTTCAGAGGTTTAGGCATGAAAGCGTAACAGACACACAGACAGACAGAGTCTTTCTGTACTTATTACTTTCGCATTTATAATATTAGTAGGGATTAATCAAATGTCATATGAAAAGAGAAGTAACTTATTTATGGATTACATTTCTGAAAAAAAAAGAAAATTCACCCAATACCGGTTAGATTACAACAATGAGAATTGATTATTATCTTCCGTTTAACGTAAATTAGAAAAGGCTTAAGTGCATCACTACAAATAAAGATATAGTATATAATACCTTGATTTGTTATTGTGCCTTTAGTAAAAAGGCATGCATTAAAATATACTCCATCTCTTGTACTCATGACCATTTAAATCTTTATTTTTAAAATAACAAGTCTATTAGGTATCATAAACACAGACAGACGTACGCACGGATAAATTTTTTATTGAGGCGCCATCGTTATCAATAATTAATTCGATTGTCAACACTACATGACCATAATTGGGGAATTTGCTTGACCCCCATTGCACTAAATTTACGAGCACATCTGGGAATTCCGCAGCGATAACAGTTCAGTGACTAAAAATTATTATTATTGATTGGAGTATAAGACATTTATTCTACATTCATTAATATAAAAAAATATGTTAAAGTGATAACAAGAGGCGGCACGTTCATATCATTCGCATATCTACTATTTTTATCATACTCCAAACAATATAGTAAAATATCTCAATTCAACCCTAAATATTTTTATTATGTTCCCGGATTATAGTTTATGAACTCATGTTGATGAGACGAAACTTCTCAGCATACCATGGGTTCACCGTGCGGGTGTCGGGTCTATCGTTGCAGGGAGAGGAGCTTCGACAGTGCCTGGGACTTGCTACCCAGGTGTAGGTTTAATAGGCACTTATCTAACGCGCGTTAAACACTCACTTCCACCATCCATGCTCCTCTCTCTATCTAATCAAATATAACCTTATATTGTAGTGAAAATTCTGATTATTATTCTTTACTATATTATTTTAGTACTACACACCTTGTGTATATAAGTTGTATTAATCGTATGAGACTAAGTTTCATTCATCGTTCTTTAACAACTGTGACCTCACTCATCACTGTTTTGGACTCCGTGGAGATGTGTAAAAAGATTGACTTGTGACCACGGTTGGTTTAAACTAGCCTTGATCACAGGCGTTAATCAGTTCGTCGCTTTGAATTACTTTAAGGAGAGTGTGAACAGAAAACACAGCATTTAATTCTCAAGTCCTTAAGTTACCATGATACCCTGTATCTTTTCGTCGTATATCTTTCTCCATTTCGAAATAAACAAAACCCTTCCAATTACATATAATTCGGTTGCCTCAAACGCTAGAGTGAATAAAGTGTTAGTGGGATAGTGTGTTTACAACAGACTTTCACTTACCAACATATAGGGAATAACATTACACATATAATATGGTTGACGAAACATGGTTCAAAACTGTTCAAGGTACAGTTTCAGACTTGACTTTTTATGTTCAGCGTTACTTTCAGTACTGTCCTACAAAATAGCTGAAGCAAGTATTTATAGTAATCAAATACAAATTGATACTTATATATTACCATTACAAAATCACAATGGTTCAGTATTTTAATTAAATGTAATCTTCTATATATATAAAAATGGATTGCTGTTCCTTAGTCTCGCTAAAACTCGAGAACGGATGAACCGATTTGGCTAATTTTAGTCTTGAAATACTCCTGGATGTCCAGGGAAGGTTTAAAAGGTGAGAATAATTGCCGGGAAGACCCTAAAAACAGCCCTTTTCTATTTCCCATACAAACGTTTTTTTTGACATTAGATTTGACAACTAACTAATATGTCAATCATTCTGTTTGATTGAAACAGGAATAACCTGATTATTTATGGCCTGTAAGACGGAATAGAGTTCGCCTGGTCAGCTATACCTACATATATTAACTCTTGATCAAACTAACGCGGACGAAGTCGCGGGCAAAAACTAGTAAGTCATATAAATAATTGTAAGAATTATAATATATTATAATTAGTACGGCACATACAGCGTCACTTGTAATAATTCTCAGAATTACTTAAGATATAACAGATTCAATAAATTAACATATTACGAGAAGCATAAGAACATATGACAAATAATTCTTCATACTGTACATGAACCTTGTATTTGATTACCAAAAACGTGACCCTCTAATTATATAACAATCCGCCCGCGGCTTCGCCCACATGGGGTTCGGTTATACCGCGTTTCCAAGAGAACAAAAGTCTGGGATAAAGACTATTCTATGTTCTTACTCAAGGTCAACTCCAATTCTGTACCAAATTTCATTAAAATCAGTTCCGTGGTTTAGGCGTAACAGACAGACAGACAGAGTTACTTTCGCATTTATAATATTAGTAGGCGTGTAATAAAAATAAAAAACAGCACATATATATAATCATTTATGACAAGACTTAATACAAAAGTGGATTTTAACAATAGACTGAATAAAAAATTATAATTCTTTATTAGACGGGCGCGAACTGCACCATGGTCTTGATGTCCTTCACTAACACTTCCAGGAACCCTCGCTCCATGGCCGGCTGGTGCTGCACACATACATGAGACATGAGATGGGTTGGAACAAGGAATAGTATCTTGGGATACTTCTAAGAGTATCCTAAGATACTATTGTAATATTTTTGTATCATTATTATTAAAATGACACTAATATTAACGGATTACTACGCGTTGTTTGTTTTTATAACGACATTCTCCGGACGTTTCGGTTACTTTGCAGCAATTGTGTATTTTCCACTCATACTCCTAGTGGATACTCTCATGTGTAAAGTTTTATGAACTTAGAACTGAATACTCTCGGGATGTGTAGTAAATTCCTTCTAAGGCTAGAGAGTATTCAAGCAAGTCACGTGACTGAGTAGTGAGTGACCAATTTCCATATAAACCTACCTCCGTGGTCTCCAACAGTTCATCGATGAACCTCTCGTTGAACACGGCCCTGAGCTCCGTCTGTAGAGCCACAGCCGCGTCCCTCGCCGCCCCGCTGACGGCCGGCCCGCCCAGCGCCGGCGGCCCGCGCAGCAGCCTCCTAGCGTCCGCCCACACTACATGCAGAGCCGCCTGTGCAGCTTGCCTGCAGCACTGCAGCGCTGCGCTACATGAACACGACCGCTCCCGGAGACGACTCAACACACACGCTCGAGCCTCCACCGGCGACTGGGGACTGCTGCTCGACTCCAACAGCTTCTGCATGTCTGTAAACATGTATATCACTGTGTTAGTTTTGCAAGGCGATATACATAATGAATACGATAAATATACATCAAATTCTTATTGACAAGTAATGATAGGTATAGTCCATTAGACTTAAGCTGAGCTTTACATTTGTGTGAGTGAAAGTAAAAGTAGTGTTAGACAAAAAACTATTAGTAATCAATTCAATTATATTTTAAATAGATACATAAGTGCTAGAACTATTCTAGATTAAAAATAAAATAAGCAAAACTTGTAAAAGGCAAAATGGAAATATTATAGAAAAAAATTTAGTAAGTAATAAAAATTTTGAAAACACAAGACAAATTTTTCTTCACTTGACATTGTGTTTTCAACATTTGACATTGCTACCAGTACAAAAGGGTGAACTGCGGAAGGTGCGGGGCGGAGTAAAAGCAGAAAAAACCGGTTAAAATCGAGATTTTAATGTTAATGCCTCGAATTTGACATCACACCTACACTATCCGTGTGCACTCACACAAATTCAAAGCTCAGCTTAAACCAAACGCACTATAAGTTAACTTTATACGTTAATTCAGTCACAGTCACAAGTCACACGTAGAAACTCTTACATGTATCTCGTGAAGATGATCAAATCAAGAATCTCTTACAATAAATATTTCTTATATATGTATCTGTTGTCGTATATCTCACCGGACAGCGTCATAGCGGGCACGTTCTGTAGCTGGTGCCGCAGCGTGGCCAGCAGCTTCGCCAGCACATGCTGCCTCTTGAGCAGAGTCTGCAGCAGGCACAGAGCGGCCGCGCCCTCCGACCCCGCGCCCTCCGCCCCCTCGCCCCAGCCGGGACAGGCCTCCTCTAGTGTGTTACGTACGAACAGCAGCAGGTTGAACACGATCTGAAGGTTACGAAAGATTCACATCCTTTTAACAATGATATATGACTCTTTTACCTAGGTTTGTTATTGACTTTATTTTTTTATAATAAGATATTAAATAACAATGACTGCAGACAAAGCAAGAGTGACTGTTAGACATTTTCATCTACTCTGCCCGGAAACACGATTACTGGAAAAAAAATTGAAACTTCGGACAAAATGTTGTATATAAACCGCGTAGGACATTTCCTAAACATTTTTAATATTGCATCTCTTGCGTCTAAACGTTAACACTTGTCTACTAAAACTTATCTATTAAACCCCCATCCACGTTCCTTGCCCGTGTCATATCATATTAGTACCTTATAATACAAGGCGTCGTGATGTTCAGGCGTGTCTGTTCTATCAGGCGTGTGTGTGAACCGCGGCAGCAGAGCCCTAACGAGTCCGGCGACCCTCCTCGCCCCCGCGGCCGCGGACGCCAGCGAGGTCCCCGGGAGTGCGCCCTCACTGAACACCTCCCGGCCCGCCGTACGAGCGATCACTGACGACAACGCCTCCAATTCAACCAGGAGACCTTCTGGAGAATTCGGATGCGCTGCTCTGTGGGCATAAATATATATTCAATACATACATACATTCAAGGACTCTGTAAACTTAATCATTAAATTCATATGTTATTATTACGTTAATGTTTTTTTATATCCCAAAGGAGCAAATGAGCAACTGCCCTACCTAATGGTAAGTAGTTACCGTTGCCCATGCACATCTACAACACAAGGGGTGTTGTAGATGCGTTGCCGGTCTCAATGTTAATGTGAGTCAATAATAGACTTAAAATTCATCAACACCAGTAAGATTCGAACCTGCTCTCTACGGCCACGGTTCCATTGTCATACTACCTAGGTTTAGGTTTAAAGATCTTTATTCTCAACAAGACAATACATAGTCACTTATTTGAGAACATTACTAACTTAAACATATAACATTGTTAACATTCGTCACACCAAATTTTATTTAATCTATAGTGGTTAATACAAAATCAATAAGAGAATAAAAGAAAAGGAAAACGCTAACGATATTGCGCGAGTTGCGTTTTAAATGCGCTAAGTGAATGCGTCTTCCTTATACAGGAAGGTATTTTATTATAAAGCTGTGCTCCTTCAAATGTGATCATTTTTTTCCATAATTAGTTCTGGTTTTTGGCAGAATTCATAGGCTAACTCGTCGGTTGCTACGTTTGCTATCGCGCTTGGTAAATGTGATATTAGTGTAAATGTTTATATTAAGTAACTTTTGAATAAAGATACAAACGTTATAAGTATATAATTGATTGATGTTCATTATTTTAGTATCTTTGTAAATATTTTTAGTGGCCGTTAGATATGGATAGTTAAAAAGAAGCTTGATAAGTTTATTTTGTGCAACTTGTAAGTTAGCAAGTTTTGTTTTTGCAGCACTTCCCCAAACTTCGATTAAGTATGAGAGACTAACTTTCAATTCCCTTCTAACTCCATACCTGAGCACAACGTCCACACACTCGAGGTGTGTGAGCAGCAAGTGTGTGACGTGCAGCACACAGCTGTGGTTGTCGGGACCCAGGGAAGTCAGCAGCGCCGAGCATAAAGACAGCGCCGGAACCAAAATCTGACGGAACCTGAATAAAATTATTGTATTATAATATCTACCCAAAAAAAAATACGTTGATAAACTCAAACTCAAATAACTTTATTCAATATAGAAGCATAACACTTTCTTATTGATGGTCACTTGAGATACTACCACCGGTTCGGTTCGGTTGGTTCGGTAGGAAAATATATGACGTTAGCCCAAAATACTATATCATTATAAATCCGGCTAACATATAAATAGTTGAATTTGAAATCTAATCTAAAAAATTATAACAATTACGTGTAACACACATCAAGGAAGGCCCCAAACAGCTATATAAAAAAATATTTTTTAGTGTACCGAAATAAATATATATACCTGTTAGCTACTGAAGGCACGAACTCAGTATCCTGATGATTTCCGTAACCAGTGTGTATATCCGGGTGACAATCTAGTACACGCATGTTGGACAGACAGGAGAGCGCGCCCTGAGACAACACGGTCTCCGCCCCCACGCGGCTCCCCGCTATCTTAATGAGTAACGCCATTTTGGACTCATACACGTACAACACTCGCAGAGATTTGGGATTCGGTTCTAGAGCCTGGAAACAAATAGTGGTATTAAAATTGTAGCATTGCTTGGGACCAAAACAAGGTCTTATAAAGTGTGGAAATTGTATAGTAGAAGAATGTGCTTATGATGTATGAAGATAATTTAATGATATTAATCGATGTCCACGATACAGGCCTAGCCTAGTGTGGACGACAACGTTCACTATAAATTGCATTGTTAAGTAATTTTACAAATAACAATAAATAAATAAAAATATAAAAAAATTTGATCTCTAGGGCCCAGTATCTTTAGTAGTAAGTTCACGTATATTTTAATTCTACTAACTTCTTTGAGTCCCTCGTCGTCCTGCAGCAGACTGTCTATGAGGCTCCGCAGGTACCCCTGATTGGTGAGTGTGTTCATCCAGTCCGTGGCCGGGTTGATCTCTATGAGACTGTCCAGGCACGAGAGCGCCACCATCCTGCACACGTCGTGTCCGCCGCCGATACAGTCGCTGCACACGATAGAGCACAGGTTCTCGCCGAAGCCGTTGATGACCTCTATAGCCATGGACTTTAAGGTCGATTCTTCCCTGCCGGGTCTGACTTTGGAGCTGTCCAGGCGACTGACGTACGTCGCGTTCACCTCCTCCTCCGGGTCCGCCGGGCTGGGTTTTATATTGACGATGTTCAAGAAGTTTAACAGCGCTCCGTATAGATTCACTCTAATCTTCTGTGTGGACACTCCGGCTACTAGGATCCAATTTAAAATCTTGTGCAGAATGAACTTGAGCGTGAGTGATTTCGTCTGCATGATCTGGTTGGAGGGTCCGAAGAAACTGGCCTCGAACTCCGCGGACTTCAACGACGACTCTCTCTTCTGGAGGATGTAGCAGTGACGGAGATACACCAGGAGCAATAGGACGGTCCCGGACGCGAGGTTCCCGATCTGAGGCAACACTTCCGCTGGAGGTATCTTGTTGAGCAGATCCTGAAGGATGTTCAAGAGGAGGTTCTTCTTGGACTCCAGGTTGAGGAGGTCGTTGGGCGCCACACAGAATAATATCTCCGTGAGTTGTCTCCAGGAGTCATAGTAGTGTGTGAGGGTCGCCGCCAGGTTGCGCTGCTTATTCACCTCCGTCACGTAGTCCAGCACCTTAAATATCACGAGGGCTTAATAGATGTGATTTGATTAGGTTTATATATTGTAATAATACTGACCTTCTGTATCTCTACCGCAACCAGTCCTCTCTGCGGCGCGGAGGCTCTCAGCGTAGCCAACTCCCGCGATAAAAGAGCGTGCACACGAGACACACTGATACGCTTGCCGCCCAATCCTGGAGAAATATATTTAATTGATGACATAAAGCCAAAATATAAATATAACATAATATTTGTATAATTCAGATAGAAAAACCAGTTGTTGAAACTAGTTGTAGAAAGCAAGAAGCTTTACAAAAATATATTAGATTCATTCTGTAGGAATGAGTAAAAATAATTAATTGAACAAGAATATTAATAAATATGAGGCATACGAATCTTCTCAAATAATAAAACAATAAAAGAATCTTCTGAATAACAATTCAAAAGCTATTTAGTGAGAAATATATTATATATGTTAGTAACGCCGTGTGTGTGTGATGTGTGTCTGTGAGTGTGTGTGTGTGTATGCGTGTGTATGTGTGTGTGTGTATGTTACCCGTGGGTAGGTCACACTCGTCGATGGCCTGCCGCAGATGGTGCGCGTGGAACAGCTCCCAGCGAGGCTCACACACGGACGACACGCACACGGGCAGGGACTCCAGCGAACGACGGATCACACACCACTCCCACTCCTGGGGAAACGATACATTATGTAAGGATAGGCGGGAGATTTTACTAACATTAATACACCGCTTAACGCGACCCCGTTGTGCGCGGTTTCACTATAACGCGATTTTCAAAAATTTATTCAGGTTGGGACATTGCAGAGTATAGACAATAATGATGACCGTGTCTTGAACGTGTGAAAAACGATTAAAAACAGTGTTTGTTGTTATGAACGTATTTTACAAGAACGTAAACAAAACGCTACCCAAAAGACAATACATGTATTTTTTCGTAAAAAATAGCAGTACCTATGTATTGTATAGTGTTCTTAGAATTAAAGTGATTGATTAAAATGATTTTTACATTTGTGTATTAAATTTTGAGTGTGTTTAATCATAAACCTCGATATACGCAAATTTCAGTTAACCCGATTTTCTTCGGAACGCAGCCCTTGCGTAAAGCGGGGTATTACTGAAGTTGGAAAAATAGAGGACCTACTAATATTAGTATTATTTTAAATTTGAATATGTGATATTTTGAAACTTCCAAACCAATTAGAACGTATTTTGAAAACTTGTATTTTTTTTTTTAATATATATTTCCTATAATAATCAATTTCTTTAGTATAAATTTACTTTCATAAGTTCGCTATAACACATGATAGATCCTGATCATCACCACCATACGGAACCACTACTCCTACCAACCTGAGTATGATGACTCGGCGTCGCTGCTAGCGCTGATAATAACGCTTGTAGCGCCGCGCGGTGCCGGCCCGCGCCCGCCGCCCCCGCCGCACACGCACACGCGCGGAGCACCCACGAACGAGCGGATATGGTCGACACTGACGCGTTCTGAGGAAAAACATATATTCAGTTGAGACAAACAGACGGCTTCCTTCATATTAGTTGGACTTTTCCATAGACTGAACACACAACAAAACTACAAATAGTCTAAACAGAACTATAGTCCGTTTGATTTAAGCTGAGCGCTGCATTTGCGTGAGTGCACACGGATAGTGTAGGTGTGATGTCAAATTGTTGAATGCAACGTTCTTTTCTAGTTTTGAACCGGTTTATTCTGCTTTTACTCCGCCACGCACCTTCCTCACTTCACCCTTTGTACTGGTAGCAAAATCAAATGTTGAAAACGCAATGTCAAGTGAATAAGAATTTCTATAGTTTTTTTTCAAAATTATTATTAATCAATAATTTTTTTCCATAATATTCATAATATTTCCATCTAGTTCTCACAAGTTTTGCTTATTTTATAGCACTTATTTAAGTTTTGCTTATTTTATATTTAAAATATTAAAAAAAAAATTAAATTCTAAAAGTTTTTTGTCTAACTCTACTTTTACTTTCACTCACACAAATGCAAAGCTCAGCTTAAGTCTAACGGACTATACTACTAATTGAAAGCCAATCTTACTGACACACGCATACAAGAATTATAGTTGGACTAGTATGTGTATGAATAATACTTTTTTTTTTGATGGCGTAGTGGAAACTCTTTTTACGAGCCGTCCAACCGGCCTTGGTGGGGCCGGAAGGGATGTGTGAGGCTCGGCCTGGGCAGGCCCCTACTCACTAAAACCACTGCGAAAGCCATCGGCCGCTATGTCGGTGTACCCCGGATCTGTCAGCGACAGGGCACACCAGCGACTGGCCGGTCCTGGCAAAGACCGGACTTACTCCCTCGGAGAATGGGGGCGATCCCAGCAATTAGGACCACCCCGACCACGCCGGGCTTTCAATAGGGCCGGGTTACCACGCCGACCCCAGCCCGGAACACAGGGGTGCTATTGGAGGCAGTGGCGGCTGTACCTTAAGTGCACTCGTGCGCTGAACCACCAATTCAAAAGATTTAAAAATTACAAAATAATACTTCATCTTTATTTTTAAATTACTATTTTGATATTTATTTCCTTAACATACAAAAACGTATAAACAATTAAATTTCTAATTATAGTCAAAAAGTTTGTGTGCTTTACTAAACTAATACGTACGTGCGCTTCGACGAGTGCACGAGGACTGCTAATACATCTTGTATGAGATACGCATTAATACGCCTGACGCGTGAAACAAAAGATAGTTCATAGAAATGTACCGAGTAATGAGTCGGTTCTCGAGCGCCGCACGAGCGGCCGAAGATTACCGAGAGCACCCGATGTGTGACGAATTGGAATTGAAAAGAATCAAAACTTTTCTCCGAAATACCTTGCACTTGCTGAATGCACTTTCTGTGCTTAGTATTGAAAAAAATGATTATACAAACAATATCCGATTAATAAAATGGTGATTGAACATTTCGCTTCAGAAAAATGTCGTCGCATTGATTTAATGTTTAAAAAATAAACATATTTTATGTCAATTGGTTTTTTGTTGCATTTTCTAATTTTAATATTTTATTAAAGTGCACCACCAGTTCGATAACCCACCAGCCGCCACTGATTGGAGGCGTAGGAATTGCCTCCGTCGCACCCCCGTACGTCATGAATAATACGTTACAAGAATATGTTATAACCAAAAATTATCAGCACGATCATATTGAACCTGAAATGAACCCGTATACAGTTGTTGATATAATGAATGTACCTCCAAATTAACCGTGGCCTTGACGTGCCTGGCCAAGAAGTAGTCCCTCGCCCTCAGCAGGCGCAGGGCGGGCCCGGAGGTGGCTGGGCGGGCGCAGATCCAGTACAGCAGTCTGTAGCAACTTTCAACGAGGGTCGTCGCTTCCCTGGAGGAGATCAATCATCATCATCATCATCATCATCATCATAATGGTTAAGATCAATATAATGGTCAATTTAATTAACTTTCTATTAAAAATATGAAACTGAACCATTTTCCCACGCAATATGAAATTTACTGTTTAAGTATTATACAAACGCTTAACGACCATTGATAAATACTGGTAAATCTACTATATAGCTTTTAAATTTTACCACAAATATGCGTCTTGCAATCCATTACCCTCCCTCGTTAACCAAAACCGTTTAAGGATTTAAGAGTTCAGATCTCCAGAGTATACATTGAAGGTTTCCTCAAAATCGATTATCTTCTACTAAGTACTCTATATAATTGTGTATCGTTATTAATCTATGTTACATACTTGTGTGTATTTCCCGCGGGCGCGATGTACGCCTCCAGTATGTCGAGTATAGAGTGGAAGCAGGTCCGCGGCGCGCCGCCCGCACCCGCCTCCTGTAGGACGCTGCGGGAGATCTGAAAATACATTATAATAAAGCTTTTAAAGTTATATCAGAATTTCGCAGTGTAATTCATGAACTACTAAAATATAGAATTTTCAGGTTTTATACGCTAGCCTCTTTTACTGGCGGCTTGATGAAAGGAGATATATTTAAATTATCTTCCACTTCACGGAATTATCTATCAACAAAAAACTCATATAAGATTATTCTTCAATTAAAAACTATCAAATTGTCCGATTTAGTTTCTCATTAATGATATAAGCTGTCAATTCATACATCGTCGTTAACGTTGTACCCCAGCAGGTAGTGCGCCAGCGAGGGCGGCGCGGCGGGCAGCAGCTGCAGCAGCAGCACCAGCACCCCCTCCTTGGCGGCCCGCACGTGCTCACCCTCCCCGCCCCACTCCTCCGCCTCCAGACACTCCACGAAACCCTGCCTGGAATTATACAATAAATATAACATATAGAGGGACTAGAAACAGTATTTTGTATGTTGTTGTCACGAAAACATTCAATATGTTTTTGAGACAAAAAATGTTTTTCTGTAAATCATAATAATGAACTTTATTGAAAAAACACAATGCTTGCATAATAGATTAACATATGATACAATAAATCTTCTTAAACTTAACTTAAACTATTCCAATGTTTTCCATTGATTGAGGTGCATTATGGTTTTAGCAATTTTAAAACTTTGATTATCTTTGGACCCCACACTAGGAGACCTGTAATCTTCCTTTCCTTATAATTCATCGATATTTTTTTAACAATAATGTTTCAATACAATTTGTCCCTTATGACCCATGATAAAGGGTGTTAGTATAATGTTAAGCATTGTACGGAGTAACAAGCACGTAATTCAAATACGCAAGTTAGGTGCACACTAACTGCTTTATTACAAGAAAGGTTGCACGTGAAACGCAGACCACAACCATAGACAAATACATAGTACGTATTATATTATAATACGTACTATGTATTTGTAAATATATTATAGTTATTGCCAGCATACCTTATCTCCAAAGCTAGTTCGTGTCTCTGCAACACGGCCGCCAGCAGATGTCGCGCGGTGGAAGGCGTGGCTAGGGCGCGCACCAACACACACACCGCGCGGGACGCAGCCTCCGGTAACACCGACACATGCTGCAACACTCGGCAGCACGTGATCAGGCGATCAGTGTTACGTGGACCCTCGGGCGCTGAGGAAGAAAACAATATTAGACTAGCTTATACACAGAATACAGTGATGAGTGATGAGTCACACTAACCCAGTATAAGCTTGGACAAGCCGACAACCAACACAGCCCGGCCGGCCTCCGCCGCGGCCGCGTTCAGCGCTCGCTCCAGACACAAGGCGCGCTCCAACAACTGGAGACAACTTACTAACGTGCGCTGCACGAACACCTGCACGGGGTAATACTTATTATTAACTAGATCTCACACAAACAAATCAACATCGCTGTGACAACATTGTTTTAATAAAATATAAATGAGTGACGCCGCTGACTTCGCGGAACGAACACCAAGCCGTGTGAACCAGAAGATTCCTGATACCACATAGCTATGGAATGGTATTGCTATCCTAACATCGTGCCAATCATGGAGTATTAGGCGTAGATTATAAGTTTTAATAAGTAATTTTTATATACATATAAGTTTCGTAGCACCCTATATAATTCACATATAGTGTAGGTAGTCTTTTATTTCACCTGTTCCGGTGACGGCTGTCGGTCCATCAGCTCGTGAGCTTCATCCAGCGTGGTCAGCACGAGCCGCAGCATGTCAGACTTGGTGTGTAGCTGTAACAGCAGTCGGAACCCGGGCGGGGGGTTGGCGTCCGGCTCTCTGTTGGGAGGGGGGAAGTCACCCGCTGACGGCTCGTACTGCTCCAGCCAACACGTGAACAGACGGAAACACAGCGACAGGATCTGATCGAAATATTATATACATTACTCTTATATCTGTTACACATACATTTTTTGAATGTACAAGTTTATAGCACTACCTGATTACAAACAAGCTTATAAAGTTATAACACTATCACTTAATAAAGATTTTTAATTATTCGAGTAAAGTCTTATGTCGAGAACAAATTTACTTAACGCTGAAAAGTACTAAGAAGAGTTCATTTTCGTTACAGGAAAAGCAATGTTAACTACTAACAAAAGCCATTAGTATGAATGAAACAATTATCGTCATCAGTACTATCATACTCAATTTCTAGGTTCTATGTATAAATTTGACATATTTTGTCTAATGATTATTTACCAGAGACGGTAATAAACCAAATATGTACTCAAATCTGACGAGATTTACATAAAATCTAATATAAACGTATTAAACACTTCATGATTGTGTGTTACCCGTAATAATATATAATATAACAATCTATCTTATTATGTCCAAGGCCCCCACCTCCCACTTCTCCCCGGGCCGCGTGTAGGGTCTGTGCGGCGCGGGCAGTGCGAGTCTGTTGAGCACATGGTCCACGTACGGGTCCAGGCCCGGCGGACGGGCCCCCGCCCCTAGGGTCCGCGGCAGGGGGCCCGCGGAACACAGCGAGTCCAACAGGATGAGGAACGCGCGGGATAGAGGATACTCCTCCATGCGACACTCGACCTGCAAGTATTGTTATAACAGTTACAATTCGGTTTCAAAATAAGTATGGATATAGCTAGACGATTCCTTTCATCGCGTGCTGACAGATTCATGTTGAAAATTATAATAGACACCCATTTATTTATTTTATTCTAATTTAATATAGGTATGTATTGTATTCCTCGTCGAGTGGTATAAAGTGACTGTTTTTGTTTTCTAACTTATTTTTATTCATTAGTAAAAAATGTTGTTCAGTTTAAAGAACTTTATTCTCATTACGACAACGTCATTTACATGCTAACTTACTTATAAATATAACAATTCGTTCGGATCAGCAAAACAGATGAGATAACAGTTACAATTAATTATTTTAATAGAGAATCGTTACACAGACTATGGTTATAAAGTCGAGATTTAAACATATAAATATTTGATAGAGTTTTTACTTGTTTAGGTAAATTGTTAGGTATAAAGTGTTGCTCTCTCAAAAATAATCATATTTTTTTCACTCTTAGTTCTAGCTTTAAGCAGTATTAGATGGCTAGCGCGTCTAGTTGCATATTTGTGTAATTGACCTTTGCTTTCGAAAGATATTTCTGTATGTATTTTTTTGTCTAAGATTTTACGTATAAGAATACAAGTAGTGTAGTTGTGTAATTGCTTAATATTCATTAATTTGGTTTCTTTATAGACTTTGTCTGAAGGTATTAAATAAGGGTAATGAAAAAGTAATTTAATTATTTTATTTTGAGCAATTTGAAGTTGGGCTATATTACTTTTTGATGTCACCCCCACGTTTCGATGAGATACAAAAGATTTCAGAGAGAAGGTTTCACTAAACTATTGTAAATCATTAAGCGAACTAGACTTGTTACTAGACCAACTGTACACATTATTATTATTATTATTTTTAATCTAATTTACAAATACAGTAATTTAAAAATGTTAGATTTAAATATAAAATATAAATATTAATAAATTTTCGAGCTTGAACACGTAACTGTAAATGCACGCCATTGGTCGCGTTTAGAGTGACATCACTTCTTTTCAGTCATATTTAGAAAATTTTATGAGCGTTTCCTTTTCTCAAGAATTTCTAGTGTATCGATGCCATCGCGCCCCTAAAGATACATTACGATTTTATCTGTTTTAATTGTACGATGGACACCAACTTTGTATAATTTGGCAGTGGAATCTTCCTTAAGATAGACACAATTATGGTCGGATTATTTTCTTATAGACGACCTCGATTTTTATTTTTCTAAATTAAACACGTGAAAACATCACAGTAAGAACAACCCTAAATTTTATAATAAAGTCTTTTTAAAATTATATAGCCTTAAAGTTTGACAAGTATTATAACTATATTGTGACTTCTTTTTCTCATGACTCCATTATACGAATTACATTCACATTCTCCAAATAGCCATGCAATTGAGAAAGCAAATTACCTAATTTTTAATGAATAGACCTTTTTTTTAATAGTTATTATTATATGCACTCTGTTACTATTTCAGCATGAAGTGGTTGCCTATAACTGAGGTAGCACATGGCATCTTAATTGTATTAATTTAAATGGTTGTACTTGTGTCTACTTTGTTGACGATCCAATAAATAAATAATCAATCTGTAGGTACCTCGAGAAGTTCTGCATTCAGCGCCCTCTTGTCCTTGGCGGTGGTAACTAGATGCGCGGCTTCAAGCGCGGCCCACACTCGGCCGGCGGTGGAGGCCCGGCCTCCCAGCGCGCCCACACACACACACAGCTCCGCCTTCAACTGGAGAGGCACGTGGCAGCAGATCAGACCTGGAACAACAACATGTATAGTATTTGTATGTACAGTGAATAAATAGTCAGTGGTGGCCTAGCGGTTAAAAGGCCCGCCTCTCATGCACGAGGGCGCGAGTTCGATCCTGGCCCGGGCAAGTACCGATGTGATTTTTCCGAGTCATATGTACTTTCTAAGAGTATTTAGACATCACTAATTGATGCTGATACCAAAGTGTTGATGTCAGGCAGGCGGCCGGTCGTAAAAAAATAGCCAAAACTATTTACATCATGTAAGGCAGACCCTGGCTAAAGCTGGGAAATTGCCAGGAAGAAGAAGAAGTGTTTTTATGTATGCAATAGATATAATACACTGTCTCACGTACCCCACTACAGGAGGCGGCATGTGCTCGACATTCTAACAAGTAGCGTGGAGGAAAACGGTGACGTGCGCGACTCTAGGCGGGGGTAGTAGTGAGACAGTAACTAGTTATTCTTACATAGAGTACCAGAGGGTCCTACAACCCCGACAAAGATTCGTGAGTTTATGTTGATAGTTGTATATGTTCAGTTACCGAACATGCAGTTGACAGCGTCCCACTGTAGGTTCTCACAGATGCTGGTGCAGGCGGCCTCGTCCTCGCGCGCCACGGCCGCTATCAGCTTCAAGGCAGCTATCATCGCCTCCACCTAGACACGCGATACATTAACAATATTATATATTGAGGTACCACAAACATTCCTCATAGAAACCAATTCTTTAAATTATTATTACCGTACGTGTATAGTCTTCATTAAATTTGTATAAAACCTATGTTATTCCATATCACAATTGATAAATTCAATTAACTGTTTAAAGGTAGAAAAATATTAAATCTGCCAGAAGACTACAACTACCCCACATCTTTTCTCATATTTACATTGCATGAATTCCGATTACGATATAGTTTTTGAATCTAATGAGATCTAAGATTTTCGAGAGTTTTATTGATTTACATGTAACTAATATTTTACGGATTACATTTACGAGACATCTCGTCTGCTTGTCACCACGGTTTTTAAAAAGTAGACGAAACGTCGAGAGTAGTTTCTTACAAAAATAAAGTGACGTAGTATAATCCGAAAAATATTAGTTTCATTTAAAAGTTTTTAAATCTATTTTGTTATTCACTTGAGGATGATTCTTTAATGACAAATTTGAAAAACTCCATATTTTTTTGTCGATACAAACTCTTATCTATATGAAACATAAATCTATGAATGATAACAGTATTATGTTTGTATGTTTGTTTGTATGTGTGAGTATACCTCTTCCTGTCGCACCAGCAGTCTCCCGGGTCTGAGAGGGGCGGCATGCGGGGGCTGCAGCGACCCCACCACGGCGGACGCTCCCAGCGACGACGAGTGAGACAGCTCGGAGAACGGGGACGGGTCCGCGCGCAGGTTACTGATCATATGTATGAGGAGGTTGGTTAATAATCAGTTTGATATATAATATATCAATTTGTTCATCCTATTAAATTATATATTATATCAACGACAAATTGTTCATCCTATGGTATTATTCGCAGATGACAGCACTGCTTTAATTAAATGTAATGATGAGGTAACTTATGAAAGTCAAATAAATAGTGCAATAACAACAATAATTAATTGGCTAACCAAAATAATTTAATTATAAATTTAAAAAAAACTCAGATAATGCATTTTTATCAAAGATGTTCGAGAATTAAATATAAACTACAATAATAATCAAAGGATTGAACAGGTTAATGTTGCTAAATTTCTTGGTATATTGATAGATAGTCAACTAACATGGAAACCTCAGCAGAAAAGATTTGCAAAAAACTTAACGTCTCAGCATACGCTTTACATAATTTGGCTAAAAAAGTTAATGTTAATACCATTCTAATTGCATACCATGGTCTAGTTGTTTCTTTTTTAAGATTTGGAATTATATACTGGGGTAACTGTTGTCAAAAGGACAGTATTTTTAAGGGTCAAAAACGATGCCTTAGATCTATTTTCAACTTGAAGGTCACGGACGGCTGTATACCGATTTTTAGGAAATATAAGCTTTTAACAATTCCTTGTTTATATATATTTGAAATTGCAATCTTTGTGAAAACAAATAAGCACCTTTTTCCTTCATTAAGAGAAACGAAAAATCGCACTATAAATCTAAGGTCTCAATATCATAATCTTTTATGTACAGGCAACTACAAAACTGCTTTATTGAGAAGGAACATATTGACCATGGCCCTATTATATATAACAAAATACCGAAATAAAAGATTTAACTTATGTAGAATTTAAAAAACTTTTGTCTTCTTTACTAGTTAACAAGTGTTATTACTCTGTAAATGATTATCTAATGGATAAGACATAATTTGTAAATTGCTGAATAAAAAAATGGTTGTTTGTAAAGTAGGTTTACGATCGAGATGTTTACGTGATAACGTCTTATTGGTGATATAAGTTTTTGGGAAGTAAGGAATTAATGAAGATAATTTTTTCAAATTTTAAATTACATCTATCGTTTTATTCACACTTTTGATGATAAATTTCGGGTGTAAAATGACAAGTTTACTTATTCGACTATTATATACATTTTTCTTCATATTATGGTATACATTTTTAAACATTCAACGAAAACTTAACCGCACGAGAAAATCTCCATTCGTTTGTATGCCGCTAGAGTGAGAGAGACGGAAGATCGGTCCACTCACTCGAACGCTATGCCTGCCTCCGCTCGTGAGGATTCCGCGTGACAAGTTTCACGGAATGACTGGCAGCGCTCGAGATGAGACGGGAGATCGGTCCGTCTCTCTCTCGTTATACCTGCGATCGCGCTCGTGAGGTTTTGGTGTGACACAAGTTTCTGAACATGTCACACGACTAAAACGATTTTAAAGACGTTATCACGTCAAAAATGTTTAAAATATATAACTTAATCATCTCTCTATCATTGCATCACAAATCATAGGAAATATAATATAATTGTATAGTTAATTTTAATTATGTAGTCAAGTTTAATTTATAATTTCAGTTGTACGAGTATTGTTGATTTGACCTTGTTATTTTATTGAATTGTTAATTTTCATCTGTGAAACATTAAATATGAATTTATAATTATAATTGCATGGTTAATTTAATTACTAATTTTAATTGAATAGTTAATTTTAATTTATAATTTAAACCTAATATTTGCATGTCTTATAGTAGAATGTACCTGGAACTTATACTAAAATCTATTTGTACACCTATATTCTGTACCTACATTTAGGGCAAATAAATATTATTATTATTATTAATATGTGGTTACCGAGCTTTGCTCGGTATTTAGGAATTATTAGTTTTTATTTTGCGTTTCTTTTTCATTTCGTTTAGGCATTTATAAGTGAACACGTTAAGAAGACATAAAATAATATAGGTAAATCAACATATAATTTCTTAGCCAAACCTCATAACAAACACTCATTGACTTCCTGATACTTAAAAACGCCATCTGCTGTTGTGTCGTTCAAACAATTATTAAAAGCAATTAGCAAAAAGTAGTATTACTATTCGCTAATAGGTGTCAGGAGCTAGATCGATTTATCGCTCCGAAACCTCCTATATACTAAATTTCATGAAAATCCTTGGGGCCGATTCCGAGATTCCAATTCTATATACATATGTATATAGAAGAATTGCTCATTTAAAGATATAAGATAAGATACCTGAGTTAAAATTGCATTACAAATGAGGCAGCTTCTTTTACATAATCTAGGCGAGAGGGTTGTCATATATATTTGTATCTGTTGCATGTTAATACTTTAACATTACATAAATTCCTACATATTATAATGACTTTCACCTACCGTCAAGTAGCATATAAAATGCTCTATACATTATAACGTCATAAGTCATAACATACTTCATGTAATAGAAGCGTATTTACTTAGTGTGATTTTTTTAGTTAAATTATTATTTACTTACATACACGTACATATATTTTAAGTCAAATAAAAGCTATTACTCACCGATGGTACAGCGACAGCGCTGTGAGTAAATGATGTGCGGAGAGCGCGTCCCGCCTGGCTAGTAGAGCCCACGTGTGTTTTGGCACCGCGAGCGCAGCCAGGGCGCGGAGGTAGGCTGGCAGGAGCGCAGCCACCACCACCTCGCCCGACAGACGGACGAACTTGTACAAGGTAGCCGCGCGTCCACCCGCCCTGGAAATATACATGGGAAAAAGGTTAACCTCTAGATAATCAATATATACCAATATGTATTAACATAGTTGTATAGTGACATAAAACTAATGTTTTTCGGATTTATTGCACGTTTATTTTTAACAACATTCTTCCAATGTGCCGTCTTGTCTGCCCGTGATCACGATTGTTGTAAATTAACCGTAACATCGAGAAAATGTTGTTAAAAATAATTATAAACGCGTAGTAACCTGAAAATATTAGTTTCATTTAAATGAATACTTTCCAAAGATCTCACTATTATCTATGTTTTAGAGGAGAAAATGATGAAAAATTGTATATTTTTTCAATCATATTCCGCTTACCCTACCTCAAATCTGTGCACGCCACTGCTTACTGGTAGCTATTAACATAGTTATATAGTACCTATAAGATATACTATATGTCAGTGGTGGCGTAGTGGTTAAAAAACCCGCCTCTCATGCACGCGTTCGGTTCGATCATGGCCCGGGCAAGTACCAATGTAAAAACTATTCACAACCCTGGCAAAAGCTGGGTAAATTGCGAGGTAGAAGAATATAGTACCTATATGAGTGTGCGGAGGCGTCACAAGCCAGCCAGTAGTCCTTGCGCAGTCCCAGTGGATCGTGTTGGTAGGCTCGTTCCACACAGCGAAGTAACGCCTGGAGGCGGGACCGACCAGCCGGGGCTGACAAACCCTCCGCCTGGTACATCTGGGCCGCGCGGGCTGATTCCTCCGCTCTGGACATACAGAAATATAATGTTAATTACACTTACAAACTTGAGTTAATTGCTATATATACATATAACAAGGCAGACCCTGGTTAAAGGTGGGAGGATGCCAGTTTTGCTGGGCTTAGAATGTTGAGGATAAAGGAGACACTAACTAGTTCACTATTTATTTCTGAGAGAGTACAAGAAGACACACTGATTTACATATGCAATGATTCGAATTTTACACATGATTTATATCAAAGAATATGAGATACACAGATGTGACACATTTTAGACATAGATTATTTAACTTAAACTGTTTACTTACCACACACACCACACCAGGAAGAAGATACATATATAAATAGAACACTTAAATATTACAATGACATCTAACTTGGTTATTATTGTTGGATGACTCACAGAGTAAATAACTTAAAAATGCTTCAATAATGATTACTCCGAGCTAGCTACATAGGTTTAAAACATAAAAACATCTATTCCATATCAAACAGGACATAAGTCTAAATGTAACCTGGATGAATTCAATATGACCGAAAAAAAAAATATTTAAAAAAAGGTCAGATCACTAACAATACAGGTCTGTTTATAGTGGTAGTGTCTCAAGTGACCATCAATAAGAAAGTGTAATGCTTCTATATTGAATAAAGTTATTTGAGTTTGAGTTTGAGATACATAGTATACTAACTTGACCCTCATCTCCATGAGCTTGGAGTGCATGAGGACTATGAAGTCTGTGATGAGTGAGTGGACCCGCCGCTGGTAGTATTCCTCAGACGATACCAGCTCGCTCGACAAGATGGCCTCGTCTAGGTACTCAAACACCTGGAACATTATACACTAATATATTAGATACACCTTAAAAAAAAAAAAAAAAAAAAAAAAAAAAAAAAAAAAAAAAAAAAAAACTATTCACAATACGTAAGGCAGACCCCGGCTGTAGCTGGGAAATTGCCAGGTAGATATTAGATACACCTTACTTGTGTACTATCAGCCTATTGGTGGCAATGGCTGAAAGGCTTCTTCTCACAAGAAGAAAATTAGATCATTATTTAACACACTTGCTCAAGACGGGTTGGCGATTTCAATTTATAATTTGAATTTAAATGTCCAAGTTTCCTCACGATGTTTTTCTTCAGCGCCTATCAGTGGTGTCTAAATACTCTTAGAAAGTACATATGACTTGGAAAAATCATATTGGTACTTGCCAGATTTTCATCTCCAGGCCACCACGACTATTTTTACTAGTGTTTATTGATGTTTGATTTTAGTATTATTTTATTCTAAAGTTTTTTTTACTTCCAAGTTACACATGGAACTACAAATTCCAAGGTTCATAGTGATGGTCAGAAATCGCCATCATATTAGGGTTTTGTATATTCATCTTCACATTTTATGGTTAAAACCCATGTCAAATCACACAAAGCTATACTAACCCCCCCATCTATGGCCGCGTCCACCAGCATCTCATCCTGGTCCAACAGCTCGGTCTTAGGGTCGGCACGTCTCAGTAGCGACACGGGCGCCCTCTTGAGAGCGGCTAGTGCCAACCCTAGCGACAGCTGACACAGAGCCTTCAATCCGTTGGGCTTCTCATCATCAGCGTGGCTCTGGTTGACCGGCGGTGACAGCTGGTCTAGTAATACTGATATCAGATCCGCGTCTTGTATCAACGGTAATTTCTTAGCCAATTCCTCGCCATCTTCCCGCCTGTGAGATTGTTAAAAGAATTGCTAAATTTGATTCAGTCAGGTATTTGGTGTAACTTTAAAATCTGTTATATTGTAAAAAAATATAGAATTGAAAAAAAGTTTGTGACTGAATATAACGTTGTTAATTTTTTAACACTTTAAAGGTATAAAGTATATAAAAGTAAATATTATCTATATAGTCTATAAAGTAAATATTATCTCAACCTGTGCAGGACTGACAAATCCAATGCATACAGCAGCGCCATTTGAAGAGCTAGAGATATCTCATCCAACGCTCCTGTTGGTCCCTTAGTTGGTGACGTCATTTGCTAAAACAAATAAAAGTATTATAATATAAGATTTAACTTTCCAGATCATTTAATAATTCAAATGAGTGAGTACAAACCTCTGATAATAGTCTCAGCAATATATCTCTTTCCAACCCACCCTGAGCGGACGCCGCGAATATAACTCCAGCCAGTAATTTCCTGGAAAATGTTATAAAAATAATTAAAAAATTTAATCTGTTCAATTATTCCCTACAAGTTTTAATATTAAACTAAGCGTCAAGATATTGTTGCAGAAAAATCTATCCCCTCAACTATAATAAAAGAATATTTATCTTCTATATACAGGGTGACTGGTGAATTACTATCAATATTTAAGGAGAATACTCGGTACATGATTCTCATTCAAATTATGTAAAAAAAATAGGTACTTTATTTTTGACCAAATTTCCGTATAAATAAATAAAGTGTTGACACGTTCCAAGTGTTCCAAGTGTGGACGCGTGCGGTGGCGTAGTGTTGTATTAGCACGCGTGTGTGTGTGTGTGTGTGTATACCTAATCTGTAGGGTGTGCACACGATGCGTAATTAATTACATAACTTTTGGTTAACTTTACTTAGAAGTTTATTAATATTTATGTTATATTAATTTTTATATTGTCATATATGATCGTCAAATATCACGTCCTCAAATATCGATAGTAATTCACCAGTCACCCTGTATATAAAAATGGATTGCTGTTCCTTAGTCTCGCTAAAACTCGAGAACGGCTGAACCGGTTTGGCTAATTTTAGTCTTGAAATACTCCTGGAAGTCCAGGAAAGGTTTAAAAGGTGAGAAAAATTGGAATAGTTGCCGGGAAAACCCTAAAAACAGCCCTTTTCTATTTCCCATACAAACGTTTTTTTTGACATTAGATTTGGCAACTAACTAATATGTCAATCATTCTGTTTGATTGAAACAAGAAAAACCTGATTATTTATGGCCTCTAAGACGGAATAGAGTTCGCCTGGTTAGCTATACCTACATATATTACTCTTGACCAAACTAACGCGGACGAAGTCGCGGGAAAAAACTAGTATGAAATATATTACATCAATACTCTCACACTTACAATGTAGCATTAAAAATAAATGTTCCTATTTATTATTTTATTCTCCAAATATTCTTAGCTCAACCACTTTGCCAATGGGAGATCTTACCTAGTATTCTGTATGCTGGCCACAAGTCGTACATGGTATGTAGGAGGAGGAAGTGCTCTGTTCCGTCGTAGCAAGTCCAGCTCAGCGTCAAGGTCACACCGCTGTAGGGCGTCTAATACACCACTCAGCAGACCATCAGCCACCAACTGACCCACATACCGGGAAACATAGCTCACCACCTCCTCACGAGCATTTATTGACCTTCATGACAAATATATAATGAATAATTTATTGAGATCTAAGATTTTCGCGAGTTTTATTCATTTAAATGAAACTAATACGTTTCAGATACTACGCGATTTTATTTTTGATAAAAACTACATGCTCCCGATGTTTCGTCTGCCCATGATGACGGTTACTGAAAAAAAAGCAGAAACGTCGGGAGTATGTAGTTTTTACAAAAATAAATTCGCGTTGTGTAATCCGAAAAATTTGTTTTATTTAAATGAGTAATTTGCTATCAAAACTTAGAGACCATGTCTTAAACTTTCAAACACAAATTGGTACTGAATTGAGGAAAGTGCATTGATTAACATCAAAAAAGCTACAGGAACAATAAACCAAAAATTAACACATTAAGTTAATGTTATTAACTAGAACATAATTATTATTTAGCAAAACAATATACTACTTATTACTATGACTTATCAAAGATCAAATATTACAATGACTCACCATGACACACCATCCTTAGCCATGACTAACTCCTTGAGTGCCTGTACAAGTGCTCGTCTGCCATCGTAATATAACAACACAGCAAGTAGACCACGCGCCAGCCCGGGCCGCCGTGAACTCTGACACTGCGCCGTGTGAAGTAACTCCAAACAAGCATATTCATTTGCATTGTACATATCTGAAAACAAATAAATTTCTTACTTATATTTCTGTAAAATATACAAGATTTATTTCAGTTTTTATAGTTATATTTGCTTTAAAGAAAGTAACACTTAGGCCACTGAACGAGATTTACTCTTCAAAGTTCCACTAGTTAAGTGAACAATCAAAAGGGGTTCAGTTATTTAGGTGTGAAAACGTAACAGATAGATGGACAGAAAGACAAAGTTACTTTCGCATCTTTAATATTATTGACATTATCTGAATGATCTTCACTAATGCCCACTTATTTTATTTTGTAAATTTTCTTACACATACACATTCTATTATCATTGATGCAAAGAGGAAAGAGAGAGATTAAAACCCAACACATTTTATGTACCCCCTACATGAGAGTGTTAGAGTTATAATTTTGTTATAACTAAATTCTGATACAAAGTTCAAATGATCAAAATAAGAAATTTGGAAATCCAACATATGATGTGAAGATAATAATATATGTAAAAAGTATTAAAAATATTATTAATTTACCAGAGATAATTATAGCTTCATCAACCAACTCCTTTGACAGTAAAGTCCTACCGATGCTGGGCAAGTTAACTCCCTCTGTGATGCCTCGCTTGATTTCTTCTCTGCTGGCTGCATTTTTAGCCTAAACAAAGAAATAGAATATTAATAAGATATAATATAGCAATCTAAAACTATTACAGTAATACGCCGCTTTACGCGAGGGATACGTTCTGAAGAAAATCGCGTTAACTGAAATTCGCGCATAAGGTTTATGATTAAACACAAATATGAAAATCATTTTAATCAATCACTTTGATTCGAAGAACACTATACAATACATAGGTACTCCTATTTTTTACGAAAAAATACATGTATTGTCTTTTGGGTAGCGTTTTGTTATGTTCTTGTAAAATAAGTTCATAACACCCAACACTGTTTTTAATTGTTTGACACACGGTCAAGGCGCGGTCATCATTATTATCTAAAGTCTGCAATATGTCCAAATCTGAATAAATTTTTGAAATTCGTGTTATAGTGAAACCGTGCACAATGGGGTCACATTAAGCGGGGTATTACTGTATAGTGTGTTGTGTGTACATACTGATGTACTTATGATAACAAATTATTAATCTTTGTTTCATTGGCTTTGGTTTTAGTGGGGTTTATAAAATGTAAAGTTAGTACATTTAGGACTTATAATATATGTTTGAACAATAAGTAAATACTGGATACTTATTTTGAAGAAATTAATAGAAATTTAAATGTAATTTGTTTGTGTAACTAACAAAACACCTGTATGTGGTATGTTATTTGTACTAAAACTTATTTGTATTTAACTTCATGCAAGATCTGTAAAACAATAAAATATATGGACCATTCTGTTCCCTCAAATATGACCAGGCATTTATAATTAGAAATGAAATAAGAATATAAAACATAATGACAAAAGCATACGTTATAAATTATAATAGTTAAACAGATTAGTTATTCAGGTCAACAATTAAAATGACTTCTACACTTACAGGATTCTTTAAGAGTGACAAAAATGTTTGTTTGTGTCTTCGTAGAACAGATTCGAATGTATGTACAGAATAAGGCACGCCGCTACTTTCGTTAGTGAGATAACTCTCCACAACAGCTGCTAACTCCTTATATGGTGTCCATAAGTCTTCCGTAGTTGTACCTGAAATTTTATTTAATTTATGATGAAACATTACATTTGTACATTCCATCTGTCGACCATAATATCATTAACAAACTAAAAAAAATGATTTTTATATACGTTTAAAGACAAAGAATATACTTTATTATACTGTAATAACGTTTCAAGAAACAAAAATACGTATGACCATTTATCTCAACGAAACCGCCAAATTCTTGTAAATAGGTTATGTTTAAACATAATTTCTACATTTACCTTCATTGATGTCCATTTCGTAAGTTTTTTTAATTTATTATAATTACATCAAATCACATATATTTCGTTACAAGTTTATAGTTCTTATAATTATTCAATAACAACATTTGCACTACAACACTATTTTGAATTCTACTGACACTCTTCAGTTTGTGATTCTTGACAGCTTAATATTTGTTGCCGACTTCTAGCCTGTTGGCTGTGGTTTATAATCTATACTCTATAGGATTTCTTTATTTACGCTAGTAGACCAGTACCGATAGCTTTTAAAACATAATTAAATTATAGTAGAATGAAACCCATTAGAAAAGGAGGGGAATATTATAAAAATTAAGGGAAAAATAATTAACGGGCGATCTGAGGTCGGGAAGAGTACGGACGTGGGTATTTAAGGGTAAAAAATGGGTTTTCTCGATTTCCGGAAAAACTTAGAGTCCTGATGAAAAATGCTAATTGGCAAAGTTGTAGGTAATAAAAAGATCTAAAACTTTTGTATTTACACTTTTTTCACATAACCTGAAAATTTATGTGATAAATTCGAAAAACCAAGTTTTTAGATTTTTATTTTTGTCTCTTACAAAAAACATTTTTTTATCACGAAATTTGTTGAAAACTTTTCTTTTGACATTACAAATGCACTGTAATTTATTTCATTAGAAATATTTATTTTTTCAGCTTATTTTGAATAAATACCTAAAAATCAGCCTCATTTTCAATCGAAAAATCACCCGTCAAAATATCAGCTATTTTTAAAAATTTGGTATGTTTTCAGTTTGTTGAAATCTCTATTTTCCGATGGTGAAGATAAAAATATAAATGTACCATTTTTGAGGGACTATCTGGAGAACTTCCAGTGTACACAACTATTAAAAATAAATTAGAAAGGGCATTTTGAAACCGATGTCGAGTGTCATTTCTTTAAAAGAGACATGATTATTTTATCCAAAAATGGTACTTTAAGTAAGAAACTTATTTTTTTCTTCACCATCGGAAAATAGAGATTTCAACGAACAGAAAACACACCAAAAGGAAAGTTTTCACCAAATTTCGTGATAAAAAAATGTTTTTTGTAAGAGATAAAAATAAAAAACTAAAAACTTGGTTTTTCGAATTTATCACATAAATTTTCAGGTTATGTGAAAAAAGTGTAAATACAAAAGTTTTAGATCTTTTTATTACCTACAACTTTGCCAATTACCATTTTTATCAGGACTCTAAGTTTTTCCGGAAATCGAGAAAACCCATTTTTTACCCTTAAATACCCACGCCCGTACCCTTCCCGACCTCAGATCGCCCGTATAATTATTTTTCCCTTAATTTTTATAATATTCTCCTCCTCTTCTAATGGGTTTCATTCTACTATAATTTATTTTCACTTTTCATCATTTTTAGAGGCATCTGCACTGGCCTATAGCGTTAAATGTGGTTAATAAGTTTTAAGCATGAATTATGAATTCGAAGTTGATTTGATTCCAAAATTATTATGATATTCATTTATATTAAACAACCTAGTATTTTTAAATATGAATGAATAAATATTTAGTCCACATTCACTCAAACGCACACCGTAATACCGATCACAGTATAAGAGGATAAAAACCCGAGAAGGTAATACAAAACCACAGAGGATATTTGTTCGTCGGCTTCTATTAATTTTAAAGCCCGTTGTGTCAATAGAGCTTATGGCTCCTTGAGAAACCATCATCCACGCAATGGACAAAACACCCGTTCGGTGAATCCATGGAAAGCTGAGAAGTTACGTCTCATATGATACAATCATACACATAGCTATATAATACATTACATTCATATACATTTTGGTTTTTAAGAATTACAAATAAAATTCAATAAAATATTTGTAATTTTAATTACTTTCAACTTGTTTAAGGATGAAAATATCTTCAGGCCGAAAATCTTAGAAAAAACAACATCTTATTTTCTTCACGAATTTAGATTATTCAACAAAGATCAATTAAATTCTATTAATTAATTACCTACTTAAATTCCATTTCAAGTGTTAAAACTTCTGAATATTTCCTCCAATTGTTTTTAAATATATTTCTGAATGTGATGTTAAGAGAAACATAATATCTAAATCATTGAATGAAGGTTCCATCAGTTCAAAAATGATCAACTCCATCGTTGATATTAGCAATCTTTACTCTTATCTTGAATTTCTTCATAATTTCTAGTCACTTAATGTGGAAGGATGCTGACATCATTCTTTCTCCACGAAAGCTAACAATTCCTCACTGTTAGTTTACAAACCTAGTTCCTTTTTTAGAAAAAAAAGTTTAACAGCAGTTAAATTCATTTTTGAAGCTTTATATGCTTTCAAACAATTTCTCTTCAAAAAAATGCTCTTAGAAAACTTCGAATGACATTCAAATGCATATGATTGACCGATAGTTCACACTTCACAGTGACCGTAGTGCTACATTTCAGGAATGCATTTAATAAAGTTGATTTTGAAATAACATTATATTTATTTGAATGTAGAATGTCTTCCTGAGTAATCGACTGATTCCTAATTACTTACATGAATTAATTTTTTTAAAGAATATTCTTTGATCTAAATGACCAGCTTTTTATATCGCTTACTATAGGTAGGTATATTACCGACAACCGATATAACTCAGTGTTGTTGTCACCATTACTCTTTGCAGTTTTCATTAATAGTAATTAATCAATATCTCTCGTCGCTACCCTGTCACATGCATGGAGATATACGTCATTATATACGCAATTGATCTAAACAAATTTGTCGTCTGCTATTGTTCCTCTTAAACATACTTAACAACCTGTCTGCAATCCTCTCTTGGGAGTAAATCGTTCGGATAGTACCAAGGTCAATTAATTCAAATGCAATTTCACCAAACATGTCATAAAAACTGACTATGATAATGCGCCAGTAGTATCTTAAACATTGCCATACTTATCGCTATAATAGATCATAGTGGCATAATCAAGCCAAGGAAGATTAACTTTTATGGGTCAATTGTGGCGGTAATGGCAATTACTTCTTATCCCCACAATACTTGTTTGAATAAGGTCTTCTCTTTTCGATATTTGACAACACCCATTTACGTTATCTTGGCCTAACAGGAGACTAAATGAACTCGAGGGACTCCTAAAATCTCACTCTTCTTTTTACTTTTAACTTGCCATACCTTGTCATACAAGTCCATTTATTGACCTCTTTTAACAGTTATCAAAAACTGTTCTCTTGACTATAATAATATACTAAATTGTCTCAGGTGTCTTTCATATGTATGTTATTTCTATATATAAAACCAAAAATCTGTAATTGTTATCTAATCTCTGTAATATACATAAAACACAATGTTTATTTTATTATTTAATAATCTTATGTGTACTTTGTATATATAATGTATATCTAAGGTTGTACTGTCGGAATGGTTGCCCAAAACCGACCATTAGCCGATATGTGTAAAATTTATAAGATGTAGGTACAAAAAGATCAAAGTTTAGTGTTTTATTGCGAGGAACTTGAAAAGGATTGTCTATACTATTGCATAAGAACAAAATGCATAAATACAATGCATGTTACAAAAAAAAAACTTTATTCCAGCTTCTTTTACTTGTTCATTTACTCCATGACTGCCGAGCATGTCATCAATAAACCAGCAAAATTTTTTGACATAGGCAAAAGTCACTGTCAAAATGTCAATCCATCATTGTTTAGCCTCATTTTTAATTATTACCTAATTAAAAAAAATTGTATATACAATTTTTTTTAAACCATTTCAAAAAAAAAATGTAATGGTACGTATGTCGTATTACTTACATACCCTTCATTTACTTCAGGTAGACAAAAAGTACGTAAAAATGTCATAACACCATTTATATGAAGTTATGAATCAAGTATGAATACTAATAGGTTTGAAATTATAAATAAATAAAAGAAAAATACAACATTCAGATAATCTTTAATCAGTGATAGAGAACAACAAGAATACATAGGTATCATCACAAGAATAAATTACTTAAAAAAATATGTTCTACGGACAATCTAGATTTAATAAAACTCGATTAAAACGGTTTAAAGAGATTGCTCGATGGTATATAAATACTCCATGCATTTGTTCCTGTGAAATGTATTATTATAAAATACTATATTGTGGAAAAATTCACCAACATTCGTAACTTGTACGGGAAGAGTATTGAGAACATCCACAGCTTTATCATTCCTTACTTTATCACACTCCGCATCGATCACCTCTAGAAGGTTCAACAGAGATTTGTCCTGTAAGTTACTTAAGACTATACTCCCACACGAAGCAAATCCAGTCTTTTCAAAACATGTCTTAGAAAGAATATACAGAGCGCTGACATTGAAATGAGTCAGTGTGTTAAAGTTTTTTAGTATCAATGACTCCCCGACTTCTAACTCTTTAAGAATACTGAGCAATGATTTGAAGCAATTCTTTTCATAAACATTGTAACTATCTTTGTATTTAATGTCCGGTAAAGTCAGAACCTTTGAGATTTCATTTTCCAATGTCATTTTAACCTGACCTTTGGTTTGTTTATAAGATATAATCTCCATGAATTCTTCTTCAGCCAGTATCTGCTGATATAGTTTGAATATTGGTACAAAGATGAATTTTGAACTGTTAACCTTTTGCAATGGCCTGCCGTATGTAAAGACGGGGTCAAGTTTAAGATTTTCTTCCTTCACCATCCAGCGTATGGGCTCATTTATTAATATAAGAGGATTGGAGAGAAGTTCAGCTTGCAAAAATGCATTAAGATTCTTAAGCTTTTCTTTCAGTGACATCTTTGTATACAGCTGCCTCTCTGTGAATGACCCTCGGTGGTATCGAGGATTGGTATTAATTTTATTTTCTTCATGTAATATCCCTTTAAGAATCTCTTTTTCAATATCAATTGGTTTCAGGTCATACTTCCAAATAAACTCTGATGCCACAATTGTCCTGATTTTCTTCATGTCTCTATGTAGTGCTATATTCTTCTGCATTAAATATGCTTGAAGATTATTATTTATCACATGGCATTGTATGGAACAAAAATAATATGCACACTCCTCAATTTGCTTCAAAAATGATTCTGGAATTGATTCCAATGGAAATAAAGCTGTCTTTGAATAGAGATCTGTTCCATAGGTTGATTTTAGAATGGAAATATAATTGTTTAAATTAACATTTTCCTTGTAACCAAGACATATAGCATAAACCTCTGAATTTCCTTGACGGGATGTTACTGGTTTATAAATGTTGACCTCTTTAAACAGATGATTGATGAGATACAGCAAGCTTACTGTTGTGTGTTCAAATATTGTGAACAGTTTGAATATTAATGTTCCACCTGAAACGGCACACTAGGTCAGTTATCTGTATATTTCACTTCAAATTATTGTCTATTATTGAATGTGGCACTAACCTGGACTTAATGATTGTAATGCGGTAACAATCTCACAGTAATGCAAAGGAGATGTGACTTCTTCTTGTGCATCAGGTTTCTGCAAGCAATCTATTGATCCGTCTGCCGTCACTAACAAAACCTAAAAAAAAGTTAAAGGTATATAGCAACCGGTTAAATTCATTAGTAATTTATGAATGAATGTGTTCTAACTTTTCCTAAGCTTCTAGCCTTATTGATGATCGCTTGCGAGTTCTCCCAATCCATGAGGTTGCCGGTACTATCAACTCCAAAATGCCAATGGTCTAAAGTGTGGAACATGAAGCGATCATCACTGATCATGTTTGACGGAGAATTACCTTCATAATATGGGTTTAGAGTGTTTGCTACCCATTGCCACTGAAACACAATGTTATTAATGAAAACCCCTATTTGAGTTCTGAAACCAATTAAAAATTGTATTTATTAAGGTTACCTGCATTTCCTGATGATGAGACTTTAAGTAATGATTTAAAGATGTAATAAATGCTCCCGGTGCTTCACATAAGTGAAGAGAAACTATCTTATTTGATATTTTAGCTTCCTTTGGCACAATTTCATATGTGCAAGCACATTCATAGAATTTTGTCCAAGCCTGAGTCAAAAATTCAGGGTTCACTAAGCATCGAATCTTCCAACCCACTTCCCCCGCTGGGTTTCGGCGCCGCGTGTGGCTACTCCATTCCTCAAGGCTGAAGTCATTTAATTGACTCTTATGGAAATTTAGTCTGGATTTGAGAGACTCGAGAACCTTAAGTTTCCATGGCGCTGTAGAAAACCAGGACTCTTGGTCGGGCAGTTTCCATTCGCTGTTAAACCGGAATTGATACTTCTTGTTGAACAAATCATTTAATTCCTCTTCAAAGTCTTCTCCTCTATACAATTTATGCCGGGTAAATATGTTTTCATTTTTGTGAAACATGGTAACAAGAATAACAGAAAAATTATTTTATTTCCTTTATGCGTTGCAGCTAAATATAATGATTTCTGCTTGAAGTTTATGCATCGTTAATAAAATAAACGCAATATATATTGTTTACTGAAAGGCAATAGTTTCAATGTGGGACACATTTTATTATTTATATGTGTTCTTATTCCTCACAGTTTAAGCTAAAAAAAACTACAACTCAACGTACAATGTTTACAAAAATCTACTCGCAAAGGCCATTAATAATTAAATTATTGACAAATTTCATTTGAAAAGTGTTGCCAACTACACACGCAAAGACATACTAAAGATTTAAAAATAAATTTTGTTTCAGCACTAATATTCATATTAATTATATATGTACGATATAATTTAAAAAATATTCAATAAACAGGATATATTTGAAAAATTGTTTCAAATCTAAGGCAACTTTAGATTAATGTCAATTGTCAAAATATAGGTAATTCTTGTGACATATTTAACTGACCCAATCATTTTGTTCCCGTTAGTTTTTATAGTTTGTTGATATTCGACGTTGTTACCTTCTTTGTTAATAGTTGTCATTAGACGGGTAGATGAAATAAATGTGAGTGAGGTGACCAAAGTACAGTAATTTGTTGCATGCCACGTAAAATCCTTGTTCAGTAATATGTATAAAGCAATCTTTGAAAGACGAAGTGTTTAGTTACAGACATATGCTACAGACAAACTTACTAACTTCTATACGTTTGACTTCAATGTAAAGGAAATTCTTATGAAAAGAGCGTGACGACTGACCGTTATATTTGACTGGTGTCGTGACAAGACGGTACTTAATTTTCTTTAATTAATTGATGTAAAAATGAGCATGATCACTGCTGTAAGAAATAATGATCGGAAGGAAGAGAAACCACCACACTCGAGAGTTTTTGTTGTCTGCAATAAACAATTAAAGGAAGAAGACTTAAGGTTGCGATTTCAACGCTTTGGAGCTATCGAGGATTTGTATATACCGAGAGACAGGCACACTGGAGAATCGAAAGGCGTTGCTTACATTAAATACGCGAAAACATCTTCTGCGGCCGCTGCCATACAGGAGGTACACATGAAAGTTTTAAATAATGATAACAAACCCACAAAAGTTATGGTGGCTGTTAATAAAAACGAGAACCCCGCACAAAACGAAAATGTAGATAGATATAGGCGACTCTTCATCAAAGTACAGAAAGATGCTAGCGAATCTGAGCTCAGGCACCACTTCTCAACATTTGGACAAATAGAGTCAATACACCTACAAAGAGACAAAGTGACTGATGTATGTAAAGGTTTCGCTTATGTCCAATATAAAACATTCTATGATGCAGCTAAAGCTTTTGAAGAATGCGATAAGAAATATAGACCAGTATTTGCTACTCCGAGAGATGATTTGAAAAGAAGCAGAAATAGCCTTGATATTGAGCATCATAATATTAACGGATATAGTAATACAAAGAATGTCCATAATCATTACCCGGAAAGACACGGCCAGCTAAAACTAGAATACAGTAATGAAAATATGAATGGAATGATGTCATCTAACTCTTATGATTTTAACACTATCTCAGTTAAATGTAGCCCGCAAGTACCCAAGAAGTATATAGAACAATTATTCAATGTAATACCTGGTATGGTTCAATGTCAATATTATTTGGACACATTTAATGGGATTTCTAAAGCCGTTATAACATATGAGGAATGTAGATCCGCGGCGCACGCAGTTGACAGGTTGAATAATTTCGAATTTCCGTCTGGGGAGATACTATCGGTCAAGCCAGATAAGAACCCTTTGGTCAAAGCTGCTAATGATCTCACAGATATTGTCAATAATTTTAGAAATGCTGTCGATTATGGTGCACCCGACATAAAACAACTGGCTGAAGCTATCGCCAAAGCATCCAATTTAATAAAAGCTTCAACAACAGGCCAGATTTATTCACCGAGAGATCAGCATGACTACAATTATTGCGACGTTATTTTACCACCTCACAAACCGATGGCGGACAGCAATAGCAGAGTTGCCCAAAGGTTGTTCATTATCTGCAAACCCCAGCCTCCGCCAATGTCGACTTTACAAGATGTGTTCTGTCGTTTTGGAGATCTCATTAATGTATCCACTATACCAAACAAGACATTCGGTTTTGTTAAATACGCCTCTGTGAATGCCGCACAGGAGGCAATGAGGGTTCTTAACGGAGCTACAGTTACCGGTGTGAAGTTAAAAGTTTTAGAGGCTGATGAGAAGCCAACCAAGGAAGATAAAGTAGGTCAAACGGAACAAGCTGAGAACAACGACTATGATATGGACAGCAAGAGAATGAGACTTGACGACAAAGACTAGCCTAGAACAGTTTAGTTAATGACTACACCTCTGTGAGCTGGACTCTTTTGACATTTAAGGATGAATTTTAATATTTTAACTCAATACTTTATTATAACACGACTTATTTTTTACCTAACTCTTTATATCTTAATGTGTCCTCCATACTCATTGTACATATACAATCTTTATTTTTTTCTCTCACTTTATCATTCTTATAAATTTTTGTTCTTCCATATTTTTATTTTTTTATTATATATTTAATAAAAAGAATTATATTTTGTAAATCAAAAACAAATAAATGAAATTTTAGTGCAAGGATTTTATTTATATATTTTTTCTTAATATTACTTCTGAACTACACTTATTCATAAATAACAATATTTAGTAATCCTAATGTATATAAAATTATAAAACAATATTACACAAATTTTAATTTGGATTAATTTATACATACAATACATAATACACACATGGGACTATACATCAAATATTTCCCAAACACTCGTACATATACACGAAAGATCAAATGTATGAACTGCGAAAACGAACTATGTGACACGATTAAGTCAAGCTTGCAATAAGTCAAATACAGTCAAGGTCATACGTGCGGTAAGTCAAACTGGCGTCGACTCAAATACATATAATAAATAAGTACGACAAAGAAATTTAATAACTTAAGATTCAGAAAACACGTAATATACTTATCAGGAATATATTTAGAACCTAAATTATTTATTTATAATGAAATAGACTTCTTTTTAATGTTCCAAATCAATATTAATATGAGTTAAATAACTTTCAAGTAATATAATCATTCATAAGAATTTAGCAATTCAAATAAAATCATTTGTTTTTGTTTTTACTAATGGTTAGCAACATGTGAAAATATAAAAAATGTATGTGGAACGGAAAAATATAAATCCATAATTCGTAAAAAGCAAAAAAATAATGTTAATTCTATAAAATAGCATTCACATTATATAAATAAATCTGATGCTGGAAATTTGTAACAGAGTCAAGTTAAAGGCATGAAATACACTCACTTTATGTCAGGTATACATATTCAAGTGTTTGTGTGTATGTGTTTATAATAATCATAAATAATTAAAATCAAAAATTAATGATATCAGTAATTATTTTAATACAATCTATAATATAAATTAAAACTATTTATAGTTAAAGTATTCTGTTATACAAAAGTCTCGAATATTTATTCCATACTAGGCATTCTGAGAGAAAATTAGGACTTGGAAGTCTGCCAATGAAATTGGGGGTGGTTAGAAGGATTCTTTGAGACTGACTAACATCATCTAATTAGGAACATGAGATGTTACATAGCAGACATTTAAACTCATTGTTGTGAAGGAAAGTCATTATTAGCCAGAAACAGTAAAAAATTATACAAAATGAGATTATTATCAGGTTATTCTGAGTGTTAATTAGGTTCTAAAAATATCTAAATCCACAAACCATTATAAAACAACCTAGTATATATTAATAATTCATGAAAACAGAAAAACACACTGCCAAATAAAATTTCAACCCGGGGATCACTCTAAGATGGTTATAAATACAATTTGACACACATTACAAGTGAAAATAACTCACTCTTTTTTTTCTGGCTTTTATAAAACAAGTACTGTGTGATCTGTTTAAAACTTGGTTGTACAAGCCTGACTTTAAATGGTTAAAACGACTAAGTCGTGATAATGTTAATTTTAAACTATCTGCTAAAACCGCACATGATAAATGTTGCCTTATTATCAAATAAAATTAATTTACAAGTCCAATCACAGTTCAATTAATTCACAAACAAACAAATTATATTATACAGTTAGTACTCAAAGTGTGGAATGGCAAAGAAGTAAGACACATTTCTTCAGACTGAAAAAAACACTGCACGAAGTCGTACAGACTAAAACATTTCTACTTATATACTGTCCAATATATACCTTGATTACATATATAGTCATAATGCTGGCTGAAGAGTGAAATTAATTTTTGTTTTTAAGTAAATAAGTGACCTCATTGATACCCATTAATAGTTTATTGATCAGATCATCATATTGAAGAGCGGTAGTGTTCTGCTCTGCTGGTGTCCAGTTCTTATTGACCTCTCCCAGTTTAGTTTTGGCTTGGACCATCTAAAACAATTAATCAAGTATATATATACACTTTGGGCATTACCAAATTGCTTTGAGTAATCCTTAGAAAAAGCAACTCAGAATTAGTTTTGTGACTCTAGTAGGGTAAAAGTAAATATACAGAAAAAGCAACAAAAATGGCAAAAATGTTGTGTATGAGTAGTATATATATGTAAAAGTATAGAAACCTGAGTGAACATATTGACATCATCACACAACTGTGTCAACTTAGCCTCCAGCTCCATATTCTTATTATTTGCAATATTCTTATTCAGCTTAATTTTTGCCAAACGATTCACAAGATGGTCGAGACTTGTTGCGTATGGTTCCAGGTTTATGTTTTCAATCTTAACGTGAGGCTGTTCCTTTTGTGGCTGTGGAACTACAAAGTTTTTGCGTAAATCTTCGGCGTAACATTTCATCATAGCGATAACGTTATCAAGATCGACATCCACGGTATTTTCCGGCATGTCCGGCATAAGCAGTTTAGGAACGTTTGCTAGCAAAAACTGGGATAGATCTTCGTGTCTCAACCCACTATTCTGATCGGACATATTACTCTGTGTGTTTGGTATACTATCAAACATTGTTTTCATTTCAGCCATTACCCGTTGTGAGTCTTCGAGTTCTTTGTCTAAATCATCAGTCATTTTCTGAAGTTCCTCTAATTTTACCATTGACTGGAGATACTGTGAAAAAGCTTCGGTGCTATTTTTATAATTGAGGCTCATTTTCACTGGTTCTTATTCGATCGTTCAAATATTTAAAATCAATAATATGAGCAGTTTTATAAAAATTCCGACTGTATATAAAGATGAGTTTCGACAACTATTTTATAATTGGCGTTGTGACAGTGACATTTTGTAGTTTTCGTTCATATTACTTTTAAAAGTCTTACCACATTTAAATTGTTAGTCTACAAATTTAAATACGAATATATACAATATTTTTACATAAATATGGACCTTTATTTGTTATAAAGAAGTTTGTAAAATTGAATGTTCTTTACAAAAAAAATATAAACCTATTACATTTAACGGACTATGGTTATGACTGTTGATGTATATTTCCATCTTTAAAATTAAATTTAATCAACAAAATGTTAATATCTTATTTTGAAAAAAAAAAGGAATCGGTTTTTCGTATTATAATAAAGCTAGCCCTAAAAATATCATGGTGTAGCTGTCACTATTGAATACATTATACAGATTTTGATTGTCAATGTCAGAAATGCATGTGTTGTAGCAATTAGTAAAGTTATTTATTGTGTTCAAATTTCAATGTTCAGTGTTGTGAATTACGTGAATAGTAGTTATAATATATGAAGCTTTGTTTAAGAAGTTATAGCGACTGCAAAAATATTGGATCGACTTACACTACTTATTAAAAGTTTAAAATATCACAGGTTTTAATAAATATAATTCGTCCTAAAGACTATTTTAAAAAAATTAATAATTTTAGTGAATATTTAACTTAAATCTGAATTTTCCGTTTCGGTATTTAAAATGGTGCGAAAATTAAAATTTCATGAGCAAAAATTGCTAAAGAAAGTAGACTTCATATCATGGAAAGTCGACAACAATTTAAGCGAGGTTAAGGTTATGAAAAAATTTCACATTCAAAAAAGGGAAGATTATACAAAGTAAGCTTCATTTACTTAATAACCAAATATTCATTCGCAAGTTTGTTTAGAAACTGATATATATTTTTGTTCCATCAGGTACAACAAATTATCTAGAGAAATAAGGGAACTAGCTAACAAAATTAAAGACTTAGATGCTAACACAGAGTTTAGAACCGAAGCAAGTGCACAGCTTTTAGAAAAATTATACCAAATGGGACTCATACCAACACGATGGGATCTGGCTCTCGCTAGTAATGTTCCCGCCAGTGCCTTTTGTAGGAGAAGATTACCTGTTGTTATGGTTAGAAGTATGTAGAGAATAATCCTTTTTTATATATAAATTAAACAGTTTATAAACTATATAAACTTGACAGATATTTAGATTGAATGAAAGGTGATAGTGGATACAGTGGTGGAAGGTCTAGCCTGAATATCAGGTTTGATTCTGTGAGAGATGATGAGTAAAATATACAGGGTGACTGGTGAATTACTATCGATATTTGAGGACGTGATATTTGACGATCATATATGACAAAATAAAAATTAATATAACATAAATATTAACAAACTTCTAAGTAAAGTTTACCAAAAGTTATGTAATTAATTACGCATCGTATGAACACCCTATAGATTAGGTATACACATACACTGGCGCGCGGCGGCGTCTTGTTGTATCAGCACGCCTCCGCACGCGTCCACATTTGGAACACTTGTTACGTGTCAACACTTTATTTATTTATATGGAAATTTGGTCAAAAATTAAGTACCTATTTTTTTTACATAATTCGAATGAGAATCATGTACCGAGTATGCTCCTTAAATATTGATAGTAATTCACCAGTCACCCTGTATAATCCCATACTCTAACTTTGAGACTTACTATCAATATTATGTTAAAAAATGTTGATTAATAAGATGATTTTATATTTACTAGCTTGCCGCCCCTGTGGAGTTCAGTTATATCGCATTTCCAAGAGAACATTTCAAAAGTCTGGGATAAAAACTATTCTGTTCTTTCTCAAGGTCAATGCTGTCTCTGTACCAAATTTCATTAAAATCAGTTCAGTGGTTTAGAAGTGAAAACGTAACAGACAGACAACAGAGTTACTTTCGCATATTTTATAATATTAGTATGGATTTTGCATCGGCTGTAGTCTCAGGATTACTGAACATTTCAATACATGATGATATCCTTACTTCTGTTCTTATATTCATAATCACTTAGTTTGTAGTAATGAAAAATTAATACTGATCATATAAATTTTTCTTTGATTTCTGTTTATATTAGTACTAGTGATGTGCCGGATCGCTAAAAATGTATATCCGCGAATACGGATCTGAACACGGATATTTAGTGTCAAGATCCGCGGATACGGATACGGATACGGATCTTTATTTTCTTATTCGATTAGTGTCAGCGCTCGCGACCTTGAAATGATAGTCGACGGTACGCTTGCCGCAACGGCACGCAGGACATGTTTTGACTTGCATTGCGCGGATAGTATTTATTGTTTTGGTTACGGTTTAGTGTGACATTGTGGCGCGTTCATAACGGTTGTGTATTATTTTGATACAAATTATAAATAATGTCTACTAAGAAGTTTTCCAGTGCAATTTGGAAATATTTCGTGTTAGTAAATGATGAATGTGCGAAGTGCAAAATTTGTGATGGAAAATATTCCCGTAAGGGTAAAGGCACGACTTCTTTAAAAAATCATTTACAACGAAAACATTCCGAAGAATATGATTTGTTTTTGAAAGAAGACGCTGCTAAGAAGAGTACCGACGAACCACCACGGCCGGGAACATCTTTGCAAACGGTAAAAAAGAGAATTTAAACAAACTTTTTTTGACGAATATATGGAAAAAACTAGAATGTGGGATAATACAAACCCCAAGTCAATCAAAATCGACTATTTGATTGCTGAAATGTTGGCTTTATCAGATTTGCCCTTTCAACATGTAGAACAATTAGGGTTTCGACGATTGATAGATCATATTGTTCCAAACTATGTTCTCAAAGGCAGAAAATATTTTACGGAACTAGTTTGCAGCGAGCTTTTCGAAAAAGTGTCATCAAAAATAAAAAACATGTTACAACAAGATTTTGATAAAGTTTCCTTCACAGCAGATATCTGGTCAGATTCGTCATCAGGAGTGTCATTATTATCTTTAACATGTTATGGCATTACCGCAGACTTTCAACGAAAAAATATCGTTTTGAAAGCAGAAGTTCTTGAAGAACGTCACACCGGAGATTATATTTCAGTAGTATTTCAAGGTATGTTAAAAGAATGGGGAATTCAGAAACAAAATGTGCACTGTATGGTAGGAGATGGGGGATCCAATATGAAACGCGCCTGTTCTTTGTCTGAAATACATAATGTCGACTGTACAGCACATCAGTTACATTTGGTGGTTAAAGAGGCTATCAAAAACGTTGATACAATCTCCGTGCTACTCGGAAAATGTAGGAAAATTGCAGGACATTTTAACCATTCCACAATGGCAAAGCAAGAATTAGAAAAAATACAGGTTCGACTCAATCAAAAAGTTTTAAAAGTTTTGCAAGACTCACCGACACGCTGGAATTCCAGCTATCACATGTTAGAAAGACTTGATTGCATCAAAGATTCCCTGTCGCTTTATGCTTCGAATAACAAAATAGAACAATTTAATGCTGATGACTGGACTTTAATTCAAGACTTAGTAAAAGTGCTGAAGCCTCTAGACGACGTAACCAAAACATTGAGCTCTCAGAACTCATGTATATCCGACGTTATTCCTCTAACACGAGCATTGAATAAAATCTATGATGAGATCCAGGAAAGTCTCAATATCAGTGTACCCTCTGTTGTGGATTTTATATCTGCTTTGAAGAATGAATTAAATTATCGTTTTTCTGAAATTGATAAAAATATTTTGTTTCAAATATCAACATTTTTAGACCCACGGTACAAAAATAAATTCTTCAGTGATATTCTCATAAAACAAATAAAAGAAAAATTATGTGCAGATTTAGAAACTGAAGAAAATCTCTCAGCTACAACAAGTACTGGGGTTAAACCTACTATTAGAAAAGAACATTCCCAGAGTTTAGATTTAGAGGTATCTATTGCTAATATGTTAGAAAGTGATGATGATGATGAGCAATCCGAAAATCAAATGTCAGATACAAAAGCTAACTTGCTCACAGAATATATGTCAGAAAAAAGATTACCAAGAGATCAAGACCAGTTAAAGTATTGGCAGATTAACAGTAAAAGGTTTGGATGTCTCAGTCACATTGCTCGCACATATTTATCATCACCTGCAACAAGCGTTCCAAGTGAACAATTTTTCAGTGCAGCAGGAATTGTTTATGATCCTCATCGTAACAGACTTTTGGGGGACAAAGCTGCGAAGTTGCTTTTTTTGAAATACAATTTACCATTGCTTAATTTCAATTATGATTAATTATTTTTTTGAGCTCTTCTAATTTTGCCTGACATTTTGTCATTACTCGTGTAAACTAATATTTAAATTTTATGTGACGCGCAGTATTCATTTAGAATTATCATTTAATTACAATATATTTTCGGTTTCCTCATTATCTCAAAGTGATTTTATAACTTTCTACTGTATTGATTCATAATTATAAAAAAGAGGTTTACGTTTTAGTTTCTTTTTTCATTGACATAAAAGTGACCATGATGTTATATATAGCTTGCTATAATATTCCCGTAATTGTATGAAAAAGTAGATTTCAATTTTAGTTTTTTCATTGTCATAAAATGACGTTAAAACTTGATATCATATAATATTGATCTCATTAAAAGTATATAAGAAAAAATGACTTATATTTTAGTTATTTCATTATCATAAAAGTGATGAAAATTTGCTCTTTCATTATAAAGATCTATCTATCTCAATGTTTGCAATATAAAGGTGCCAAATATTTGATTTAATTAAATAAAAATAGTGTGAATGGAATTTATTAGTTTTTTAATTCTACCTAATCACCTGAAAAGATCCGTAAAATTCGATCCGAAGACAAAAAACAGACCTGATGATGATGATGATCCGTAAAATATCCGCTCGAAAAGTAACGGACACAGATACGGATACGGATTTCTTTTTTACCTCGGATATCCGCGAATACGGATACGGATACGGATATCCGGAACATCACTAATTAGTACTTATAATGTATGTTTTTTATCAACAGATAAAATGTCAGAAAATCTCAAAGAAGCCACAAAGTTTATAGAGCAGGGTCATGTGCGTGTTGGTCCCGAGGTAGTTAAAGACCCGGCATTCCTTGTAACAAGATCACTCGAGGACTTTGTCACGTGGGTCGATGGTTCCGCCATCAGGAAGCATGTGATGGAGTATAATGATATGGTATGTGTTCTTTAAATATATAAATAATATTTAATATCTATCAGACAATATTGATTAAGTATTTAATATTTTTGCATTACAACACATACATAGTAATCTGAAAATATTAGTTTCATTTAAATGAATACTTGTGAAAGTCTTAGATCTCATAACATTGCTGAAGTTTTTTTATTAATTATCTATATATATTATTATCATTTTATATTAATATTTATTTGTTTTCTTTTTCAGAGGGATGACTTCGATATGTTGTAAAAATCTAATAACAAAATAAAAAATATTTTTACATCCAATATGCTTTTATTTTAATCTGTTGTAATTAAAAAGTAAAAAAATACATATATTTCATTATACACATTTAAATTTTATTTCTTTTCACAATAACTATTAGTTTCTTAATACATTCCCTGGCATATTTACTTCATTACACTTTAAGACTTAAATTAATCTGATGGATTTATATTGGAGTTTGGTTGACACACTGTGAGGGAAACTCTGGTTTTTTTAGTTCATCATTTTTCTTTACTAAACTATTTGCCTTTTGTATAAGTACTTATTTGTTCTGTATTAGTACACCTTTATATATACAATTATATAAAATGGATGGTGATTCTTCCCCGTTACCCATGGATCCCGGTGATCCAATGAATACGGATATACAATTATCCTCTTCAGCCAACCAGGAAATCCAAAACGTGTCGCGTATGCGTCCTCTTCTCTCGCGTATGCGTCGTTCCTCTTCCCCCGGACCACTGCCAAGTGTAGACGTGTATACCGAGTGTTTCTGATTTTTATTTTAATATATTTTTATTAAAAAGTGTTCAAAAATTCCATTAAAATATTAGGAGCACATAATTGCGCAGGAGTTCATAAAAATTGTTAACGGTTGCGCTGGAGTACTGTCAGCCGTAAGAAGCCGTCCTTGTAAACTAGCACTTCCTCCTTGCTCTGTGGTCTCTCCTGTGGTACTGGTACTTAGTGAGTGCCCAACGTTAACGTTACATAACGTAACCTGTAACGTTATATAATGTCACGAACTCCTGAGAAGTCTAGTCCGAAGACTTGTTTCGTAAACACTCGTGTAAAGAGTAAGCGCTCGGAAGAGATATTTCTTGAATTTTCTGAGTTTAAGAACGACATTAAGGATATTATGTTATCTTCTTGGATGTGCGAATAGAATAGAGAAAGGGCGCAACTCACGGCTTCCTTAAAAACTATCGAAGATTCACTGTCGTTTTTGTCCGCCCAATACGAAGATATGAGAAAAGCAATCGAAGTTTTGGAACGCGAAAAACAGAAGGATAAAGAATACATACAAATCTTAGAAAATCAAATTGAAGGCTTACAAAAATCGCAACGTAAATGCTAATTACAGATTAAAAATGTTCCCAAGTCAAACGGTGAAACAAAAACCTCGCTTATGGACATGGTTACCAAATTATCGAATACCCTGAATATTAAACTCGAAACAAATGACATCAAAGATATCTATAGATCGTCCAACAAAGGAGACAAAAAACCTATAATTATAGGTTTTTGGACTGTGTTCATATATACAGAAAACAAATATAATGAAATCCGCTAAAAAGTACAACAATCAAAACAAAACTAATAAACTAAATGCACAACACTTGGGGTTAACGAGTCATAATACACCGGTTTAAATTTTTGGTAAATTCTTATATAACCACAAAATCAAAGACATTGTAAAAGATGGTGTCAAAAGTGTTGGCGCAACAAAATCTCAGTCCCATTTACATCGACGCAGGCTGCCAATACTTTTCTTTCTAATAAAATCTTAGACATGTGTAAGTACAAAGCTTCTATACCGACTAGTCTAGTAAGAGGAGTCCCTGTTGACATGTCACTGAATGAATTCATTGAGGCACTGAATCCACTCCCAGAGGGTTGTGGTATAGTCTTAAAAGCTAGAAGACTAAATAGAAAACAGGTATCTTTGGAGGGTTTTTCCACTTGGGTACCCACTCAGTCAGTGGTACTAACATTTAGAGGGCAGATGCTCCCCTCCAAGATTTATGCATTCTCAGTATCCCTTTAAGTTGATAATTATAGATTTCCTACTATTCAGTGTCTCAATTGTTGTAGATTTGGCCATGTTAAAACTCATTGTCGATCGAAGCCCAGATGCTACAAATCTTGTGACCACCCAGAAGAAACCTGCAGTGTCACCATTGAAAATTCAAAATACATTTGCATACATTGCAACGGTATGCATTTTGCTAGCGAAAAAACGTGTCTTGAGTTTACTCGGCAACAGTCCATTAAGATGGTTATGTCTCAGGAAAATATTTCGTATAATGAGGCCTCATCCCGTTTTGCTTCTTCCCGCAAATCCTATTCTGATTTAGTAAGGACATTGTCTTCTCCTCTCCTCTCTCGAGATGGTATGGCCACGTTGCACGCCAGCCTGAGAACTACGTCGGAAGGACCCTTAACCTTCGGCATACAAGGTGGGGTTATTTTAACCCCAACACTTTTAAATTGTGTTGATTTTATATTAAAACGAAACTAAACAACTTGATTTTCACAGTAGCTGGAGATTAAATATTGCCGCGTTAAATCACAGCGTCGGATCAGTGTTGCGCGCGCCAGCGCCGTGTGTACACGCGCCCAAAGTGGTTCCCGGGTGTTTTAACCCCACGTTGTATGGGTCGTCGTGAAAAAAGTTTGTACCTACTTATGTGTTTTTTATGTTTTTACAGCTACAATAAGTGTTTTATTTATACTTTTTTATTTTTATTTCAGGTGTAGATCGTCAATATGAATAATAACCTGCGGGATGATAGTATTGCTGCGGCCTTATTGGAAGAAAATGAATCTTTGTCGAATGATGAAATCTTTCTGCCTTCTAGTGATGACGAATCGGATCATATCAGCGAAGCTTCTGAAGTTCCAAGTGATACGGATGTGGAAGATGCCGAAATAAACATTGAACCACATTCAGATGATACGACATCAACACTTCAACCATTTTATCTAGGAAAAGATGGAAGAACAAAGTGGTATAAATTGCCACCGCGAACCAATGTTCGAACAAGGGCCGAAAATCTTATTACTCATTTGCCTGGATGTAAATATGCAGCTCGACATAAAAAAACTCACCAAGAATGCTTCGAGACCTTTTTCACTGATGAAATCGTTGACATTGTTTTGAAGAATACGAACCAGAAGATTTCTTTGGGAATGGAGAACTCTACGTCTAATTCAACATACGGGGAAACTGACAAAGCTGAGATAAAAGCCGTTTTTGGGCTGTTGTTCTTGGCAGGGTTGTTTAGATCTGGTCGGCAAAGTCTTATAGACTTACGGAGTAATGACGGCACAGGAATTGAAGTATTTAGAAATACTATGACGAGGCAAAGATTTTCGTTTTTGATAAATAGCTTGAGATTTGATGATTCATCAACTCGTACAGCTAGAGTGGCTGACGATCGCTTGGCTCCAATTCGAGATATTTTTGAAATATTCGTCAAAAACTGTCAGAATGCCTATACACCGTATGAATACTTGACCATAGATGAAGAACTCGTGGCATTTAGAGGAAGATGTAGCTTTCGTCAGTACATACCATCCAAGCCAGCTAAGTATGGGTTGAAAATTTACGCGTTAGTGGATGCTAAAACATTTTACACAATGAACTTGGAAATTTATTGTGGAAAACAGCCTGACAACAGTCCTTATACAGTGAGTAATAAGCCTTTTGATGTTGTCGATCGTTTGGTGAGATGCGTGTCTGGATCAGGAAGAAACATCACCATGGATAACTTTTTTATGAGTTATGAAACAGCTGAAAATTTGCTCAAAAACCACAAATTGACTGCCGTTGGTACACTAAGGTCGAACAAGACATGCATTCCACTCCAGTTCAAGGCTCGACGTGAAGAAAAATCATCTGTTTTTGGATTTCAAAAAGACATTACTATTGTATCCTACATACCAAAGCCGCGAAAATGTGTACATATGATGTCCTCATTACATCATGATGATGAGGTTGATCCAGAAAGCGGAGACCAAAGAAAACCGTCTATCATCACATTTTACAACTCGACAAAAAGTGGAGTTGATGTAGTTGATAAACTTGCGAGAACATACGATGTCTCCCGCAACTGTAAGCGCTGGCCTCTTACCGTATTTTTTTCCATGTTGAACCATGCTGGTATAAATGGTTTTATTGTGTATATGCTGAATAATGGCATTGAAAGGAACAAAACCAATCTAAGGAAGAACTTTATCAAGCGATTGGGACTTTCTTTAATCGAAGAGCACCTCAGGAAAAGAAAGGATAATCCACATATACCACGAGAAATAAGAAGACGTGTGTGTGAAATGCTGAATGAAGAAGCTCCAGCACCACCACAGAAGCAACCAAGAAGGTCTCAGCGATGTTCTTTCTGTCCAAGAAACAAAGATAGGAAGACTCTGAACGGATGTTTCAAATGTAATGTCGCGATATGCAAGGAACATGCGAATTTGATGTGTCAAAATTGTACTGATTTACATGACGAATGATCTCGCTCAAATAGCCATAAAGAGCTAATTGTGATGTTTTTTATAAAGCCAAATATAGTTAGTTTTAGTATAATAAGTAAAATAATTAAGATAAGTATGAGAAATATTTTTGTTAATTTTTTATTCCACCTAATAACATTTTGTAAGATTTATGGAGAGGTTATGTAATTTTTAAGTTTTTTTTATAATAAATGTTTAATTTGCTACTTTTTGTACTTCATTAATTAGATTTAATTATACCCGTCACAAAAAACCCATTCAAACTTATTACATAAGATTTACACACAGATTAGAGATAATCTCTTGTGGGGTTAATTTTACCCCACGTTGTATAGGTGAGGATTTTTTTTCACCTTGTATGCCGAAGGTTAATATGTCTGTTGGACGTTGCCTTAATATGTCTGTTCCTGGAGCGAGACCCCCAGGACGCCCAAAGAAGCGATGGCTGGACACCGTGAAACAGGACATGAGAGCCAATGGATTAACCACCGAGGATGCCCAAGACCGTGCAAAGTGGAGGCGTTTATGTAAGAAGGCAGAACCTGGCTAAAACTGGGAAATTGCCAGGAAGAAAAAGAAGCTTGTCTTCTCCTCTCCCTTCGTCTTCCTCTCAGAATATCATTTCCCCAACTTCCCCTATTTCTCCTTCCCCATCCAAATCATATCGCAGAACTACTTTCTCAGCATCATCCCCAATAGGATATGACAATCTGGCTCAGCAGGCTGTTATTGGTAACATTCCTACTTCTTCTGGAAATGGTGTTGCTCATAATAATGGAGAGGAAAAAAAATTGCCTCCATTTGAATCACTACTTCTCCAACTATCATCTCTTATCCTGTCTCTGATTACATCAGGAAATTCCCCTTTACAACCCAACGTTGCACACAACCTCACCACCCTATTCAATTTCATTAACAATGTTAACTTCTACAATGGGACTGTAAAAGCATTTATCACAAGAAAGCCGAACTGCTCTCCTTTTTCTCTTCTCACAAACCTGTCACTGCTGCCATCTCAGAAACATGCTTATGTCCCGGATCTCAGTTCCGAGTCAATGGATATTCCTGTCTACGGGATGATAGAATGGATGGGTATGCTGTCTGTGCCATTCTTATTCGTCACTCGCTACCATATCTTATTATAGCCCTTCCTCCACATAGTCTAGAATTTAATGTTGTAGCTGTAAGAGCTCTAGACATTTCAATTATTTCTATATACATACCTCATCCTAACTCTTATCTTTTTTCTGAAATCTCCTCAATAGTTACTTCACTTCCCAGTCCAGTTTTGGTTATGGGAGATTTCAATACTCATCATATTATGTGGGGATGCTATTACAGTGATTCTTTTGGTTCACATTTGGTGGACCTTCTTGATGATGCTAATCTATGTATTCTAAATGACAGTTCTCCAACATGTAGAGTTTATCCTAACCAAAATCCCAAATCAGCTGTTGATCTTTCTATCTTTTCTCCCTCTCTTGCTTCCCAAATCTCCTGGCATGCTATCTAGTTCTTATGGGAGTGATCACTTCCAAATCTTGATGTACATTGATAATAAGCCCGCTCCGACTTATAAGCCTAACCCTCTTTTAATATTCAAACTTTCGGCTGTAAACTGGACTGAATATGCTGATTCAGTTGATAACCTTATTGATAGTCTTCCTGAATTGACTGATACTAAGGAAGTTCTTTCATAAATAACGATTTTCTCGATAGTATTATCTCTAACGGCGGTTGCACACGTGAAATAAAACGACGTATGGCAATCACTAGGTCTGCTATGGATAAAATGAAGAGAATATGGAGGAATCGAAACATCACTAGAACTACTAAAAGCCGCCTTGTGCGTACGCTTATATTCCTCATATTCTTGTATGCCGCAGAGACGTGGACTGTGCTAGAGAGCGAGCGACGCTAGATTGACGCTTTAGAAATGTGGTGCTGGAGACTATCATATCGACTTAGATGAAGAAGAATTATGTCTTCTGCGATATTCCACATTCCGAAAAAAGAGTATCACAGTTCTCAACGGGCATCACCTCCATGATGGGACAGGGAATGTACCGATGCCATCTTAGAAAGAGCCCAAGCTGAAGCAAATTATAAAAGGGTTATGTCCACTTAGGACTTTCTTATTTTCAATAAAATTAATGCCAAAACTAGAAGAATTTTTTCGAAGAAAAAGAAACAGTGTTGGTTCAAGTTTTGCGAATCCCTTAATCGCTGCTCCTCTCCCTACCTCATATGGAAAAACCTTAGGAGATTCCGTAGTTCCTTCGAGGATAATAATAAGTGCTTTAACTATGAATGGTTGGAGCAATTTGCAGGCAAGCTCGCTCCCTCTTTTGTTCCCAATAGTAATGTTTTCCCGGTGCCACCTTCGACTATATATTGAGACGATATGGACTTTCCTTTCTCTATCTCAGCTTCACTGCGTACTCAATGGTCTCAAAGATTCCACTCCCGGTGAAGATGGGGTTCCCTATTCTTTCTTTACAAAACGTTAAATTAAATCTAGAACTTATTTCCTTAAACTGATTGACCTCATTTTCCTATCTGCCAACATCCCTCCTTCACCATAGGTCAGATCAGCATCACTCTGTGTTTTTTCAACATCTAACCATTTTGGATTTACAACTGAAATTGAAAAAATAAATAAATTGTTTTTATTTTATTCATACAGCATGTTATGTGAAAAACTAGCATAATTTTTATAGACTGTCCCTTAAAATCTATACTAATACTCTTTGAGAACAAAATCTGTATTCAAGCTGTCACTGAAAACTTCAAAAAATTACACTATATAAATAATTATGTTATTTCAAAATCATATAAGTAGGTATAAGATATTATTATAATAAAAAGAAGTAGTTATAATCCTATATTACCTGATAATATTTCTGATCACAAATGCTTTTTTTTCCAACCTTGACATTGACTGAAAGCGTTTCTTTGATAGAACTTCACATTTTCTTTAAATTTTCATATACTTGATGTTGTTTTTATATTTGCTTTAGGGATTACTGAAGAACTGTAAAATATTACAAACAAATAAAGTATATTTTTGTTGTTATATAAGGTGTATGTTTTGCAATTAATTCTCTACCGGTGACGCTGTAACAGCCTCACGGCTAACAGCATATACATTACAAAAAAAAATTGCAATAAATAAATATTAAGTTTTAACTACCTTTCTTCATTCCAGACTCTTTAAGAGATGTGTCTTGTGTCCAGTAACAGTACGTTTCCAAATACGAATTGTACATGTTTACTGTTATATCTAGTTTTCACTTCACCATAAGATACGTGTGGTGTGAGCCGAAAATTAGTCATATTAATATGCGGTAATGTGAGATAGTGGATTTCACTGTTAATATTTATGTCTCCTTCCGTTTACATGAAAATAAATATAGAAATTTACACTTGTAACGCTATTTCAAGAATATACCGATATTCATCAAATTCTCATATTGTAGCTGCCTTCACAAACATTTACAGATAAATTCAATTAAATATGATTAACATTGACAGTTGTTATTATTAAAGGACAGCTGTTTTATATATTACTTTCAGATGTAAAAAAATATATATAATAAATATGACAAATTTAAAGATATGTAATGAAAATAATTGCTCAAAATTGCTTTTTAATTAATATAATAATATTTTTGTGACATCTATTTATTTTTATAAATGGCAACAAACAACGCCTATCTAAGCTGCGCGAGTGTGCGCGGAGAAAATTAAGAAAAAATAGAAAAGAAATGGCAGTAACTCGAGAGAAAGAAAATTGTACAAGAAAAATTAATGGAAATATACCTGCATTATCTCTTAACAGCGATAATATGTCGACATCGACCGACAGTGACGACGCAGCGGATCCAACATATGAAATTAGGAACATTCAGAGTATTATAAATGTGACCCGTGAAAACATTGACGCTTTAAATGCAAGGTTTGCTGGTTTGCAGCACCCACCTTCCCTGTATCTTTCGGAATATCAGGAGTTAACAGTAAAGTTGCATAATTTAGAACTTAGAGAACAGACACTTAGGGAATTGTTACAGTGCGATTCGCCGGATAGGAGCGAAGAATATTCATGGCAAGATGATTCTAAGAAGTATGATACTCTTACTCGGCAACCTAAAGTTTTCCTCAGAGCTTACTTGCCGAATCAACAGCGGACGAGTGTGCAGGTGAAGGAGGGAGTTTCGCTCCGTGAAGCTCTCATGAAGGCTCTCAAGCTTCGTAACTTAACTTGTGAAATGTGCGAAGTGGTTCGGACAGGAAATAATGCTGTGATACCGTGGGATATCGATATTACTATGATTGACGCTGAGGAGGTCAGTGTTCTTTTAATATCAGTTAATTAATTAAGGTAAGATTTATATGTTTAATATTTATTTCAAAAATGATTATCTGTTCCACATTCTAACTAACGACAAAATAATGACCAGTGCTAGAAATATTCTCTATACCTCCTCAAGGTTTTCCAGACGTCTGTATTAAGTAAATTATGACAATTTTCAGCAGTCTCATATTTGCCCCTCTTATGAAAGGTAATTTTTAAATTTATTATTTGGTAGACCTATAGCTGCTACTCGAAACTTTTAAGCCCAGCAACTTTCTATGAATGATGAAATAAATCTATTACCATATATATCAATTACTTTGGTGTTTTTATAGATTCCCTAATTTCAAATTAGATCTTGTAGAAAAGTACTATCATGGCTTGCCCCGGCCAATTTATCCTACCTACTATTTGAGTGTGATTATTAAGGCATCTCTGTGAAGTACTATCCCAGGATATGTAAGTCAGAATAGACAACAAGTGGCAGTCAAATATATACAAATTATCACATTAATTTCTTTGGACAAACCTTATTTACTAATATAAGTAAATTGTAGCAGAAAGTTGTTGATATACCTATAACAAATTATTATAAAAGGACAGTTTCCAGCCATTTATAATAGTACTAGCTTTCCGCCCGCAGCTTCGCCGCGTGGAGTTCGGTTATATCGCGTTTCCAAGAGAACCTTTCAAAAGTCTGGGATAAAAACTATCCTATGTTCTTTCTCAAGGTCAACTCTATCTCTGTACCGAATTTCATTAAAATCAGTTCAGTGGTTTAGGCGTGAAAGCGTAGCAGACAGACAGACAGACAGACAGACAGAGTTACTTTCGCATTTATAATATTAGTAGGGATTTCTGAATGAGTGAAATTAACTCGTGTTATAAAATAAACTTTAAATTCAAATAAGTGAATAAAATACTTTGTACATATTACATCTATAGTTAGAAGATTTATTAGTGATGAACTTGAAGTTTTATCATTTGTTAACTAAATTACAAATATATTTCAACTTTAACTGAATTTATTGAAGCAAGTAATTTGACATACTTTCATTCTTATTTGTGTGGTTTTATAAATTATGCTTCAGGATCATTAATATTTATTTTATTATTATTATGTACACAAAAAATGTTATTTTCCCTATTACAGTGAAAGTATGTGGATCACCCAAAAACCTGGTAATTTTCAATTCTAACCATAATTAAACTGTTAAAAATTAATTAGTCTTATTTGAATCATATATATGTTATTTTAAGGTTGTCACTTAATTAGAAAACTAGGTTTCCTACTAATTCCTACTTAAAATTAAACTAATTCCTTTTATAGTAAACTAATTCCTTTTATAATAAACTCCTTAAATTACATCCAGATACTTATATAAAATAAATCAGTATTTTGCTTCAATTTATTAAATAATCAACTCAAAATACATATGTATATATTTGAAAATATGTTGGGGATTTTGTGTTAGTCCTAACTAGTGCTGTGTTAGACCTCAATATTTTAACCACTGGATGTTTACTACTTATCAGGCACATCATTAGCCTTGGCTTCTAAAAATATGTACAATGATTCGTTATTCCAGGTGACGGTGCGTATTTTGGACAAGCTTCCCATAATGTCTCACATGTCGCACCAGTTCACAAGGAAGACGTTCTTCACGCTCGCGTTCTGTGAGTGCTGTCGACGGCTGCTCTTCAACGGCTTCTACTGCTCGCAGTGCAACTTTAAGTTCCATCAGCGATGCGCTGATAAAGTTCCGAGTATTTGTCATCAGGTACAAACATTGTCTTTATAGTTGGTAGAAGCTGTAATTGATAGATTATAGGCTCCAATGATTTACACTACCATCTACACAGATTATTTTGTAACAAAAATGAGTGTATAAATCTGTTCTTCTGTATTTGTATCTAGGGCTGTAGTGTAAATTTGTAATCAAATCTTTTAAGTTTCTATGTGATGGTAACCATCTACTGATAAGATTGGTTTTTGTTAACAAAAAGATACATAATAGACACATATGTTAACATATGTTAACCCAGTTTTAACTAATTGTGAATATACACAAATAATCTTATACATATTTAAATATTCAACACTTAACTGGGCACAAGAAATATAACAGAAAATATTGTATTTAGCCAATTTTTTTTTTTTAAATATAATCCCCTTTCAATTTCAAAGAAACATAGATGTCAATATTGTTTTTATACTATTATATATTCTTAAACTGTGGTTTTATGTCCCAGGTCCGAATGACAGACACATACTACGCGGCTCTCCTGGCCAAGAACCCGGAGACTCAGGCAGGGATCCTGCATGTGCCCGCTCACTACAGCTACCATCAGAACAAGTATATAATACATATATAATATTTTTCTACTATTCATGAATATGGATCAAAAATCGTCTGTAAATTTATATATGGTACTTCTAAATTATACACTTCATTCTTTTTATAACAGTGGAAACTATTTTGGCCAATATGTTTAACATATAAACAGTATATTTCCCAACAAATAAAAAATAGTTTTTCTCTAGACATGTCCACCTTATTTTTATTAATTATGTATAATAAGGTACTATTTCATTATCAACATATTTAAATAATATTGCTATGACTATGGCAACACTCTATTTACAAACATAAATTATGCTTAATTCCAGACAGGCTCACCCTCGCTCGTTGAATCAACAGGATCGCTCCAATTCGGCGCCAAACGTGTGTGTCAACATGGTCAGACATCTGACTGATCACGGGCGGAAGAATAACCAGGTTAATATCTTCATATATTTGTAATTCTTCTGTGTGTATGTCACTGAACTTCTCTCGAACGACTGGACCGATTTTATGAAATTTTTTGTGTGTTTTCAAGGTGATCTGGGAACTGTTTAGATTCACAATTTTGTCCGCTGGACAATGTTTTTTTAATTAACTTTTAACTTATTAGTAGTTGTTGATACAAACGCTTTTTTTTTACATTAGATTTGACAACTTACTAATATGTCAATCATTCTATCGCACTTCAAAACACGGAGATTTATGTCTTTCATAGGTAAACTCCAAAAATATAAATAAAAAAACGTAACAGATATTTCTTGATTATAAGGGATACGAAGTTCGCCGGGTCTTCTAGTATACATATATAAATAAGACTTTCCTTGACAATAGCAATACTGACATAGTAGTATCTTATTCTTCCTGGCAATTTCCCAGCTTTAGCCAGGGTCTGCCTTACATGTTGTAAATAGTTTTGGCTAATTATTTTTACGACCGGCCGCCTGCCTGACATCAACCCTCTTTTTTTAGGAATAACTGACATAGTAGTATCTGTGGTAGTATTATGAATGTATGTAAATAATGGTAAATATATAATTTACAGAGCAGCTCACCACAATCATCAAATTATCTATCATCAGGGAGACACGGCAAAGACGACCGGGAGAAGGGAGAACAGCAGAGTCAAAGCACCCAGGTTGGTCTTGAGAATAACTTACTAATACCTTATACAGGGTGACTGGTGAATTACTATCAATATTTAAGGAGAATACTCGGTACGTGATTCTCATTCGAATTATGTAAAAAAAATAGGCACTTAATTTTTGACAAAATTTCCGTATAAATAAATAAAGTGTTGACACGTTCCAAGTGTTCCAAGTGTGGACGCGTGCGGCGGCGTGCTGATACAACACCACGCCCCGCTCGCGTATGTGTGAGTGTATACCTAATCTGTAGGGTGTTCATACGATGCGTAATTAATTACATAACTTTTGGTTAACTTTACTTAGAAGTTTATTAATATTTATGTTATATTAATTTTTATTTTGTCATATATGATCGTCAAATATCACGTCCTCAAGTATTGAAGTATTGAACATGGATAGACCAGCTTTAGATATTCAGAGAATACCAGCCTTAGATATTTAGAGAATTTATTTAATGACACATACAGTAGGAACCATTTTAATCAGTGGTGGCCAAGTGCTTAAAAGGCCTGCCTCTCATACACGAGGGCGCGGTTTCGATCCTTGCCCCGGCAATGAATATAATATTATAATATTAATGAGATTTTTCCGAGTCATATGTACTTTCTAAGAGCATTTAGACATCACTGATTAATGCGTTCCCAAAGAGGGTTGATGTCAGGCAGGCGGCCGGTCGTAAAAACAGTTAGCTAAAACATGTTAGGCAGACCCTGGCTAAAGCTGGGAAATGGCCAGGAAGAAGAAGACTATTCGGATTAATACGCCTATTTTATTATTGTAAAAACTACATCCTCACGACGTTCCGGTTATTTTCCAGCAACCGTGATCACGAACAGACGAGATGTCTGCCATTGTAACTTTTACAATAATAAAATACGTAAAAAGTAGTATAATCCGAAAAATATTAGTTTCATTTACTCGAGAAAGCTTTAGATCTCATTATGTGAACCAGTTCATTATATCATAAAATACTACATTATTATAAATAAACAATAATTTATATAACAGTACAGGCAAACATGACAGTCTAAAGACGTGAGAAATTATTTAATCACACATACAATAGGAACCAATGCATCAAACATGTTTTTATAATTAAAGCAATATTGACTTAATACTGGAATTAAGATTGCAGTATATAATATAGTTTAAAAACTATACTAGCAGGTCGCAAGTTTAAATTAGGTCGAATTAATGAATTTTTCATACTTTGTTTTCTATTTTTACTTAAAAATGATATTGTTCGTTCCCAGGCCTCCCCAACGGGTACACTTCGACCTCGAAGGGCGCGCGCTCGCTCCGCGGACGAATCATGGAAACATGCGCTGTCTCCTCGGGAAAGCTATGACGACTGGGTCATACACGCAGATGAAATACTGATAGGGGCCAGGATAGGTTGGTTTATAATATTTTATTAATAATTTTAACGGCCCCGAACAATTTATCTGTGACCCAAGAGGTCAAAATGTCCGATACAAATGCTTATTTGACAGTTTTATTCACTATTCACTATTTAGAACTCTTTACTAATATATTGCAAGTAAAATACAACTTTTTATTGTAAAATATCATATAACCTGCCATTATTCTATGATATGAGCGTCACATATTGCTGTTCGTCGTACAGGTTCCGGTAGTTTTGGGACAGTGTATAAGGCGCATTGGCACGGACCGGTCGCTGTGAAGACTCTGAACGTGAAGACGCCCACACCAGCTCAGCTACAGGCTTTCAAGAACGAGGTGACCACTAAATAACAAGATGATAAAAAGTTATACTGATGTAACAAGAACTAATTTGATCGTCAAAGAAGCACAACATGTAGCTTGAAACTTTACGAATATGACCACCAGTCAACAAGATTATTATAAGCTATACTGGCTTAACAAGAACTAATTTGATAGTTTAAAAAAACAGCTTGAAACTTTAGGAATAATATTTTTATGAGAATTACAATATGCTTATCTATATATTACTAACACATGTAAACTCTCCCTTATATTTAACATCCTAGGTGGCCGTGCTCCGTAAGACGCGGCACTGCAACATCCTCCTGTTCATGGGGTGCGTGTCGAAGCCCTCCCTGGCGATAGTGACCCAGTGGTGTGAGGGCTCCTCGCTGTACCAGCACCTGCACGTGTTGGAGACGCCGCTGCCCATGTTGTACCTCATAGACGTGGCGCGACAGACGGCGCAGGGCATGGACTACCTGCACGCCAAGAACATTATACACAGGTTACTGAACTTATTACGTAATAAATACGAGTTGTATCAAGGAAATATTATTAGTACAAGTATTTATTTATTGGAAATGTCACACCATCGACTTATCACTAAGACATTCACTTAGCAGTAGATACAGGGTATTAAATCTAGATGAGTAAATCATTACAGGTGTAAACAACATTGACTAGTATAATAAAGTATGTAATGTATAAAGACTTTCGCGAGTATTAATTTAAATGAAACTAATATTTTACCTTTAATCAGAGTAGTTTAGTTTCATTTTTATGGTAAAATAATTTTAACATTATTGTGACAAACATGTGGATGTTTTGATATTATTATATATGTTCTTAATTTCGTTTCAGGGATCTGAAATCTAATAACATATTCTTAAGAGACGACTGGTCGGTTAAGATTGGAGACTTCGGACTGGCGACGGCCAAAGTGCGGTGGTCAGGTAACGGTCTCAAAGAAAGTTACATGAGAGTAATAGTATTGAATATATTAATAACCCCATACACATTATAATTGTAGACATTAACATAATCTGATCACAATGTATAAAGTTAAAAGGTTAAAGGTATTACATATATGTAAATAAAAATCTACTGTCCCTGAGCTAGGTATAAACCTGTATTTCAGACAGTACTCTCCTGTTGCAAAGAATTCATTTTACCAAGTTTATATATTAAGATGTGAATGTATGTGACAGATTCCTCGACGCTGGGAGGCGTGCAGTGGCAGCAGCCGACTGGATCTATACTGTGGATGGCGCCGGAAGTTATCCGTATGGAGGAACCCGCGCCGTACACCTTCCGGTCGGACGTGTACGCGTACGGCATAGTACTGTTCGAGCTGACGGCCGGCGAGCTGCCATACGCGCACCTCAACAATAAAGACCAGATACTATGGTCGGTGGGGCGTGGCCTGCTGCGACCGGATGTCCGTCGCCTTCGCCAAGACGCGCCTCAAGCCCTTCGCCGTCTATTCGAGGACTGCATCCAGTTCGACCGAGAGCGCCGGCCGTTATTCCGTCAGATCCTCGCGTCCTTAGAGGCCATGCTGCGAGCCATGCCGAAAATCACTCGCAGCGCGTCCGAGCCTTGCCTGCAGCGTGCGCTCCACGCCTCCGATGACTGTCTGGGGTACGCCTGCGCGGAACCTAAGACGCCCGTCAACTTCCAGTTCGACGCTCATACTAGCTTCCCGGCCTTCTACAGGTAAGAAATAACTCATACACATCTATATACAGGGTGACTGGTGAATTGCTATCAATATTTAAGGAGAATACTCGGTACATGATTCTCATTCGAATTATGTAAAAAAAAATAGGTACTTAATTTTTTACCAAATTTCCGTATAAATAAATAAAGTGTGGGCACGTTCCAAGTGTTCCAAGTGTGGACGCGTGCTGCGGCGTGCTGATACAACACCACGCCGCCGCGCGCGAGTGTGTGTGTGTGTGTGTGTATACCTAATCTGTAGGGTGTTCACACGATGCCTAATTAATTACAGAACTTTTGGTCAACTTTACTTAGAAGTTTATTAATACATATTTATGTTATATTAATTTTTATTTTGTCATATATGATCGTCAAATATCACGTCCTCAAGTATCGATAGTAATTCACCAGTCACCCTGTATACACTAGAAGACCCGGCGAACTTCGTATCGCCCTATAATCAAGAAATATCTGTTACGTTTTTTTATTTATATTTTTGGAATTTACCTATTAAAGCCATAAATCTCCGTGTTTTGAAGAGCGACAGAATGAATATTAGTTAATTGTCAAATCTAATGTCAACAAAAAAGTTTGTATTAACAACTACTAATAAATTAAAAAATAATTAAAAAACAACACACACAAAAAATTTTATCAAAATCGGCCCAGTCGTTCGAGAGAAGTTCAGTGACATACACACTCACAGAAGAATTATATTGTATATAAAGATAATAAATTACATACAATTATATTTTTTTAGTTAGTGTAGTTCATTACCAGATGTCGCTACTATATATGTAATGATTATGTAAGTAACACATATTTATATAATAATTATTCTGTTCCCAGTATTCCAGTGCCTAGCCAGCGACACGCTTAGCGCGGCCCGAGCAGTGACGAACTCTTCAATTATATTTAATACTGTACATGTATATAATATAATGGCGTCGATACGGCGGCTCTCACTTCACAGATCTCAACACCTCAATAATTTATTAGTCATTATATTTATTATAATATAAATAATTTACATGCAAACTTAGTAACGCTAATTTAGATGTAAACGTTATCTTTGACTAACTAGTTAACGATACCAGTGTAATATAAAGCCTTAAGACAAACAGTGATTAGAGTAATGGAGGCGGTGTTAATGTAAATATTGATGTAAGAACGGTAAGGACATTACTCGCGCACCTCGACGGAAATAAACGCTTTAATAGTGTAAACCGGTGTTGGCCGACGTCGGATGAAGTTTTGGTTTTCAACTAGTGCCTTTGATATGACAGAATAGTATTCGAGATTATATTTTAAAACAGTTTTGTAGTCAACGAGACAGCGAGTCGAGCATAATAAAGTCGAAAGTATTATTTGTATAAATTAGATGACCCGATGGCGTGTATCTGTTGATATCGGTTGTAAATAAATTATTGTAATTATTTAAGCTTAATGTCGGTTTAAGAACTCTGTGTATACATAATTTTAACGCATAATTATCGTAAGGAACACAATAAATTATTGTTTCGATTGACTTTGAGTATTTTTAATTACATTCCTAAGACTTCAAATACTCTATATAAAAATCTGATATAAGCACGCAGGTTAAGCATTAGTATGATCTATCAATCAAGTTGGAAGTAGTACTTACCTTATTACTTCCATTTTTGTTTCCTTAAAATTTGCTTGTATAACATTATCAAAGTATTATAAAGACGTTTTAAACCTAATCAGTCAGTATTAATTTAAACATTCTACTCTGGAATGGAAAATTTAATTAGTTTAATCCTTCCAAACTCGTCCATTTTATATTTTACTAGAAGACCCGGGGCGAACTCTGTATCCCCCTATAATCAAGAAATATCTGTTACGTTTTTTTATTAATATTTTTGGAATTTACCTATTAAAGCCATAAATCTAGGTGTTTTGAAGTGCGACAGAATGATTGACATATTAGTGAGTTGTCAAATCTAATGTAAAAGAAAAGTTTGTATCAACAACTACTAATAAATCAAAAATAATTAAAAAAACATTGTCCAAAAGTGTGAATCTAAACCATTCCCAGAGCCCCTTGAACACACACAAAAAATCTCATCAAAACCGGTCTAGTCGTTTGAGAGAAGTTCAGTGACATACACACTCACAGAAGAATTATATTCATATTTCTAATATAGTGTATTATCTATGATTATAATAAAGATTTAAAAAAAACAAGTTTTATAATGTGGAATAATTTGAAAGTAATATGTACTATTTTCGTCCACAGAGATATGGTTTCCGTGGTGTAGCGGTTATCACATCTGCCTAACACGCAGAAGGTCCCCGGTTCGATCCCGGGCGGAAACATATTTTTGCAAATCGGAAAATAAAAAATACAAAATAACAAAATCCATCATTTATTTTGAAATATATTATTATATACTAGTACATAACATAACATGCTGCTACAATTAATATAATTACTTACTATTATCTTAAAAGAAAATAACATTTAGAAAAATGCATTCAATGCATGAAGCTTTTATTACATTTTAACATTTTACGGTAACATCTAGAAATATTAGTTACATTATATTCCTATTTATCTCGCACTGTTCGCCATCGACTCTGTGTCTTGATTTGTTTTACGGACTTCATATTTAGAAACATGTATTTTTTTGGCGCCTATTTTAGCATTTTCTGCCATTTTGAGAGCACGATTTAATGTTTCGGGTCCATCGAATTCTATAAATGCCGTCGCTGAAAAAAAACAAAACTTTTTATAAGTTTCATTACATCTAAATTACATTTTTTATGATAACAATCTAAATGTAAATTAAACTTACAACAGGTATTCTTTCCTTTTAGTATATAGTGTATGTTTCGTATCCGTCCCGCGCCAGAAAACAGAGTACTCAAAGCCTGCATCGATAGTTCTGCATAGGAACGTACAACTAAAGTGGTCTGCGTCGGAGGCAACGCCTTTTTCACACGAATTCGGCTGCCGTTGAATAAGGTGTTGTCTTCTTCTAACGACTGAAATTATTAGAGTTTAATTAATTATATGGTCTTTAGCAGCAATGATTCAATTTGAAGTCACCCAATCGATGGGTCCTGTGTATAAGGGCCAATGTAACAATTTTCATTTCTTTCTTTTAACACTTCATAATACTGCATTCTACAACATCCTTTTAGAAACATGCGTATTTGTTGGTGGAAAGACTTAGTTTTTACTGCAGTAAAAGGTCATAAGTAATACACTTTTTAACATATAAGGGCTCATATACATTATTTAAAAAACTAGTAGGTTCACAAAAAAGTTTATCATGCTTAACATATGTACATGTATGTATGTCATAGTTGATATGCAAAGTTTCAAAAGCATCAGTTGTCACATGTTCAAGATATTGAATTCAAACTTAAAACACCTCTACTAAAAAATTGTCATTTTGCACATTTTCCCTTATACATAAGAGCCATTACATTACAGACCTGAACTAATAAAGAATGTGAACATAAAAATACTATTTGTCTGTTATTTCACTTATTTGGTTTAGAGATTCATGACTACAAGAGAAACATTATATGTATATTGGATATCTTTATATTTTTTTTAAATAAACTACATTTTTTTCCTACCTTTTCTGCCTCATTGTCATTACTAAACACTATTAATGTAGTGAAAACAGGTTTAGGGTCTTCAGCCGGATAAAATTCTGCAGCTCTGAAATTAAACATTACGTCAAAAATATATTACAAGTATCAGAAGTATTTACAAATATAATAAGTAACATTACTAACCCAACATGCCGAACTGTCCCAAACTTTGTGAAATGCTCCGTGAGTAGTTTTCTATAGCTACATATAATTTTTATTGGTAGATTTTCAACTGAAATTGATCTGGAACTATTGTCGCTTATTGTGCCTTTCCTGTCTTTATTGAATTTACGTTTTACCCATTTCACCTTTTCCTTCTCTTCAACTGGCTCGGTACTCACCTCTTGCTTGGGAGCATCAAACCGTTTCCGACTGAACACTTTTGTACTCTTGTCTTTTTTAAACATGGGGTTGTTTTTTTTCTTCTTTTTATCAGCAACCGTCATTTCATCAATAAGACTGGTTAGTGAATGTGGGTTGTCACCGATATTGAGGTTTTCTAATCCCTCGGCAATGATTTCTGGTTTTAAATCTTTTTTTCTTGATTTTGTTACAGGTTCCCCATCAGTCTCCGATGTCATCTGTGATGATTTAGGTAGATGTTTTTTCTTTTTCAATTTCACTATTTTATCTTCACTTTTACTTTCAGTATCAACATTCATTGTATCTTCAACTATTCCTGAGTTGGTTTCATTGTTAACCTCACTCGGTACAACTTTCTTCTTTTTCCGTAATTTCTTTTCAGATTTATTTAATATTTGACTGTCGCCACTAGCATCCTCTACAATTTCAGCATTAGAAGTATTTTCAAGTTGCATCTTTTCAGTCTTCGATTTAGATTTTAATTGTTTCTTGGAAGGTCTTTCCGCTTGATCCATATCCATATTGCTTACATCAGACTCGTTTTCTTTGTCATCTGGTTTTTTATGATCACTTGACTTATTCTTTTTGGACTTCTTATTAATTTTATCATTATTTGATTTCTTGACTGCCATGGATTCTTCCGATTTAGATTTTTTAACAACCACCTCTTCATTTTCCTCAAGCATAAAGCTCACTGATTTATTTCTTTTTTTAGGCTTAGCGTTCGCTACTTGTACGTCAGATACGTCCAAACTTTCCTCTACCATAGAATTCTTCATGATTGATTTCACTTTACAAGTTTTATCTTTTTTACTTGTGGTGTTTGGTGTGGATGTTACGTGATTCGTCTCTAAGCTGTTCCCGCCAGCTGAGGATAAGTTTGATCCATCAATGTTTACCTGCGCGACTTCCATTTCTTTTTTATTTTTCTTTTTGTTTTTATTCGGCGAATGTTGTCGTTTAGGTGTCTGGTTTTTAACTTTTGACACATTATTTTCTATGTCACTTTCGGGAGCAGGTTTATAATATTTAACAAAATCAAATGTTTTATTATGTTTCACCTCGTCAGGTGAGTTTTTTGGCAGTTCGAATGACTTTGACTTCATGACGAATAGAGTGTACTCTCAATTGATTCTTATTAATAATTGTTTAAATAACACACTATACTAATAAATATAAACCTTAAAGTTTACTGTGAAAACAACATGGGACATGCGTCCAACATTTATAGGTTAGGTATTTTGCAACAAGACAATGTCAACACTCAACAATCAACTGACTTTTGTCTGTTATCACTTGTTTCACACCTATAATAATACAATGTGGACCTATTTTATATGAATCCAGGATTATTATTATTTTTTACATTATGAATTATAATTGTTATGTTATTGAAAACTAAATTATTTTAATTTTTGTTACACAAAGGTTTCATTCAATCTTTTACTTTTATAAACAATACTATATTATAAATAGTTTTTTTAATTTTTGAACATAGGTAAGATCAAATAAAAGTGTTCAGATGTTTTTCATAAGGTCAAAAATAAATAACTAGAAATATAAGAAAAATATCGACTAAATTGAATTCCCCGCTTCTCTTCAAATAAATAATATTTCAACTGTTATACAGTTATTGCTGTTTGAAATAAATAATTCTTTTATTATTATTTTTTTTAATGAAATATTAGATTAAAAACTTTTATGTGTTTTATGTAATTTTTTATCTTAAACGTTCAATTGTATAATAACAGCATATGTAATTATTAAAAATAATGGCAAGTGGCAACCCTTGCAATAATAGGCGAATGCGCTTGCGTGATGCCGGGTGCGTGCTATTTTAACTCGTAAAGTGAATTAGCGTCTTTTTGTGTGAATATTAAGTTTTTATTGAAAAAGTGTTAATATTATAGTAACGGTGAGTAAAACTATGTATTATAACCTAATATTTATAGATAAGTTTATATGTTGCCGAAACTACCACTGCCAATATAAGAGCATGGTTTCGTGAATTTTCCATTGGAACGCCATGCCTTATGGCGCGCCTGGAAAGTATTGATGTTTACCGTTATTATTAAGCTTCTAGTTGTTCCATAAGTTGTGAGTAATTATTATAATTCAGTATTATGTAGTTAAAAGTACATTCTAACTGATATGGCGGGTTACTATAATGTCCTTGATAAACTACGATCGGCGCCAAAATACGGCGGAGTTAATAATGTGTGTAACTATACTAAATCTGTACATGGCGGGAAATGCTTCTGCTATTCTTAAAGTGTACGTTTATTAGCACATATGAATCAATCGTAAATATATTTCAGTTTGAGTGGGAAAATGGTCGCTCAGAAGAGAGGTCGTGGTGCCAAAAATCAAGCGAACAAAGCTAAAGCAAATCAGCCCGCGGAAGAAGTCGTCGCGACGGAAGTGACCGAACAGGAACCTGAGGCCGCAGAAGAAAACAATGGAGACTCACAGGCCGAGAATAATGAAGAACAGGCGACGGGGGAGGAGGCTGGCGAGGAACAGTCAGAAACAGAACAGAACCAAGAAGATGAACCCAAAGCTGAAGAAATCAAAGAAGATAAAGTAGAATCTGGAAAACTACTGGTGGAGAACCTGCCCTCAAGCTATCTATTCGACTACCAAGACAAACTCAAGGAGCTGTTCAGTAAGCATGGCGAAGTCGTCAGTGTGAAGTGAGTAATGGGTTTGCTCGGTTAATATGAAACATTAACATGTATATTTGTTAACATTCAAATATCAGTCCATTAGTATTTTGTATTACCTTTCAAAATTAATACAATGATAAAGTTCTCTGTGTGAAGCACCTGGAACTGTCCGACATTGAAGTATTAACGAGGGAAATTTTCTTTCTTTTTAGACGTGGTCCAATCATTGTTACCGAACTGACCACAACTCCAACATTATCGGCTATAGTCGAATTCAAAAACAAAGATTCCCTGGAAAAGGTAAACAAATAATTATTAACATATTTTTATTTTGTAAAATTTTATTTAGATTACTATTGCCTTTAACGGTTAAACTGGGAGGATATTTATAAGGCGATTATTTTCCAAATTACCTTGTTATTGTATACAAATATCGAATGACTATTTGAATGTTTCAAATGGCTGGTCTGCTACTGGTGGCTTGTATTTATTTTTTTATATTTATGAATGTAATTATATTAAATTATTTTTTTCTATATAACAGTAGTAGACCAACTTCTTTTATATCTGTATGACCATTTTCATTCATCACTTAAAATAACATTATTTTCTTATTTATTTGTTATTTTATGATTCACATATCTTTTGTCATGTTATTTGTTAAATCTCACTCAAATTGTATTCTTGTGATAATTTTATTAGCATTGAGGAATATAGTGTCAATTTAATTATGTATGAATAAGATAGAAATATTTTTTTGTACTATTCCAGTTCAGATTGCCAAATATTTTGTTTATTATATGGAAGCTAAAATACACAAGGCATACATTTTTTATACACAATGCCTTAGAAGTAAGATAAGAGTATGGTTAAAAAATGATTGATATCATTTTGTACTTCAAAATTTCATAATATAAAAAATGTTTTATAGCTACTTTTAAAAAATTTATTGGCGTCGAAGATCTAAATATAGAAATGGGTGTGGCTTACATCTCGCTAAGAGCATTTAGCTCCTTCACAAGTAACCTCAGTACAAAGTCCCCATTGTTTAAGTTGCTGGTACTCAGAACGCTTCTCACTGCCTGTATTTTTCGATTAAAAATATCGGAAAAATAATTTAATTCTTAATAGACTTCACCATAATTTTGCTAGAAAATATTATTATAGAAAATACTGAATGAATTGCAAACACAAACTGTAGTAACAGTATTGTTAGCCATACATCTATCTCCTATGTTGAGTGCTATTTAGAATAAGGATAATTTATATATGAGTGTATCTATTTTCAGGCTCTGTCAGAGAATGGTACATCATTGGATGGTAGTGTCATCTCAGTAGTAGTGGAGTCCCGAGCTGACACTGGCATCCTTGTTGGAGTTCCCTACGAGGCCAGCTGTGACTATGTGAAGGCATTGTTCGAACAGTGTGGGCCAGTCGCGCATGTACATGAGTTCAGCAAGACCAAGTATAAGATATGTATGTATGGAATTAATATGTATTACAAATATTATTATAAGGGAATAATAAGGATTCTTTGTTGCTACTAGCTGCTTAACTATACAATGTAATATGAATTGTTAGTCTCATTTCTTTAGTGGCTACAATAATCTAATTTAAAAAAAACGCTGAGTTTCTTTCGCCGCTTCTTCTCAGGTCAGGGTATTTTCTTTTCCGAACCGGTGGTTGTGTCTCAAGTGACCATCAATAAGAAAGTGTGATGCTTCTATATTGAATAAAGTTGTTTGAGTTAAGTTATCTATTTATCTCATTTCACCTCAAAGTATATAGGTGTACACTCTTTTACTCCGATATACGGGGTGACTGGTGAATTACTATCAATATTTTAGGAGAATACTCGGTACATGATTCTCATTCGAATTATGTAAAAAAAATAGGTACTTAATTTTTGACCAAATTTCCGTATAAATAAATAAAGTGTGGACACGTTCCAAGTGTTCCAAGTGTGGACGCGTACGGTGGCGTGCTGATACAACACTACGCCTTCGCACGCGTATGTGTGTGTGTGTATACCTAATCTGTAGGGTGTTCACACGATGCGTAATTAATTACATAACTTTTGGTTAACTTTACTTAGAAGTTTATTAATATTTAATGTCATATTATTTTTATTTTGTCATATATGATCGTCAAATATCACGTCCTCAAGTATCGATAGTAATTCACCAGTCACCCTGTATATACTATGCTGGAATATTTAAAGTGAGAACTATGTATAACTAATGTAATGTATTTGTAATATGAGTGTTTAAGTTTAATTATCATTGACAGTACGGGTAACATTCAATGAGAAGGAGTCAGTGGAGCGAGCTTTGAAGCTGGACAGAGATCTCCGCATCAACGGGTTCATGGTTACAGTCTCAAAGTACAGAGATGATGATGACTTCAAGGCACACTCGGCTAACTCAAACAAGGTACCCACTACACTATATACTCGAGGATAGTGCAAATCCGTGATTATTTAGTGTTTAATTATAAAAAAAAATACCTTAAAAGTCGTTAATATAAAAAATATTTCAGCTCAAAGTTCTGATAATCTGCTTCCAATGTAGATACGTGAAATTATCTAATGGTAGTTACGTGTATATGCACTATACCCGACGATATATTCTAATCAATTAATCAATATTTCAGTCTACAATATAGCATTAATAAACTCTACTTTTAACACAAAAACTTGATTATGTTCAGAACAAGAGACAGCACGGCCAACAGAATCGTAACTCTGGCAACACGAACGTGAACAACACGGGTGGAACCAGTCCCGCGTCACGCAGCAACAGTTACCGCGCGAGGGGGGGAGCCTTCAACGCTAGGGGGGGAGGCAACTATAGAGGTCCGTATAATATTGATATTAAACTTAGATATATGACAAACATACCACATACTATTTATACATACTCACGATTTAAATATTTGTGTATAATGTAAAAATACGAAAAGGTATCTTTGACTTATTGAAGAACTGTATATGATTATACAGGGTGACTGGTGAATTACTATCGATATTTGAGGACATGATATTTGACGATCACATATGACAAAATAAAAATTAATATAACATAAATATTAATAAACTTCTAAGTAAAGTTAACCAAAAGTTATGTAATTAATTACGCATCGTGTGAACACCCTACAGATTAGGTATACACACACACTCACACATACGAGTTTGGCGGCGTGGTGTTGTATCAGCACGCCGCCGCACGCGTCCACACTTGAACATTTGGAACGTGTCAACACTTTACTTATTTATACGGAAATTTTGTCAAAAATTAAGTGCCTATTTTTTTTATATAATTCGAATGAGAATCATGTACAGAGTATTCTCCTTAAATATTGATAGTAATTGACCAGTCACCCTGTATATAATATATAAATATAAATTATTGTTGTATTGAATGCATTATATAGATCTATTGATCTAATGTTTAATGTTGAAATTTAATAAAATTATTTAAGTTTTGATTTGTTCATCATAGTACTAGATCAGTTTCCTTATATATGTTGTGTTGTGTGCAGGCGGTCGAGGCCGCGGGTTCTCTGGGCGCGGGTCGTTCCCTCGCGGCGGGTTCACTCCTCTCAACACGTACATGCCGCCACAGCCGTACATGGGCCGACCGGTATGACGCACACACACACACACACACACACACGAACACGCACACATCATATATTCTAAGAGCATGTTCCTATATCTATTATTATATAATTCTAAATAATCTTACTACATTTTTCATTTTGCTTCCACCGACTTAAGAATCTTTTCAATCGTTAATTTTAATTTGTATTTCACTAATAATTCTCTGCCTTCATCCATTTCACACTGTATTTTTTTGCAAAATTTTCGTTTATGCTTTGTTTTTTTTTGTTACTTTCAACTCTGCATGCGTTTAGAAACGAGTGCATAGAAAAATGCGCAAAGAAATGCAGTCACAAATGCCACGATCGGTGTCTTTGCCATATAAGTGTTCTGTGCATTCTTTTCAGAACTACCTGTAGTACACTCGTAGAAACGAGAGTGAAAGCAGGTAACTCGCTGGATATCATATGCATATTATTAACTAACAAAATCCTGCTCCGGTGCCTTCCAAAACAATTTTATTTGACCCCATGACCTATAACGCCTCTGCATGTTAATTGAAAGTGTGTCGAATTTAAATTTACATCATATTAAACATTCACCATCAAACAAACCGTTGCCTCTAATAACTTAACCAATTATTTGTTTTAAATCGTAGCCCGCGATCCTAGATATCTCTGTTTGAATCCATTATAGATTTCATGGTTATAAGTCTAATAAAGTTTTAATTGTTAGTAATTCACGAGTAGTGTGTTCTCTATATGTTATGTCGGTAATGGTCATAATGTGGGTCCGTGTGTTTTCAGCAAGGAGGCTTCATGAACGACGGTCAGCGGCCGGTCAAGCGACTGAGACAGATGTAGGTGTGTGAGCGGGACGGCGTGCGTCACTATATGTTCGTGTGTGTTTGTGTGTGTGACAGAGACAGCAACTGTATCAGATAAATCTAGCTAATTGTATTTACTAAGTACATGAGATAAAATAATTGTAAACTTAATGATACTGTCTTTTGACAGATAATAAATGAATACTAACAGGCTTTGTTTTATTTATCTGTGTGTTTTATAAAGACTTTTTGTACTCTGACCAATGAATAGGAATAAACTTTATATTTTATTTGTTCATTAAAGGTTGTCACCATCTCCTAGTTATTGTTTTTTTTTTTAAAGTGCTGATTTGTAGGAGATCGTTATAGGAGGTAGTAGGTGTTCTTTGCACCACTGTATAAAGATTAGTGTTAATTACTTTTCAACATCGAGTGTTTTTAAAATTTAAACCTTTTTCAAACCTAGTATGTGACGAGATTTCAAGAGAGATGTTCACATGTTCAATGTATTTAAAGTTTTATACAGGGTGACTGGTGAATTACTATCGATACTTGAGGACGTGATATTTGACGATCATATATGACAAAATAAAAATTAATATAACATAAATATTAATAAACTTCTAAGTAAAGTTAACCAAAAGTTGTGTAATTAATTACGCATCGTGTAACCACCCTACAGATTAGGTATACACACACACTCACACACGCGCGCGCGGCGTGGTGTATCAGCACGCCGCCGCACGCGTCCACACTTGGAACCCTTGGAACGTGTCAACACTTTATTTATTTATACGGAAATTTTGTCAAAAATTAAGTGCCTATTTTTTTTACATAATTCGAATGAGAATCATGTACCGAGTATTCTCCTTAAATATTGATAGTAATTCACCAGTCACCCTGTATAGACGGAGCTAAATTATCCTAGCTATCTATTTGAAAAAATGTTTTAACAACAAATTTTGGTGAAAGAAATTTTCTATTTCGTTGTTTAAAAACATCTTTGTTTAGTTTGCATTGTTACACTGCTGAGCCATATTCACATTTTTTAATAAATAAATCTTCGTACATTATAATTTTTCGGTACCTACGTTTGTTTTTGCAAAGTTTCGGTAAGCATATCTATAGATTCTACTATAAAATTTAAAACATTACAAATAAAAAATTATCGCTCGAAATCTGAATGATTGAGAGATGATTTCTAAAAGAAACCTAATAGAAGTGTTTTAGAGAAAAAAATGGAGTAAGTCGTAACATCAATCATTATAAACTTTTTAACCTGTTACGTGATATAAGAGAATGAGATATTGGTAAATGTAGATAGGTAGGTACTATTAAAACTACCCTGCAATACTTGGATCGAATTAAAGGGCTGTCAGGAAATCTTTCAATGTTATTTTTTAAAACTTTTAATTATTTTTTTATCCTAGGGATAAAGGGACTTTAAAATTAGTAAAATAATGGGAGCAAGACACGTTTCGTCCATTTACTATGAACTCATTGTGTCTCTCGCATTGACTCACTGCTTGGATAAATCAATATGAATAGTAATTTGAGCATAGAATTGAGCCTCGAGTTCTGATTCCTTTTTATGATATATTTTTTACATTAAAATTTTCAAATGTTTAACGGTAGTTTACCATGCGATTGTACAGACTTAAGCTTTTCTGAAGGACAAATGTTAATGAAATAAAACTATATTTTTCAACTTTAAGATTTATTTGAATTCAAACTATTTCGTACGGATGTCCTTTTAACACTATTACATGGCAATGGAAATGAATCGCTGGATTCATAAGGGGCCACCCATAAAGTAGGTCACACGATTTTTAAGATTTTTGAACTCCTCCCCCTGTTCTTGACACAGGTCACATTTTTATAAATCCCAACCTGACGTGACTTCACATATGTATTTTATTAAATTTATGTTAGGTATATGTATGTATTTAAAAATAATCGAGAGAACAGCTCTTAATTTTAGTTTTTTTATTAAATAATAAATTAATAAAGTCCGATATATCATAAAGAAATGAAAAGGGAGCGTTCAAGTATTACGTAACGCAATTTTGGGGGAGGGGGGGGTCTCGTAAAACGTTACGATGCGTTACTGGGGCGGGAGGGGGTGTCTCTTACAAAACGTTACGTAGCATTGTTTCTAAAAAAATATATTAATAAAAACCCCCAAACTGGCAACTCTTTTCATATATATTACATTGTTGACTAGATTGTATTAGTCTGGTCGATATTTTTATTTGTTATTCCAAGTTTGCAAACCTTTTAATTGATATTTTACGGGGAATACATAGATTGCATTGTAAGTCTTTTGATGAAATTGATCACTTGAGTGTTACGTAACGTTTTGAGAAGGGGGGGGGGGGGCAATCCTCAAAGTTTGAAATGATTTTCAACATTAGTTTTGTTCGAACTTTCTTAAACCTATTTAAATCCGTATACCATTCAAAATTGTCGTGAACTTTAGTGTCTTACTTGCATTACAACGTCGCTCTGGAAGTTAAATGACGTTGCTTGAGAGATTATTTCATAGCGAGAATGCTAATTTATATGAATAAATAAAGGTCAAGCTTGTATTTTTTTTAATTTTCACTTTACATCCAAATTTAAAATTTAAATATTTTTAATTTTACTATGTGACGTCACAAAACTATTGACCCCCATGCCCCTTGTCACACGATGTCACTCTTGAGTGATTCCCTTCCAACCCATTAACTTGTGACGTACTTTGTGGATGGCCCCTAATCGGAAATAATAAGCGAAAAAGTATGCTAGTTAAAACGAAAAAAAATGGTTTAAAATATCAAAGTAGAAATAAGTATTTAATTATATAAATAATTTATAAATTTTGTTCTATTTAATACATAATAATGACAATTGATAATATTTAATAAGAAAATAGTTGTCGAAAAGAAACAAGAGCTTAATATCTAACTCTAAACGAAACCAGGATCCACATAATGTATTTCTATTTTACAATTCCTAGCCAAGATCCAATCCATTTGTTCTTGATACATAAATTCATATTTATAAAATGTAGTTTAGTTTTTATTATGTAAATTTTGCATAGAAAGTTATGAAATCTCAATATATAATAAAAACGTAACGGACAAATTAAATGATTAATTTAGATAAATCAAAGTGTTATAAATATAAAGTAATCTTTTCAATCGTATTTGTACAAAAAAGGTCTTTAGGTATATAAATATTAGCTTTCACGAAGCGTTTTCCCGCCGTCAATAACCATTCAGAGTTCGATTATTCCGAAAAACTATTGTTTCATAATAGTAATGATGTGCATAATTAAGAGGTTGTTAGCATTTAGAAAATACGCTCCCCTTACATTGACTTTGATCTTCTAACATGATACACGCCACACGTCTTATTTGTGTACATGACCGCAAACTATTCGCACGCACATATTAAATAATAAACAATTATAATATAGAAATAAATTGTTAAATGATGAAGGTGAAAGTGTTTTTAGTGATTCAAATATTCATTATCTCGGTTAGTGCTAATTCTGTTTCTGGTCAATATGTTAATTCTAAAAAAACATCAGTGAAAATCTCAAAAAATATTCGACCGCGGGGTGAAATAATGGAGAACTTGTTTATAGTTTTCGATCCGTCGTATTTGTCGTTTGTTTGGCCGAAAATAAAAAATGGGGTTCATTTAAACTTGGGATATCACTGTTGGGAGGATGTGAGTGTGTTTTTAAAAGATTTAGCGGAAGGCAGAGCCTGGGCGTATAAGGGTAAGCTGTTGTTATAGAATAAGGGATAAATAAAGATATATTCATTATAATTACGAGTACAAATACACTAAGAAGACATAAAGAAAAATTAAAAACATAAACAAGATCCTCCTATTATACTGAACAAAATATTATGTAAAGGATATTAAGAAATTATTTTCATGATTGTCGATTTACGTTGAATTTTTTACAGACCAATTTAAATTTATCAATATCTTTTTAAATTTAATGTTAAACCAAATAAAAATGTATCCTTTTTTCAAATATTTTTTGTTCGATTAAGTCAATGATTGTTGATTTTCTATAAAAATTACATGAATTATAAAATTGATTGGGAAAAGTGAAGTTAAATTTATAGCAACAATAAATGCACTAGGAAGCTAATTAGATTAAAAACATTAAAACTATTTACGTTCAGACAACTCAGGCGAAACAATGAAAGCAAGAGTTTTATTTGTCAATAAATAACTGAAGAAATGTCTGAAGCGTTCTCTTTGAATCTCGTGTGGCAATCAATTATTATTGTCGCTTTTATGTCCACGCAATTATAATTGGATTAACATAAAAATGTGGCATACGATAGATAAAAAACTTGTAGCTAGCTATTTATTTTGCATTTAATGTCAACGTTCTCAGTTTTTGTGATTCACACACATGTGAGTAGAAACTTTTTTTATGCAATTTAATAGAATGGAAGGTATTTTCTATTGCGTTAAAAGTGTAAGTTTTGTTCAGCTGCTGACGCCTCGGGACGCTATCAGTCAGGTTTATTCAGCGGCAGAAGATTTTGGCTCGGTTCGAAAGAACAATGTCTGCAACTTGTGAGTATACGTGTATTTGACATAGAAATAAAAAATAAGTAAAATCTCACCTCCTTTGTTTTAAGTCAAAACATTGTAACTTTTTTATAATTATACTTTCATTACATTACATTAAAATCTTAAACATGAGTCCACGCCAAAAAGAAAAAAAAATACGCAAAGATTATTTGTAAGATACAAAATTATGAAAAATAATTCACTTATATTTATAAAAGAGTATTAGAGATTAAGGCTATGACACTATTAAGTATCTATTTATCGTTTTTTAGGACGACAGCTATACGTCTCAGAACAACGAGACGTGGGGTGAGTTCTACAATGGAGATTACCTGAACACTCTCATGAGAAGAGAGAAATTTGGAGGAAGTGAGTAACGTTTATTAATATGTATAGTTAATTATAAGATAACAATGACCTTGGCGTGATTGAACTTTTTATATCAGTAGAGCCAATTAAGGCGCTTCATTGATGTGTGTACTTTCTAATAAAGGTCAAAGAAGTTAAAGGTTTTAATTGTATTGAGGTTTAAATTTTCTTATAGATATTTTCCACGGTAAATTGATGATTTAGTAACTGTACTTTTAATGTAACATTTCAAAAGCCATCTGAATATTTTCTTAAAGCGCATATTGATAAGTTACCGATTTTCATCTGGTTCAATGCTTTCAATTTACCCAAAAACTTATTGTAATTGGTTTTGATATTTCTTAACATTTTATTAATAAAAAATAAATTTTCCTGTGGTAAACCATGTGGACAAAATCTATTAATCGAGAGAAAATTATTTGCTGTATTTAATCTTTTAAAGTGAAAGGAATATTTGTAAGAAATCGGCAATATTTTAACCATTGTTTAAAAATGTAAATACTGAAATCTGTACAAAGATCAAAGTTAAGAGAAAACACGGAGTAGCTTTCTCGTATATAAAATGGCACCAGTTTGTTCCTAATTCTATTTTTTTGTATAAAATTTTTTCTTTGGTTATTGATGAAAATACCTTCATCTATAAATTTGCCTTCGAACTCAACAAAATACTTCAAATTGTAAATAAATAATCCAGTTGTATTTATTAAACACTCTAGATACAATGTAGTAGAATGAATGGCAGTTCTTTAAAGTCTGAATATATTAAATTATGCAATATACATACGTGATATTAGGAAAAAGGTGAAAGCTTTGCTTTTAAATATTTATCGATGCGATTGAGGATGTCATGACGTCATTTTTATATGAATTTTAAATATCTAAGTGTTTTTTATCATCTTTTTTTGGTTCAATGATTTTCACCGTACTTATGAGGTTTATTATTTGTCATACCTTTGCTCGTTAGACATAAATTTTGATAATTTATATTAAGTTTTACCATTAACTACTTGACTGCACAAACGTTTGGCTTATCTTGAGATAATCTCTTAGGTAGCTGTAACTGTCGTGATTAAATTAATCTCTGATGAGGTTCACTAGGTTTATATCTTAAATTATTATTTAAATGATAGGTGAAATTAGATATTTATTTGTACTTCTTTATATTTTCTTTAAGGGCCAATAAATTTGTTTATAATTGCCATCATCACCTAGCTTATAATCAGAGCGTTTACTCCGAGTATTGTGGTCTTCATAATGTTTCGTTTGTTTATAAAAGGGCTTCAATAAAAACAAATTTAAAAGTTAAACTATGTAAAAGAAGCTCGTTATTTAAAGAGAAAGATTGATTATGTAAAGAATAAATTAAACGTCATTTAATTAAAACCGACTTATAATATCTTTCGTCTATAAAATATGATAACCAATTTTATGATGTCGTGATTATTATTTAATATTACTTAATTTCCGTGATTGTGAGTGGTAACAAATCATAAGTATTTTGTTACGTGATCGAGCGTCTAGAGAGAAAAAGACGTTGTTTTAGTCTATGAAGATTTGCAGTATCTTTCAGGAAGATCTTTGATCTTTTATCGAGTATTGGCATTTAGGCGGGAAAGCAAATATAGAAAAGACGACTATTGTGAGGGCGTTCGACCCCGTTGTCTGACCCAGTCCATACAAACCTTCTTTTCACTGACTACAGCTAGGTTCCTACACTGCTTTATTGTAGTATCAGGTGTTATCGTTACACTACGTACTAACCTACTTTCATACGTTAATGTGCGAAGATTTATGAATGACAATGTAACACTTCATGTAGACGATAAACATACTTATAGTACCTTTAGTATGCAACAATTTAACGAGTTTTTCAGACAAGCACTGACTCGGTGCTTTATCTTATTTAAATTATTTGTTAGCTGTATTTAATTGTATTTTCTTTACTTAATTCCTTTTTTTAAATTTCCAATTAAAGTAATCTTAATTGTATTTAATGTATTTTCCAAAAATCATATGTACATACCAAATACAAATTTATCGATCAACACGTAATTTCAAGACGCTTATGGGTTATCCAAATTTCATCAGTCGAGTGTGAATATAATACAATTAAATAATTTACATGATTTAATAAAAAATGATTGAATGTTAACTTTATAGATAATAATAAATTTATAGCACTGTATGGTGAAGTTTTGTAACTTACATATTAACAAAAGCCTCGTGGAATACCAGTATAGCGTGCATAAATAGTCAAATTCATATTGTAAACTTAATATATTTCGAAACCTATATGTATCTGATGTTTATTAAACACATTAAAAAACTCTTTAACTTGAAATAAATATAAAAGCAATAACAATGATTTCGACATAGGCACTCATTTTCTAAAACCACATGTTATATTGTGGTTTATAGATTTTTTCATTGATAAGGTATGTAATAATTTATGTCCTGATCACGTCAGATGTAGCTGAGTGGTCGTCGTTGGTTCAGCGTGACGAGCTGATGAGAAAGATGGTTCGTTCAGACAACGAGGCCGCCGTCTCACTAGCATACACCGCGCTGCAGATTGACTTGAATGTCACCAAGATTACGATGCTGAAGGTAACAATGACATATTATTTTTAAAAACTACATAATCTAGACGTTTCGGTTACTTTACAGCAACCGTGATTACGGTCAGACGATATGTGAGTGTATAAAATAAAATAACACGTAGTAATCCGAAAATATTAGTTTCATTTAAACAATTGATACTCGCGAAAGTCTTAGATCTCATTATAATATCTTTAATTTATTGAATAATCGTCTGGCCCCTCTAATTTCAAAAAAATAAATTATAGATATTGAATGAAACTGATAACATTTCCCTCAGGGACACGAAAAACCCAAAGAGCGTATATTCACCCTTATACCTATTGTTTTGTGTCTTCTTAACGTGTTCACTTAAAAATGCTTTAACAAAATTTAAAAAAAATCACAAAATAAATACTAATAATTTCTAAATACCGAGCAAAGCTAGGTAACCAAATATTTATTATACATATATTTAAATGAGCAATTGTTGTTTAAATATAAACATAATTGGAATATCGGAATCGGCTCCAACGTTTTCATGAAATTTAGTATACAGGGTGACTGGTGAATTACTATCGATACTTGAGGACGTGATATTTGACGATCATATATGACAAAATAAAAATTAATATAACATAAATATTAATAAACTTCTAAGTAAAGTTAACCAAAAGTTCTGTAATTAATTACGCATCGTGTGAACACCCTACAGATTAGGTATACACACACACTCACACATACGCGTGCGGCGGCGTGGTGTTGTATCAGCACGCCGCCCCACGCGTCCACACTTGGAACACTTGGAACGTGTCAACACTTTATTTATTTATACGGAAATTTGGTCAAAAATTAAATATCTATTTTTTTTACATAATTCGAATGAGAATCATGTACCGAGTATTCTCCTTAAATATTGATAGTAATTCACCAGTCACCCTGTATATGGGTTTCGGGGGCGATAAATTGATCTAGCTAGGAATAATTTTTAGAAAACGACATTTAATTAAAAAAAATAACGAAAAGGAAGCGTTTAAAATATGACTCTTCCTGAATCTTCTTAGTCTATCCTCAAAACAAACACTCATTGACTTCCTGCTACATAACAACGCAATCTGCCGTTGTGTCATTAAATCAATTAGTAAAAGAAATTAGCAAAAAGTAGTATTACTATTCGCCAAAAGATGTCAGGAAGAGTCATATTTTAGAGTACCAACTATTAAAAATAATGTCATTTCATTAAAAGGGACATGATTATTTTATCCAAAATTGGTGCTGCAAGTAAGAAATTTATATTTTTACCATCAAAAAATACATTTACCATCAAAAAATAGAGAGAAGTAAGAAATTTATACTTTTACCATCAAAAAATACATTTACCATCAAAAAATAGAGATTTCAACAAATTGAAAACATACCAAATCTTTGAAAATAGCTAATATTTTGACGGGTGAATTTTCGATTGAAAATGAGGCTGATTTTTAGGTATTTATTCAAAACAAGCTGAAAAAATAAATATTTCTAATCAAATAAATTACAGTGCATTTGTAACATCAAAAGGAAAGTTTTTACCAAATTTTGTGTCAAAAAATTGTTTTTTGTAAAATAAAAAACCAAAAATATGGTTTTTCGAATTTATGACATAAATTTTCAGGTTATGTGAAAAAAATGTTATTACAAAAGTTTTAGATATTTTTATTACCTACAACTTTGCCATATAACATTTTTCCGTAGAACTTTTAGTTTTGCCGGAAATCGAGAAAATCCATTTTTTATCCTTAATTACCCATCCCCATACCCTTCCCGACCTCAGATCGCCCGTAAATTATTTTTCCTTTAAATTTTATAATATTCCCCTCCTTTTCTAATGAGTTGCATTCTACTATAATTTAATTATGCTTTAAAAGCTATCGGCACAGGTCTAAAATTATTCCTAGCTAGATGGATTTATCGCCCCCGAAACCCCCATATATTAAATTTCATGACAGTAGTTGGAGCCTATTCCGAGATTCCAATTATGTTTATATATATAAATTATATATACATATATACAAGAATTGCTCATTTAAATATATAAGATAGATACATATAATTCTATTGTACGTGTGTATGTTATTGAAGTACTCCTTAAAAGCTGGAACGATTTGAATTAATTTTTTTGTATACATTTAAGTGGCTTCCCAGACGGTATAGATTCACCCATCAGTCCCATAAATGGCGCTCCAGTCAGTATTCCGATTATTTAAAATGAAACAACTGCAATGTATTAGATTCTTGTATGTATATTGTATAGTTTTAACACGGACGAGGTCGCGAGCAAAAACTATATAATATGCTATATCTGTAAATTTGTATAAAGCAATACTTAATTCAAACCCTACATAATTGTTTTAATGTAAATTTTCTTTATTAACCACGAATATTTCTCTTATATAAAGGCATTTTAAAAATATGTTTCACATAATTCTTTAATAACATAACTGTATAGCATGTTTTCTTCGTGATTGTAAAATCATTATTAGATTTAGTTATACCTAAGTAAAGAAATATAAAGAATAGGTTTACAAATTCTGGGTTAGGATGTTAAAAATTATGAAGTACTTATGTTTAATTAATTTGATGTCAGTGGCTATACTGGCGCCGAAGATTTCTTTTTATCATAACTTCCTTATTGTTTGCTTTTAAACGATGTTTGTGTGAATGATTTATTTATATATTTCTTTTTAATTATATTATTGTCTTTCGGAATGTACTAGGCGTATATTATTTTTGTAAAAACTACATGTGATCACGCTTGCCGAAAAGTAACTGAAACGTCGGGAGTATGTAGTTTCTTTACAAAAATAATATAGGCGTAATGCAATCAGAAAAATATTAGTTTCATTAAAATGAATACTCGCGAAAGCCTTAGATTTCATTATATCTATTTTATATTTCCAGTCTTACAAAATAACACTCGGTCTATGCTTGCCTCGGTCCTGTGTTCCCCAAGACGTGGTGTCCATTATAAACTTCTCTATAATGCTGAACGACAATTTGAAAACCAACAAAACTGTCTCAAGGACTATAAAGATAACATCTCTGAGACACGTCGACAGCTTCTATGATATAAGAACTGATTGCGGCGCCGTCTCCCTGCTGATGGTCACCGTCACTCTCATAATAATCGCCATCATAGCCACAATAATAGATTTCGAGTTAATAAAATTCAAGCCGTACGTGAAAACATCCAGTTTTGACTTAGAACAGTACAACGATAAAGAGAACAGAAACGGACACCACATTAATCAGTATTCAAAACAGACGCATCGAATTGATGAGAAATTATCAGCGAATCTGAATGAAATCAAAAGAGCGATGCGTGAGAAGGGAATACCTCCGTCTGTTACGCTGGACGTAATGACACAAGCGAGGGTGGAAGGCATCACGAGCTGCAAGCGATGCGGCAAGTACAAGAAGCAGTGTCCCAACCTGACGAAACAAAACCTAGAAGCTTGTCCTACAGTGAAATACAATTCCAGCGCCAGTCTCACTACTGAGTATAAAATGGAGAACACGGTGTGCAAGAACCTGTTGCTGAGCTTCTCCTTCAAGCACAGCTGGGCGAGGATCTTCAACACTAATTTAGCGAACAAGAACCTGGCGTTGGTCCATGCGATGAAGATAACAGCTGTTCTGTGGATCGTGTTAGTTCATGTGACGGCCGTAGTCTGGTACAATGCAGGTATTGATCGTTAGTTCAAATATTTCGACACCAATAGTAATTCATTTAAATGAAACTAATATTTTTCGGATATACAATGTGGTTTATAATTGTGAAAAAATACGACATACTCCTGACCTTTCGGCTACTTTTCAGTAACCGTAATCACGGACAAACGAGATGTGAGTCCCCGCTTAGTATATCCCAAAAATATTCATTTCATTTAAATGAATTAATCTCGCGAAAGTCTTAGATCTCATTACCAATAGTTATTCATTGTCTTATTTTGTTTTATCGTTTTCAGACAACAGTATGGACATCAATGATGACAACACCATGTTTTATTTGCTTTGTTCTGGAACTTTAGCATTCGATTTGTTGTTCTTCGTAAGGTAAATGAGAAAAATATTATACTTTTTTTATATTATACTAGCTTTTGCCGCGACTCGAGATTTTTGGTTCTTCCCACATAGTTCCCGTTCTTGCGGGGTTTTCGGAATGGTCGAGTTTCCGTAGAATTTTCAGGATAAAACCTATGTTTTTTTTAATTCACAATATAGTTTATTTGAATAATGATTAATATTATTATGTTGATACAACTTAAACAAATTATTTCCACCAAATTGGGTACCATAAAAACGGTTTTTGTGAGTAAATCTTAAAAGATAGACATATACTGTCGCGGAGTGTTTTTTAGATCATTAAAAGAGCTATTATTCTTTAACACATATTTTTTGTGTATCTTGAACCGTTTTCACGGCGCACGCAACGGAAGGCTTCAAAGATGAAATAATTTCTCCCGTTTTTTACACATTTACCACTATATCTTTGCTCCTATTGGTCGTAGCGTCATATTTTATAGCCCACAGCCTTCCTCGATAACTGGAATATCCAACACAAAAATAATTATTCAATTCGAACCAGTAGTTTCGGAGATTAGCGCTTTCAAACAAACAAACAAACTCTTCAGCTTTATAATATTAGTATAGATTTCGTTGGCCTATCTTTTCTTCTTTAACAAAATGTTCTATTACACAACACTTCAACATTTAGTTACCTTCTATTTATTGCCATATGTGTATCTATTGATTCTCACATATCTTCTATGTCTTTTTTTTTCAGCGGCGTGTTTAGCTCACAGCATTTCTTCTATCTGAAGAGTCGTTACTCAGCTCAAGAGCTGGTGAGTCTGGGCGGTGTCTGCGGGGAGATGCTGCAGCTGATCTGCTTCATCACCAACAGAGCTGTACGGTAAGCGATAAAATCTTCCAAATTGATTTAATTTTGACCCTAACTCTATAATTTCATAATATTTCCTTGTTTTTTTCCGTCTAATCAGGTTGCTTCCTCCCTACTTGTTTACAATCTTCCTAACGTCCGTGTTAGCGCGTGTGTCTCGTGACACCGCGGTGTTGTCAACACCAGAGAGGGACTACGACACTTGTGACAGCTACTGGTGGAGAAACATCTTGTACCTGAATAATCTATATCCTCAGCAAGAACAGGTACAAACCTCTAAGTAAAGTACGAATGTCTGTTTTTTAATGACAGCTTCATCCCAATGATACTTTCTATACTAAATAATGTAGAGATATAAAATATAAAATCAAAAAATTCCATAGTCCTGTTGCATCTGAGTAGGTTATAAGGTATAGTGTATATTAAACAAGTATATTTGATATTTTGTGTAAAAACGTAATTTATAAATTAAAACTAAAAATGAACTGGCAGTAGGCCGTCAATTATTGTACCCGTTCAGAATTTTACGACACTGCTTAAGATATTAAACTTTAAATGCAGAATGGAGTCACTAAATAACTCGAAAGACCTGTACGAGTACATATTGTCTAAAGTTAAAGGATAATTATAAGTCGATTGGCTAAAAGATAAAACATGAAAAATTTAAATTAAGTAGAGAATCTGTACTCTACTATAAGTTTGCATCTTCATACTACTGACTACATACTGAAAATTTTGCGTTTCACATTAAATTACCTTCTTTAATACTATATTTTATAAATGAAAAACTATTAATGCTCCGTGTTTAGTGCGAGGATGCTCAATTTGGGTGATCTTAGTAGGACGTTCATGTCCAAAATTTTATTAACTACCGAGCATTCACTGAACGCTAAAGTATGTAAATGTATCTGTATGTATGTGGTTTTCAGTGCATGCAGGTGTCATGGTATCTCTCCAGCGAGACTCAGCTGCACGGAGTCATGTCGTTGGCGTGTCTCCTGGTGGCTTTACATCGTCGGCGGGCGGCCGCGCTGCTCATGTTGATGGTAGTTCTCACAGCCGTTACTGTGGACGTTACACGAGCTATCAGCGACGTCGGACAACGGTGAGCTGGTGATAGAGACATGGGATAAGCTTTATTTTGCTTAAAACCTGAACAAAATTGGGAGTAGTTGGAGTAAAATGCAAGCTAACTTCTTGATTTCCCTCAATCTGCTACTTCTTGATTTTCCTCAATCTGAAGTGAAGAAAACAATTTGATCACGTCAACTTTAAGGCCTCGGCCTCGAATTTTGCGGGCAGCGGAGCGGGAGCGGGAGCGGCAGGATCTTACGCGTATAATCAAATGGACCGACCCTCGAATACAGCGGTGCCCGCTGCCCGCTATTTTGGAGAAATGTATGCGTTTTCGTGCCGCCGCCGCTGCCGCTCCGCTGCCCGCAAAATTCGAGGCCGAGGCCTAAGAAGCTTGTAGAAAATAGAACTATTATATTATAGCTTCTACAAGTAGAAGAAGAACTATTATAGCTTCTAGAAAATAGTTCTTATTGATCTTAACGATTTTATAACACGGATCCGTTAATTTAATTAACCAGTTATAGCATATGTAGGTAATAATTTTACCACTGGACACCTAGCCTAAGAATTCAGTTCTCATATCTGTTCGTTCCTCCTTCAGTGTGTGGTCATCTTTCTCCCTGTACTCGTTGATTGTGTCTCGTCCGTGGGGCGGCGTGCCGTCCTACTGTCTGGGAGCGCTCGTGGGCTGGCTGCTGCATGTCACCGAGGGCCGCTGTACCGTCAACAGAGTGAGATGTAGTCTTTGGATCTTATTAAACTTTAACTAACTCATATTTCCATATTTGGTCCATAAAACTAGATGATACTGTGAAATATTAGGTCTACTTTCTGTACCTGTATTTGATAGCGGTTATTTCTAATGCTTTGTCAGTTTTGTATTTGCTTTTACATACTTTAAGTCTTATGTCTAAATTTAGAAGATTTTCAATAAACTCTAAAAGAAAGTTTCTATTTACACAACATTAATATACCATATTTCAATGTCTCTCGTCCGTGTATGTTTCAGACCACTAGCGTGTGTCTCTGGTCGTCTTCTGTTCTGTGTGTGATCTCGTCGTTGTTGGTGAGTGGTCGTGACCCTCGCTGGACGGCAGCGGTTCACCTCGCCTGGCCCGTGGGACTCGTGTGGCCGGTACTGGCTGGAGCTACTACATATTCTGGTGAGACATTTTACCTCTACATTATTTTGGTCATCGCTACCCTTATGAGGAAACTTAAGGATATCTTATATTCTTAAAAGTCAATACTGTACAGGAATTAATAAATCAATTTCAGGCAATAAAATATTGAAGATACTGATATTAATATGCTACTTTGTTAATATTTCTTATGTTATGTCCCCAACCAGACGTGACCCGCGGCCTGGTGTCCAGTCCACTAGTGTCAGGTGTCAGTCGCTTGTGTTACACCACCCTCGTGTGTCACGGGGCCGTGTGTCGCGCTCTCCTGCTGTCGGCGGACACCGCGCTCTGTTCTGATGTGTCATGTTTGGTGAGTATTCATCATTGTTTGTCATGACACAGTTCAGTTAAGTTTCTTCTCATATAAACTATATCTCTATCCTCTCATCGCCAGTTCTGTTACTTCGCTGGTTGCACGCTCGTGTCTCTGTGCGCGTCTCTGTGTCTCTCTCTACTGGTCGAGATGCCCAGCTGTTGCTTGTTGAGACGGATCTCAGATTATACTTACCGGTGATTTGATTATTTGTTGATTATGTTGTTGTTTGTTTTAGATAAGAATAAAATAATTAAAAACATTCTGTGTTTTATTGATGAAAATAGTTTTACTAACTATAATGTACTTAATATAATTCGACTGAAAACGGTAAGCTTTAGGTTACGCGGTATATATTTATGTATCTAAAGCCAATAAAATCATCAGTTATTTATTTAGTAATATTATAAAGAGGAAAGGTTTGATTTTTGTTTATTTGTTTCGAATAGGCTTCGAAACTACTATACCGATTTGAAAAATTCTTTCACCGTTTGAAAGCTATACTATTCCGGAGTGACAGAGGCTATATTTAGTTTTTTTTTTAAATAAGGTTTCTTACCAAAACTCCGATAATGTAAAAAGTATACCAAAACAAATCTTTAATTTGCGAACGCTCCGGATACGATTGCAGATATAACAAAGTGATGTACTACAATTTTGTAGAACTTATCATTATCTACAAAGAACGTCGCGACATCATATCTCTAACTATTATAGTTTTGTCACAATAAGCGATTTTTTATATAAAAAATATAATTAAAATATCACTGCTTGAAAAGGCTCTTTATTTGTACCTTAGTATAAACCTTTTCAGAATAAATGATTTATTATTTAAGATCGTTTCAAAAACTTTATATAACTTTTTGAATTATTAGATTCTGACATTCCATTCAAAAGATATCATCAAAAATTTTGAAAAATATCCGCTCGGCGGCTAACTCTGCGTTGTAGAGTTGTAGGCGTCACTCGGGCACGGGGTAACGTGAGGGGAATAAGATCACGAAATAATATCTGAGAGTTAAATTTCCTATTTTTTTTATTTGAGGCAAAGAAATGTGAATATTTGTGTAAATGTCATGTTAAGTGCCCGTGTGAAGCCGATATATGTATATTAACATCCATTACAACGTTCAAAGTTTTTCTGTAATATATGTATGTACATATTTAGTTAGCATCAGCGTTGCACCCGTGCGAAGCCGGAGCGGGTCGCTAGTAAATAATAAAAGTGGCGTACAGTAATAATATTATATTCGGTAAAAACTTACAACTAAACAATATTTACATCTTATTTACATAGATCGTACATTAAACTTAACACTTATGTACATATTTTTGGACATCTAACTTAAATAACATTCATCTCTGTAATAAGTCTACACTGATATACGACTAACATACACGAGGAGATTAAACAGTACGCGACATATATACAAACAAATATTAGAGCATTAAATATTAGAGCGTCCTTGTTATCAATAATATCACTGATTGTACTCCGACACCCGGCGCCCTCTACACGCGGTGGGGCTTCTTCTGGGGAGAGATGATCTTCAGCATCGTCACGATAGGGGCCTCGAAGGCCACGGAGATGACGAACGCCAGGAAGAAAGATATGACAGCCAGACCCAGGAACAACACGAACTGGACAAGAGTATAACATGATGTATAGAGATCTTAGATAATAGAAAGGGTAAATACAGGGACAAAGAAAACTATTATTATGGTAGATAATTGTTCGTTGGAGATTGTAGTTGAATTATCTATTGAACACTCAAGTTTTCAATAATGTGTAAAACAGTTATTTATTATTTTTCTGTTTAATGTTCACTCGACTTCTATTATTGGTAGCTTTAGTGAACAAATATAAAAGTGTACTTCATTTATAAACGTACTAATAGATTTAAATTCTGTAAATAATAAAATTTACCATCAAATAATCAGAAAATAAAGTTAAAAGAGACTGTTTTAATTTAAAAATAAATGTTTAAAAAAACTATCTAGATTCTTGATCATTGCTTATTTTTCTATGAAAAAACACTGGCACATTTAAATTAGCTGCAGTTTAGGGAACTAATTACATTCAAAACAATTTGGTGGTTACAAAAACTTAAGAACTTATTTGGTGTGAAAGAGTGAGTGTTATAACATACCACGAGCAGTTCTCCCAGATGTATGGGGTGTGTGAGATGCATGGCCACGTAGCGGAGCACCACCGGGTGCACCAGGTAGGTGCAGTACGTGACGCGCGAGAAGGGGTACAAGAGGGGAGACGAGAGGAGAGGACGGACCCAACCTGGAACATGGAGACACACGTGGAGCAGATGTTGACATAGAAATATGATCTAAGATTATCGCGAGTCTTATTCATTTAAATGAAACTTATATTTTGTAAAAAACTACATACTCCCAACGTTTTGGCTACTTTTCAGCAACCGTGATCATAAAGACGAGATGTGAGTGACTCGCATATTTTTATCAAAAATAAAGTCGTGTAGTATATCCGCAAAATATTAGTTTCATTTAAATAGACCTTACAAATATAATATCTATTGTGGGTTCTTATTAGACTGATGAACTCCAATCAATAGATATAACTGATCTACAAAACAGTTTTGTATTAGTACTAAAATCAGTTCCATATCAACAATTACATAAAATTTGGGCTGTAATCTATCCAGATGAAATGTTCTTGCACTATCTTTCTATGATCGTTCTCACCTCCGTGCCCAGTGGAGCAAGCTATAATGACCCAGCTGATACAGGCGGCCCACAGCGAGTGTGAGAGCGCGCTGAACACGGCCGCCGTCACACCGGCCAGCCGGGCGCCGTGCAGACCGAACACCAGCGACAACAACACGCCCGCGCACACAACCCACCCCACGCACCACCATACCTGTATACAGACAGACAACACGTATAGAAGACCAATTATAACACTTAGCTATAGGTTTAAATCACTAAAACAATCAGAATCTTAGCGTGTTGCGTCGTACATAATATTTTTGTATGGTCATTCGTCCTAACAGATTAGATATTTTACAGAGAAAAGGACCAATGACTTTGTATAGTTTAATATTGGTACTGTAATGATCCGGACTTATAGAGAAATTGTTTTATAATATAATCAAAATAGATTCAGACTATCGAAAGAATTTGTGATGACTATTTGAAGAGTTTTGGTTTGAAAAGTTGTTGAAACAATAGATCAATGTTTTTTCTAATGTTATTTCTTTTAAGTATTTTAATATCTTGTAAGTATACACACCCTGCTCATATTAATCTTCAAGTTAGTCTTAAACAGTATCCAGCCCGTGGCGATGCCCACGAGGTACGGTCCCAGCCTCGTCCAGGGCTTGTCGTAGATCTTATCAAACTGTGTGAAGGGGTCCTCTCCGTTGGGCACGTGCTGGCTGCTGTATGACACGTAGCCCGTCGTGAACAGAGACGACACGAAGAACACGCCCGTCACGATCGCTGACACCTTGAAGTGACTGCGAGGAAAACAAATATGATGAATCGAAACCTCTCAGCATTCAATGTATGGACTGTGCGGGTGTCGGGTCGATTGTTGTAGGGAGAGGAGCTTCAACAGTGACTGGGACTTGTGACCCAGGTGTAGTTTTAAAGGAACCTATCTATCTCACCTCCACCGTCCAAGTTCCTCTCTCTATAGTATGATAGGAGTTTTTGGGAAGTGTTGTAATCACATTATTTACATAATAATTAAATAGTATATTAACCTGGTCGCTAAAATAAGGAGGATGGCGCTGACGGCGTAGAACTGAGTGTCGTCAGATAGATACCAGCTCCACAACATGCACTGAAACAATTATATACAAATATAAAATTGACGACATCATACTTAGCGGTACAGGATTACGTGTTCTAACGGAGATATTCCTTTGAATTGGGTTTTTGAATATTTTTTTTTTTTGTGATAAATGGATCATATATAAGTTTTATAACAAAACTATTTTTATTTATTTTTTCTTTGCAATAATTAAAAAGTTATTTCAAAATAAAAATTAAATTTTAAATTCAGTACCGAAGATCCGCCGACAGCTCCCGAATAAATCCGAGCGCGTGTGACGTCACAATGTTAGTTTTTGCTCATTGTAGCATACAGAGATATAATAATTAGTACAGTGTTTTGAGATTTATCTAGTAAATTCTGTTGGCATTGTTAAATAATCAAAAATGTCAAAACTCAAAAGTTATTGCTCTTGTTTTGTACTATTATGTACAAATACTACAAAAACAACTCCTGAAAAAATGTTTTTAAATGTTCCACAAGACGAAAAACGTCGAAAGAAATGGTTTCAAGCAGTGCACCGAGATTATTCAAAAACAAAATAATTTTTTTTTGTTGTGAAGATCATTTCGATGTAAGTATTCATAATAATATTGTTATTAATTATTATTTATCTAAGTGTATAAATCGAATAAGTATAGTTCAGTAATTAATTTTTTTACCTGGGCTCCAAATCATAACCTTTAGAATCGTAGCATTAAAAAAAATTTAATTGATAATTCAAAGCGATTAAATAGTAAATCTATATGTATGTTTGTCTAATAATTGGAATTCAATTAATAGATATTTTCATAATTTTATAACATTCTAGGTTCTGTATCAGACTACATTTAAATTTTTAAAGTATATGTTATTTTGGTTTTTTATAATGTTATAATAACATTTTAATAATTCTACTTTTATTATTCTTCTTCTTTATTTTTCATTGATAGTTAGAGTAACTGAGTAAGCTTTACTCCTAACTCGGTGTTCTGGACACACACGTCCTTTTAAAACACAAATACCATTCTTACGATTAAGTTGACCATAACCTATAGCTTTATCACCGTAACTCTCACGTGATGCTCTACAATTAATGAAATAATTATTACTTATATTTAATAGAGAATAAATACTTATTTTTATTTACAATAGTATTTTTTAACAGATTTACCTTGATGCCTTACCACCTCGAACTTCAGCAGAATTAAACCGAACGTCATTTTTAAAAAAAATTGTTATAAATATATCAATATCAGGAATATTATCCGATTTTGTTTTTATAAATCCTTTATCAAACATAGTTAGTCGAAATAAACTTTTCAAATCGTTTTTCACTAATAAATTTGAGATATTTTTATCAAGTCAAAAATAATAGCCATAAACACTGTACTATTATGAAATTGCTTTAACATTATGACGTCACAAGTATGCCGACCAATCATGGCGCGTTTACAGTCACGTGATTTTTTCTTGAATTTTATAAATTTTTAATTGTTTATAATTAATTAAAAAAAAAGTTTTTCAAGTTTTTTGCATTAAAAATCAATATAATTAATAATAAAGTTTTAAAATACATAAAAAAATCAATACTTTTTTTTTTCAAAATCCCAATTATTGCGTATTTTTCTTTCCAAAGTCTCTATCAAAAAAACCTTCTTTTAATTTAACTATAGTACAATATGTATATATCTCTAGCCTACCATTTGTTCGACCGGGAAGAGCGTGTTGATGTAGAGCACGTTCCGCCACCAGTAGTGGGGGCAGGTCTCGTGGTCGTGGGCGGGCGGCTCGAACACCGCGTTGTGAGCGAACCACTTCATGGTCACCTCCACCACGCCCAGCATGAACAGGTACGGCGCCGTCAGTCTGGAAAAGGTTATATATACATTAGAATACAGTTTTGTATATAATATCTTTGAATACAAGGAATAAGCTGTTTGCTAGATAGTTTAGAAGGTTTTGTTTTTAGCCTGAAAATTATTTTTTCCTTTGTTTTTCGTGGTTTCTCGTAATTATGAAAATTTATTAACGCATATCTTCTCTTCCGATCCATTCTAATACAACAAGGTTATGAAGAATAGATAGCTTTTTCGCAATGAGGTCACAGAGATAAAACTTTTGTAACCCATACATGTGTGTCATATAGTTATAACGTAAAAAAGTTACAGTAAAGAATAATATTATTATTATGTCTAGTATTTCTGTTACCAACCACTCACCTCGCAAATCTATAACCAATAAGTCCAAGGAACTGGAACAGTCCGGCGGTGATCTTGGGCCGGCCCTTCGTGAGCCGCTCCAGCTTACCTTTAGCGTTAGTACGGAAGTACAGGAATGAGAACAGGAGACCGCTGGGGGGAAATGTTATAAATATGATGTTATATAAAGTAACCAGCAGATATTAGAAACAATGAATAAGAATTATGTGAATAATTTAAAATCTTCTCAATAGATGGCGCTGTTTTTAACAAATTATTTCACTTGAAAATACCTTTTATATGATTATGGGAATAAGTATATAAGATTAAATTATTGTTTCTAAAAGTGAATAAACTAGTGACTTAACTAATGATTAATATACATATACATTGAATTTGATATGATTCTATACATTACATACATTTTGAAAACATTTCAAAATATTCAGAGCACACACATCTTTTTCTACCTGGCAATTTCCCAGCTTTAGCCAGGTTCTGCCTTACATGTTGTGTATAGATTTGGCTATTTTGTTTTTACGACCGGCCGCCTGCCTGACATCAACCCTCTTTAAGAATGCATTAATCAGTGATGTCTAAATACTCTTAGAAAGTACATATGACTTAGAAAAATCACATTGGTACTTGCCAGGGTCAGTATCGAACCCGTGAATGAGAGGCGGGCCTTTTAACTATTAGGCACACACATATTACATGTTCAATTCATACCCGAGACAGAAGAACGTGTCGACGCTGTATACAGCGCTCAGGATGAGTTGGAACCAGAAACTCTTCTCCAGGACGGCTCGTAAAGCGGTGTTGTCTGCGTACTGGGGAACAGATGACTTGATTAATATGACATGAACACATCAATAAGATGATGATTATAAATATTGTAAGGATTAAGGATTATTTTATGCATTTCGAAACGTCACCTCACTAATACTGTAAAATTGAATATATTTCGAAGGATAAGTCTTTTACTGGTTGCCTTTCGTATGGAACGGTTCTCGTTGTGAGGCATCGTCGCTATTTGCAGTGAGTAATACTCAGTGTATGTACATTCAATTTATTAATAATTATTTACGAATATTGCATAGCAAAATCTTTTTTTTTTAACTTTAAGTTAAATTTGTAACGTAGTAATAAATAATTATAATTTGTGTCACTTTATTGTTTTTTTTATACATATAATTCCTTTTTAATTCCTAAAGCTATGTCGTACCTTAAAGACCACGATGCACGTGTGTCCGAATATGATCCACAGCATGGAGAAGGTCCTGAGTCCGTGCACCACGGGCACCGTGTCCGAGCCCACGCTCTGGTCGAAGATCTGGAGGATGTTGGCCTTCATGGAGAAGGAGAGGAGCAGCTCCGACCAGATACCTGGCGAGGGAGGATTCATTATTAGACACTACTGAATCAATTGATAGGGAAGTACTAAATATACTAGGCGTTTTATATTCTTTTAACTACATATTGGTGACGTTTCGGTTACTTTGCAGCAACCGTGATCACACATAGATGAGATGTGAATGTCTGGTTCTGTTATTTATCATCTACCGTCAAAAATTTCTTAATTTTCTGGCGTGCCGCTCTAGATGTCAGTAGAATAATAAGACCAACTGACAGATATTCACATCTCTGACCGTGATCACGGTTGCTCCAAAATAACGGAAACTTTGGGAGTATGTAGTTAAAATAACAAAATAATATGAAGTTATCCAAAAATGTTAGTTACATTTAAACGAATACTCACTAAAATCCCTGAAGATTCAATAAATGTACTACACACGACATAAAAGTTCAACTCTCTTTATACAAACATATGTATATACTAATCATAAGTTATTTAGTGACTAACTGAGTTTAAGTTCTTCATCAGTGGAGGCGGTCTCGGCCGTGAGGCGCTCCTCGGAAGTGTTGGTGTTGATGGCGATGTTGTTGTTCACGTTGTACATAGACTTGCCTGACCACACACAATAATAATATATATAACAACCAAAGTATTTAAAAACTTTATATTTTTTTTGTATATCCCTGTAAAGACAAATCCAATATTAAATATCGCGTTTCCCTGATGGTTACAAAATGATGGCAACGTCAATAAAAAGTATATAAATGCTTGTAAAATTCAAAGATATTGCTTTGTTGGTGTTGTTGTGAAAATCTGAGAGATTAAAGCTCCATTTAATAACGGTATAAATACAATACCAATATCTAAACAGGCAACAATCATATTATATGTGGGTACCTTTAGACACAGTGATGGCGTCCAACCCGTTCATGTTAAGCCGTAGGTCTGCGTGCCCGCTCTCAGCGGCGGCCATGTTGTGTACGCGTCTCCTGCGCGCGCGCACGTCGCTCGCTATCTTCATGTCGTACGCCGTGGCCGCTATCAGCAGCGCGCCCACCACGCACGACACGCCACTGGATAGATTTATATGGAGGCTTTTTAATTAATTGAATTCAAATTATTTAAATTTTATAGTTATTAATTCTATATATCATTAAAAAAAATTGTAGTCGCTTGCTTACTTTTAACCCTTCTTTTTAAATAGTTATGTTTTAACCCATTTCATAATGTTTACAATGTTACTATGTGTAATAATATTTCTCATCTGATTGACAATAAATTAACATAAAATTGTATTCAATTATATTCTACTACTCCTGGCACATGAATAACAATCATTATAACATACATTCCATTCACAACTCGTTGGTCTATCTGACCTGGTTAAACTTAATTGTGTAATTGGACTGTAGGTGTCGCCTTGACCTCTACACTTAATAGATATACAGATATAAATAAAAACAATTAATGATTGGGTTATATTGACAGGTACAAAAAACCTGTCACAATACTTCTTTTTGGGACCATTAAGCTTATATTTTTACCAAAAAGTATTATGATTGATGAGACTATATTTTTTTTGAGTATAATTTCTATCGTTTCTGGCATTATTTCTGTATTTGCTAAACATATTAAACCTCACAGTAGTATCTGGAAGGTGGGGTCTTCTATGTAGGAGTATCCTCCCAGCTGAGGAGACCGCACGGCCACCACCTTGTGACGTAACAGCGGAGCCCGGACATTGTCCACGAGGTGTCCTACTTGCTCACGGGAACAGGTACTGGGTAAGCAGAGACCCAGGTGGAGAGTACGTTTCTGGAATCAATTGTGTTGAGAGTCATCATCATCATCAGCCTATCAGAGCCCACTGCTGAGCACAGGCCTCTTCTCACATGGAGAAGATTTGAGCAATAATCACCATTGCTCAAAACGGGTAAGTAGACGATTTCAAACTTATAATTGGAAATTGTTAATCCATTTTCAGTAGTGTCTAAATACCTCAGAAAAGTACATATGACTCGGAAAAACCAAATCGGTACTTACCAGGTTTCGAACCCGCACCCTCATGCATGAGAGGCGGGCCTTTAACCACTAGGCCACCACTACTTTGTTGAGCGTACTTAATATTCAATACACTTTAGTACATATCAGGTATAAAAGGTGGGTAAGTTTGTTTGGTTATTAACTTACAGTCTTAATGATCTCGGTCACATCCGTGGAGACGGTCATCCTCACGTTGTAGAAGGCTGTGCTGAAGGGAGGCCCGTCTCCCGTCACTGACACATCTTGACGCCACTCGCTGAAGATCTGAGATCCACTGCCTAGAGAGGAACAGACGATAAAGAGATGAGTATAATAAGTAGGCAGATTCCTATTGGTTTATATGTGAACAATAAGCAACCACTAACCATCCTTCATGCACGTTTAAAAGGAGGATGAAATGGATATGATATGATGCCGTCCTTGGGTACGTACTTGCTGAGATGTAAGACCAAAAATGTTACAAATTTTGACATTAATCTGAACATTGTGTTAAAATCAGATAAACAAGTAAACAACAAAAGTTCTAGTAACAACTGAATAATGGTTCTAAAACGAGGTTTTACTTCGTTAAAAGTTGCTTCATATTAAATAAAAAATATAGAAAAGACATTGATCTTATTATGAATTATTATTAATATTATTATTTGAAAAGCATGTGTTGTTTATTAATTATTGATCCCTACTTTATGGGTAAACAGTTTTACTGGTGTAAAGTATTTAATATAATTGTGTGGTATACATTTATCACACGAATGTGTGATCAGACGTGAGTGTTAATCTGTATATATATAGGAAAGTTGTGTTATTTACACTCTTTATAACTTAAAAACAGCTGTACGGATATGGTTGAAAATTGGAGGATAGATAGCTTAGTACCAGGAGAAGCACATAGGATAATTAATTCTGTTCGATCGAAACAGAAATAAAAAACTTAATGAACTCCAATATCTAGACATTTAGAGCCTTTATGCCGGAATAGAGTTTACCCCATCAGCTATACATATAAGTACTAATTACTAATTCCGAAATCAACAGGGATGACGTCGCGGGAAAAATCTAGTCTATGATAATTAAGGATGCAACACTAATGCAATACTATTTTTATCAATCTCCCTACATGATGTGTCATAGATCTAGTTTATTCTATGAGATTTTAACACATTATTTATAACATTTTGCAATACATTACATTCTAGAGTTAACGCTCTAATTCTGTTTGCACAAATCGTTCTCAGCACAGCCTTCGCCCACTTACGGTGTGTTACATAAACTAAAAGGAACAAACAGATCAACAGTTTGTTCCGCGACAGATATAAAATAAATAAAATACAAGTAAATCGGAACTGGCTCGTTTTTAAGTCAAATAGTTTATTTTGTTTGTTACCAATGATGAAATTGATGTCGCAAGCTTTGGATCACGACGTTTTAAGATTCGTTTCATTTGTTTTAGAGTTTTTTGTACTTGAATAAATAAAAGAAATTATTTAACAGAAACAAGCCTAAATAAACTTTATTGCGACAAAATGGAGTTTCAATTGATGAACGTTTATCTTTAATCAGTTGAAGAGTTTATTGAAAACCGTAAGTATTGTTTGGTTGTATGTAAATTGTTTAATAATTTTCCCGCGGTTAGGTTCACATTTTTAACTCACAATTGATATTTTTTAACTATAAATTGATTTAAAAATAATGACTAAATGTTGAAAGTTTTCATTTAAACAATGCGTGGAGAATATACGCAATAATATACAAACGTTTTCAATACATCGGATGTAAAATTTCATAACCATATTTGTACAAAGCCATGAAAAAAATAAGTAGGAAATAATAAAGAAAAAAAAGAAAGAAAATAAAAGTATTGTATATAGCCTGACTTTGTGTAAGGTCATTGACCTCGCGTCAGTCTCAAGTCTTATGGCATCTGGATTACATTGAACTGTTTAAAGCGCCTCGATCTTGGACGTTGAATGAATAAAGGTACAGAAATTTAACAAGCGACTTATTAACGATAGTTTTGACAAAAATAATATCAATAATATACTTTTTTTCTAATAAACTAAACGATGGTCAGATTTAATACTAAATTTTGACTTAATGAAGGATTTGCTGCGTATATTTAGACCTTGAGAAGTGATTGTTGAAACAACGTTTTAAAACGCTAAGTGCTGTCCTAATTATGTTAAATGAACACTTTTACAGCTTCAAATGATATCCTTGTATCACTGGCGACGGTTCCAAAGATCTTGACAATTTTACCTCAATATTTAATATTACGATACTTCCTGATAATTATCGTTATTGCTAGTAAACATTAATTAATTATCATAAAACTAACGAATATGTAAATAAAGTGTGTTTTTTGCTATAATCATCACCTTGTACGTTAGTTATTGATAGTAAATATGATTTTAATTTACGAATGAATTTAATATGACAATAAAAACAATTGTGTATGCTAATACTTTAGTTATTTACAAAAAGGATTATGTATCGAGTGTCTGTAAAGTTTCCGAAACGTATCAAGTAGATATAAAGAAATTAAAAATAACTCGTAGTGTCCGAAAAACTAAGCTTAAATTTAGTGTCAGCAACGCTTACTAAGTATACTGAGTAACTTAAATGGTGCTTCATTGGTAAGAGGTTGCATATGAGGTACGTACTATTCTGTGTGTGTGAGTGATGCGTGGTGTGATGTTGGTTGAGGATGCTGCACAGCTCGGCCGAGCCGGTCCAGTAGTTGTTACCCCAGTAGAACATCGACGTGTATCTGCCGCTCGAGTCCTCCACTGAAACAATCACGATATATATAATCACGCTACTCTAATTCTTCTATGTACTAGGATAACAGAATGTTGTAGAATATAATTCGGAAATATTAATTCGTTAACTCGACTCAATAAAATTGCGTCGTTTGAGTAGACATTGAATTACAGAACGTAATTTTGTAATGACTTTTGATATTTTAGTAAACATAATATTAAGATTCATAAAAACAAGGAGGTTTTATTAAATATTAATCAATTCTATGTTTGAGTTATCTTGATAACAAAAATTGATATATAATTAATTTGCAAACCTTGTTTCGTCCACATATTAAGACATCTCAATTATTTTATAGAATAAAATTTTAAACATGAATAATATGTTAATATAAGGTCAACTGGATTTTGGAAGTTATTTTAAAGTGATCCTTCAATTTCGTCGAAACCCTTGAACTTTTCCCGGTCATCGACCTTTCGTTTCCTTCCGCGAGGAAATCAGTTATTGATGACTTGTAAATTACTTCCTCGACTATCACTCGTCATTTAAGAGCATTACGATTTACTGGAATATGCTCTCTACGGAGTGCTCGGCCGAAGACATCAATGAAGTTGTATTGAACACGGAAACAAACATTATTATAGTGTTATTGTGAATTATCGAAACGAAAGAAACTGTCACTGTCCACTGAGCGTCTTTAATGGACAATAATTTTATTGAAGGTAATTGTCACTTTGATTATTGACAGATACGTGACAAGAGCGCGACGTTTTGTTTACATTGATTGCAATCAAATACTTAATATGTATTGATGTGATGTTATTTTTATTTCTAATTGTAACAAAATTCAGTGAAAACTTTCAATTTATCTATTAATATAATTTTATTATCATGTGAAGGATTTTTCGTGGGTAGCGGTATTGATAGTTCATACAATGTCAAACTTAAATTTAAATTATATCCGTTATAGAACCTGCTATAATTTTGATGAATGGCTTCTAGTTTATATTTAAGTCTTTAGATGAGGACATTCAATAAGGTCATAAAGCCTACCGCCTCTATATTTATAACCAATAATATTTTTGTCATATAATATGCAAGTAAAAGTATATATATAATATATGTTTGTATATAATGTTACTGAATCTTCGTAAATATACAAATTAGTATAGCGGCTTGCTTTGTAATTTAGATAATTTAAGAAATAAAATACCTTTTTAAAAACTATTTAGTTTTTCGCATAACTGTACGTTTTTTAATTTTCGTTTCAACATTTTCAGTTGTCTTTCATCTCGTGTGATCGTGATCACGATTGATGTTATGATACCGAAACGTCGGGAACGTGTAGGATTTAAATAATAAAAACACTTAATTTCATTTAAATGTGTACACGCGAAAATTTTACATGTAATTATACATATGTCATAACAATATTATATATTTCCAACTAACTGTTACATGTTATAACTGGTTCGTGTACCTCCATACAGAAAAAAATCCTTTATAAGATATTTATATAAGTATTATGTTTGAAAATATTAATTTGCATCTTGATTCATATTCTCTGAGTTTTTTGACATATTAATAATATATTCTGTCAACTGTCAAATCAAATTCTTAAACTGTAGTCCAACCTTACGTTTGATAAGTTTTATAATCTGCGATAATATCAATTATAATCGTGTTTGTTTCACGGTCAGTTAATAATTCACTGGCTATCAAATATATGTATTAGGTCATGGGAATACAAAATTTTTGCTCAGGCTTTGAACACGAAATTTGTAATGCATAATACATTCTATTTGCTCGTCTCAAATTTGCATTATTAATTGACAGTACCTACATAGCGTCAACAGTTTTTCATTTATTTTAATCCTAGGTTATACAAGAAAAGGGAGACGTTTTGTATGTAGTGTAACGATGCCAGTATGTACAAAGCATATTATACAGGGTGACTGGTGAATTACTATCGATATTTGAGGACGTGATATTTGACGATCATATATGACAAAATAAAAATTAATATAACATAAATATTAATAAACTTCTAAGTAAAGTTAACCAAAAGTTATGTAATTAATTACGCATTGTGTGCACACCCTACAGATTAGGTATACACTCACACACACATACGTCCACACTTGGAACAATTGGAACGTGTCAATACTTTATTTATTTATACGGAAATTTTGTCAAAAATTAAGTGCCTATTTTTTTACATAATTCGAATGAGAATCATGTACCGAGTATTCTCCTTAAATATTGATAGTAATTCACCAGTCACCCTGTATATAACTTACTATCACCTATAGTGCCTAAGTAAAGCTTTAATAAAGTCTTAAAACAAGTAATCATTAAGTTCGGTGATATTACTTAGCTTCCTGCTCTCAAACATGGCGGCCTCCAGAGACGAATTAAGGTTATTAACGACGTTTAAAGGTAACGGAATAATAAACTCAAACAGAAATTTCATATCATTAAATTTGCAATATAAAAATACTCTTCATTCAATTTATTTATCCTTATGTTTACACCTGGATATCTGAATTTTTTTAGCTGCGTAAAAAATGTTTATTATCTAGGTACAAGGCAACCCAGAGTAGTTTAGCCTCAATATAATAGTATCGTCCTAGAATTAAGACAACTCATGTTACAAATTTGTAATCAGCGAGAATCTATCGCAATACTTCATTACGTGTTGCCCAAGCTTAAAACGATCTGCCATAAAACAATTTTTAATTTTATATTTAACCACGTTTCGTTTACAAATAAGAGAATTGTTTTAAATAAATAAATATCGGTCCCCAAGGTGAATGTGTTTTATATTTAATTAAAAAATCAATATTGTTTTTTTTAATGTTTTACGTCGTTTTTAATGTATATAGTCTGTTTAAAGTATATCCTGTTTTTTACTCAATTCTTTTTTATCTGTGTACTTAGAACACAGGCTTGTTGTGTATTTTAGTTCTAATTGCGTATCGCTATTAAAAATATTTATTTGTTTTTAAAAGACTCTCATAGTTTTTAATGCCATTTCTTGATTGAAATGGCAAGTTCAATGCACTTATAGATCAATCATACTATACGTCAAAAAGGGTTACATGATTTTAGAAAAGAACTGATACTCTCACAATGCTGGGTCGATATTAAGCAAACATAGCTACGAACCAATGCGAGAAGACTGATTTGAAAAAAAACTGCATTGAAATCTATCGATTCATTTTAGAGATACAATGGCACTGACATACACACACACACACACACACACACATCCAAGTCAAGTTTGTGACACATTCGTAATTCATTGAGTCACATTTGTTTAATTAACTTTGAATGCTTTGATCGATTTTCTTTGGGTACTTATTTCATACAAGTTCGATATTAACAAATCTTCATTCTCTAACTTAAATAGAAATAAGAATTATTTCAAAAATTTTATCTAAACCGTCCGTTTGAAATTAAATTTAATATATTTCATTAATTTACAATATTTAAGTAAACTATCTCTTCTAGTAGTAATGAATGAAGTATTTTTTCATATGATATTACTCACACTTCACATTAAAAGGTTTGTAGTTTTTGTTTTTGTTTATACATCTTTTTCTCTTTACAGTATACTTTATTAAAATCTTTGTTAAGCAAAGTATGCTCTTGTTATGTAGAGAGTACACTCGTAATCTCGTGAGCAATAATATGAATGACAAGGAAATACACTATCATTCACAAGTTCTTTCATGTCCCAGTAACCCACAGTGTGTTAGTGCTTGCAAATATAATCTAAAAATAAGTGCATTAAGCAACACCCGCGGGTCGCATCCTAATGCCACATAACTATTTGCTAGTCGCCGCTCATAATGTTAGGAAACGAACGTCGTTCTGTCTTTCTCAATTGTATTAAAATGTTAATTGATATAACCGAGGACATGTTCGTGGTATAACATATATGTATGTGTGAAAATTCCTATTATATTTAATCTTTTATAAATAATTTTGACTACACTGTGTCGTTGTTTTAAAACAGACTCTGTAAGTTTTAGCCAACATTTGTTTAAAATATTAATAACTATTATTTTTTGTTCGTTACCGCAAAGCTTTTTTTGTTTTCATTTTAATGTTATATTTCCATGCCTCTTTTAGTTTATGAACGTAAAGTGTAATAAATACTAATCTTCATCACACCATGATGAAACCGGTGATGAGTGATGACATTTCACTGACAGTGACATTTAATGCATATGATGACATGTGCAGTGTGCAGTGCATGTATTACAATAGATTATATTTAAAATTTACATTCTGACACGGATTAGCACTGTCAAAGACACGAAAACTTTTATTTCTTTTAAATTAAATTTTCTCCCAGGTTTTTGACCATAGACAATTAATTTAAGCACTCTGTTCTCCATTTTATTTGTTGTTGCACATAGACAAGTCGAAACTCTTTTTAAATAATATTTTTAATAGACATACGTATCCAGTTACTTCTAAATATGAGTGTGGTATTGCATACCTATAACACGTATAGACCGTACTGAGAAATATTACGTGAGACTTTTGTTCGGATCACCATAGTCTTTATTGTCATAGTAATAGAGAGCAATTTTGCAATAACCACGTGCGTGTTGTAGTTCAACATTGAACGACCTTTTGAGGTATGCTAATGGGTTTGTGAAAGTAATTTTGAAATAACACAAGTTTTTGTTCAATCAGGATGTTTTTAAACTTGAAAAGTACGGTTTGGTGCGAGAAAATATTGAAAAAAATTTCAAATTGCATTAATTTTTTATGTAAAATATTTTAATAAAAAAAATTGTGATTGAGATATTATTATACATTTTTGTATTTCCACCTTCGCTTTAAACTTCCGTATATGAAAACGAAACTATTATGTTATAATTTTTAACCTGTACAATGGTGTATTATCATGGCTCATATAATAGTAAATATAATAAGTTTAAAGCGATTTAAAATAAACTCATTTACTATTTTAACCGACCACGTCTACTTGATAAAATGTAACTGAACT